TGATACCACCAACGGTGGCAGGACCGATGATGGTAACACCCTTCTTGGCGGCAACGTGGAGGATCTCACGAGCGCNGCTGTTTTTGTGTTAGTCGTTTGTTGCGATTGATCTTTTGAATGGGTGGGAACTCACTCTCTCGGGGACACCCTCAGCAATGATGGCAATGGTCTTGATCTGAGGGTACTCCATGAGCTCCATGGTGCTCTGGTAGACGGAGCGCGAGGAAGCAAAGTTGACAACAGTGTCGACGTCATCGTGCTTGCCAATGGCCTTCTCGGTGCTCTGGTAGACGGGAAGAAGAGTCTCGCTGGTGCCCCAGTACATCTTGCTGACGAATTGACCGCCGAAGGTGTAGATGATACCGGCGACCGAGGGAACCTTTCTCTTGCAGATGAAGTCAAAGTCAAGCATGCCCTGGACGGCCTTGGGCTGCAGACCGTAGACGAAACATCTCGTCTTGGGGTGGAAGAGAGTGTGAGAAGGGGTGGGGCTCAGGGCTCTGCTGGGGGCAGCGAAGCGGGTGATGTTGTCGTTGGGCTGGCTGGCTCCGTTTGCTGAGGTGGAGGCAGCAGACGGGGTGGATGTGGTTGCGGAAACCATTGTGAGAGCTGCGAGGAGTGCTGTGTCAGTCGGGGAGTTCGCAATGGAGCGCTGTAGAAGGAGGAAGGAGTGGTGGAGGAGAAGACGGACAAAGAGACACGTGAGCAACTAGATGACTTCAAGCTTGGACAAATGCTGCAGATGCGATGCTGGAGCAATGCTGTGCAAGATTGGAGCTGTAGGTGTGCAGGGGCAAGACAATTGAAAGAGTGCTGGGAGGAAGACGGGGTGTGCAAAGCTTGCCGAAGCTGACTCGGCCGGTACAGTAATAATTCAGAGCTCACTTACAGTTATATCAAAAGCGACAACAGAAGGAAGGAAGGAGGAGGAGGGAAGAGAGAGCAAAGGTCGGACGAGCAGAAGATGAATGACCAACGGAGATGAGCAGGTCGGGACGAAGCAGGAGGAGGTAAGACTTGGTCGAGCAGCAATATTGTTCGACTCGTCGCACGCAGCGGCGCTTTGCTGAGGCTTCAACCGCAGGGCCAAAAGTCCGAGGGGTGCAGGGGTCCGGTTGAGGTTAGCGTGGTCCGGTCGCCGGTGCAAGGTGATGTGTTTTGGCGCAGCCGTTGCGTTTCCTGGGACTTGTGTGGGTTGGAAATTCCCCGACGAAGCCGACGCGCCTTTTCTGTGACAGCCGCTTCCACGGTGCACGGCTCTCCTCAAACCTCCCGACTCCGGCCGTGAGCAACCAGAAATCGTACCATCATCAATTTCCCCTTCATCTGCTGCTTGCATTGGGCAAGGCTTGCGGCAATTGTTGATGACCTGGTGTCGAAACTCTGAGGCATGTCCAACAGCCGTGGCAAAGCGCTGAGTGAGCGGCGTCGCTGTAAGCTGTTGACAGACGACCGGCCCGAGTCACGGCTGTCGCTGCACCTCTCTTCCCTGGTGTTCGACGTGTCCTCTTTGTTTCGTTCTGGCGGCGCGTGCTTCAGAGCTCTCTCCACAAAACTCCTGTATAAAATTAGCATTAGCAGCATAATCAGCCCACTCACCACTCTTCCCAGCGCTTTTGCGTTGCGGGATCGGCGTTTTGGTCGACCCAACGGCTGCGCTAACACGCCCCGCCCGCGCTAGCGAGAGCTCACCGTCTGCACCCTTCTGCGGCCACCTGGAGCCAAGACCCGACAATATTCTCCTCGATCTCATCCACAGCTCCCCTCCTCAAAGAGTGCTCTCCCGAATCCATCCAGTCAAGCCTCCGACACCTTCTTTGCTCTTTCTGTCTTCAATTGGCGTCTCCTTGATTGTGTGATACCCACCTCTTCGGACTTTTCGCTCTCAGAACACCTCTCCCAGCCCACCAGGTAAGCACCCGTCAAACAAGCTCCCCAAACCAGCACCCTACCTGTGTAGCCAAAATTGGCTCTCGGCGAACAAAGGTGATTCGTCGATGCATTGCCCGTCGGACTTTTTGCAAGTCTATGGTCAATGTCTCGCATATCACTTCCGTGCGCCGTGCCTGTATCTCCCAACTCTTGTTGAGCCGAAAGTACACGACTTGTTGCCGCAAGCCATTCCCCATTGCATTGCTGTTGCTCCTAGCTCTTCACCACTTTCCTCCTCTTGCTTCCTGATCCTCGCTCTCTCTTCTTGTCCTTGCTCTTTCTCTGTCCTCGCCATCACTCTCACCCTTGCTTCGACTCGTCAACTGGTCTTGTTTGTCGTTGCTCACTTTCTCTCGCCAGTTCCTTCTTAGCAGTCATGTCCGCAAAGTCGATCCTCGAAGCCGATGGCAAGGCCATCCTCAACTACCACCTTACCAGAGCTCCTGTCATCAAGCCCACTCCTCTCCCTGCCGCTGCCAACCACAACCCTCACGCCAAGCTCTGCTCCCTCTACTTCGCCGAGGGTGCTTCTCCCAAGGATGTCCTTGACGAGGCCGAGGTCAAGTACCCTGGCTGCACGAGTCTGGCGCCAAGTTCGTCGCAAAGCCCGATCAGCTCATCAAGCGACGAGGCAAGAGCGGCCTTTGGCCCTGAACAAGACCTGGGCTGAGGCCAGAGCATGGGTCGAGGAGCGTGCCGGCAAGCCCCAGAGAGTCGAGACTGTCGATGGTGTCCTGAGACAGTTCTTGGTCGAGCCTTTCGTGCCTCACCCCCAAGACACCGAGTACTACATCAACATCAACTCCGTCCGTGAGGTATGTGGCATTTTATTTTCATTTTTTTCTTTTTCTTTCCGGATTGTCGAAAACGGTCATTGGAGACCAACCCTCCTGGGCTTGTCGAGTTTTTGCTTAACCATCTTTTTATTGAAAGAAAAGAAGCAAGGAGAAGACGAGGAACAGGGGTGAAGTTTTCATATGAATGTTTTGCATGTGAAAGTCACGTTGGGCTGGCATTGAGCAATTCCCCGGCTATTCTTTTCGGATGAAGGGAGAAATCCCACCAGTCCCACCCAGCGTGCACAGATGTCCTCTCTATCCCTTACACCAACGCACAACATCTGTACCTGCATTAACCCATCGCCATCTCGATTGGCTTGCGGATCTACCCGCTGTCGATGGCCTCCTTATTGCTCCCATATCATCACCATGCCGTTATAGTCATCATTTCATCAGCAAAGACTAACATATCATCAATAGGGTGACTGGATCCTCTTCACTCACGAGGGTGGTGTCGATGTCGGTGATGTCGATGCTAAGGCTGAGAAGCTCTTGATCCCCGTCGACCTCAAGGAGTACCCCTCAAACGAGGAGATTGCTGCCACTCTCCTCAAGAAGGTCCCTCAGGGTGTCCACAACGTCCTTGTTGACTTCATCTCCCGCCTCTACGCTGTCTACGTTGACTGCCAGTTCACGTATGTTATCACATCTTCATACCTTTTGATCATCCTACTGACAAGAACTCAGCTACCTCGAGATCAACCCTCTCGTTGTCATCCCCAACGCCGATGCCACCTCTGCTGAGGTTCACTTCCTCGACTTGGCTGCCAAGATCGACCAGACTGCTGAGTTCGAGTGTGGTGCCAAGTGGGCCATCGCTCGTTCTGCCACTGCTCTTGGCTTGAACGTCGCTGACAAGAAGGACACCAAGGTCTCCGTCGATGTCGGCCCTCCCATGGAGTTCCCCGCTCCTTTCGGTCGTGAGATGTCCAAGGAGGAGGCTTACATCGCCGAGATGGATGCTAAGACTGGTGCTTCTCTCAAGCTGACCATCCTCAACGGCAATGGTCGTGTCTGGACCCTCGTCGCTGGTGGTGGTGCCTCGGTTGTCTACGCCGATGCCATTGCCTCTGCCGGTTACGCTGGTGAGCTTGCCAACTACGGCGAGTACTCTGGTGCTCCCACCGAGACCCAGACCTTCCACTACGCCAGAACTGTCCTTGACCTCATGCTCCGTGCCCCCATGCACCCCGAGGGCAAGGTCCTCTTCATCGGTGGTGGTATTGCCAACTTCACCAACGTCGCCTCTACCTTCAAGGGTGTCATCCGTGCCCTCCGTGAGGTTTCTCCTCTCCTCATCGAGCACAACGTCAAGATCTGGGTCCGCCGTGCTGGCCCCAACTACCAGGAGGGTCTCAAGAACATCAAGGCCGTCGGTCAAGAGCTCAAGCTCGACATGCACGTCTTCGGTCCTGAGATGCACGTCTCCGGTATTGTCCCTCTTGCCCTTGTCCCCGGCAAGTACACTCCCGACATCAAGGAGTTCGGTGCATAAAGGAAAAAAGCAACACGAAGTTATATGAAAAAATGATTCACTACAGAGCTCCACCATCTTTCTTCGGGGTTACACTTTTTCTTCTTTTCCTCCTCCCTCACACATCCACCTTTACAACCATGTTCGAATCTTCTTTTCAGCTTTTTTCAGTCTCGGGTGCTGGGTGCTTGCGTTTTATATCATATTACACTGGAAAGGCTTTACATCTGGTGTAGGTGCAGGAAGCGAAATGGCATAATTCCCCTTTTTCAAGACAAAAATTACAGATACTGTTTCCAAATCTCTTCGGTCTTGTTTTGTGTGTGTCAATGTGTGTTGACGACTGCCACGTTATAGATATCGAAATCTCCAGTATTGCCCTAACGACAGTGGTGTTCATGGACCTATATCATCTCACATATCGCCGTTGTTCTACTCGTACTCGCACTCGTATTCGTACTCGAGCAGGAACCCGAACCGAGTATAGAATATGAGACAACAGTTGTACCACAGACATGGGACAAGAATGTGACACAGCGAGGACGATCAACTATGCTAAGCTAGTCGACAGGAACAAGTCAACTCAACAGAATCAATGCAGCAGCCTCTTTAAGAATCTCCATCCAGGTCTCTTCCTCGAGCGTGCTGGACTTGGATCCATACACATTTGTGGTAGGTAGCTGCAGAAATGCAAGAACATATGGTGGCTTATGATTTACATCCACTGAAAGCTCATGTATATTATACAAGGTATATCAATTAACACCACCCAATGCATTGCTCGCCCACTGGTAACTTCCCAAGAAGACGGCACCACCAATGCTGATCCAGGTGACTCTGGGCTCTACGCCCTTGAAGAAGGCCTTCATACCTTCCTCCTTGTAGATCTTGCCCAGCAGATACGAAGCCGAGACCTTTTCCTTTGCGAGCATCATCCTCGTCTTCAAGACGTCCAATGGCGTCGTCAAAGCGGCAGCAATACCGCCAGATATGCTTCCAAACACAGCAGACTGAAAACCAGTAGCAGTTTCCCTGCCATCTCTTTGGGCAGCCCACCTCTTCATACCCTCCCACATGGGGAATTGGATGACTGTAAACGGCACCTCTCGCATCACTGTAATGCCCCACCCACGATACAACTCCCTCGCCATGACACCATATCCCTTACTCTTCCTCAAGTCCAGAATACTTGTAAACGCCGCCAACGAGCTCGGAAACTGCTTGGCTTGAGCCCTCTGCTTTACAACCTCTGTAGGCACACGCACAGCACAAGCCGCTACCTCGCCCAAACTCGCTGCCGCCATGTGTACGCCAGCCTGTTGTGTAGATGTATGTGTTGAAGAGGAAAAGTTGCGCTTTATGCCGTCGTAGGTGACGAAGAAGAGGGCGGCGCCGGGGGCGGAGCCGACGATTGCGGAACCGACGCCTGCGTAGACGCCGCGGAAGCCGCCGGCGGCGAGGAAGCCTGAGGAAGATTGGAGGCGGGTTTTTAGCGTGTCGAGGGGGTAGAGGGATGTGTCGACTGTGGTGCCTGCTACTGCGCCTGCCTGTGTGGGTGGTTAGCATTAATATTTATAGGGCTTATGAGGTATTCGTCAGGGACAGGTAGAATCAGTCGAGGCAATGTGCTGGGAAGCTATGTCTAATGGTTCTTGTCGCAAGTATACATGGCATTGGGGTGCGTGAGAGTTGTTGTATAGCTCGGGATTGAGGGGCATTCGAATGACGTGAACAGATGAAGATGACACTTACCAGAAGCGAGCGCAGGTAGGGCGACTCGACCAACGGAGTCTTTTCCTGAACGACTCCTGCCATGGTGAGTTGTAGAGCGAACTGAGATCAATTGCCCGTGCTATGATAACGTCAAGCCATGGCGGTTGCTGTCAGAAGCCGGAAAGTTGACGCCATGGAAATTGTGACAGCCACAGCTTCCGTGATCGCTCCCTGCCCGAGCTTCGGCTGAAGATACACCGGCCATCTGGATTCCACACCCAGTCTGAGGCCATCCAACCTCGTCAACACACATCGATTGCATTGCCATGAGATGTTCAAACGTTCGCTTGTAAGGTGCGCATTTGAGCCTGTGAGCCAGAATAGATTCGATGACATCCTGAGCCCGATATGTCGGGGCNNAAGAAAGAATTGGGTATGTTCATTACTGCTAACACGGCATATCAATCTGCAAATGTGCTGACGGGTCATCGTAGGTCTTGCCATCAGTGGTGGAGTTGACTCAATGGCCCTGGCAACTCTATGTGCACGAGTACGCAAATTTGCAACGCCCTCCATAACTGCCTTCATAGTGGACCATTGCCTTCGACCTGGGAGCACCGAAGAAGCCCAATCTGTAGCGAATATCCTTCTTGATCGACTTCGCATACGCTCTAGAATCTTGACTGTGGACTGGAAAGACATTCCGAACCCAAGTAAGGCTCGGAATCTTGAATCAGCAGCTCGCAGGATGCGCTTCCAGGCTCTCGGCCGTGCCTGTGCCGATGCGGACATCGACACTCTTCTTTTGGCCCACCATGCCGACGATCAAGCAGAGACCGTACTATCAAGGATACATAGCGGATACACGGGAACTGGTCTGAAGGGCATTCAACCCAAGATGCCTATTGGAGAATGTGACGGAATTCATAAAGCGTCCAAATCTGGTACCATCCGACACTTGGACAATATCAGGAACTTGACATCCGCCTACGTTGAATCTGGTGGAGTTGTGGTACATCGACCGCTCCTCAAATTCACCAAGTCAGAGCTCGTTGCAACTTGCTTAGCGAATAATGTAAAATGGCACGAAGACGCGACAAACGCCGACAAGACTCTGACTCCACGCAATGCAATCAGACAAATGCTCCAGTCCAATGCTATGCCATCTGCCTTGAGTTCTGACCAATTGAGGAAACTGGCTGCAAACAAGTGGAGCAATCTTGCATCGTATGAGAAAACAGCTGCAATCTACTTCAACCTTTGTCAAACTGAACTGGATCCAAAGAACAGCTCTGTTTCGTTCGAGGTTCACCCAGGCATTGAGGAACGGCTGGCCCGCGACGAAGATTCTCAGCTCGTGGCGGCAATACTTATGCGTAGGTTCTTTTCTCTTGTGGAAGATCAGAGTAAACTTGCATTGCGAGATCTTGATTCCGCTGTGGGATTTGTTTTCCCATCTGTTTTTGGAGAATGGCGGAGATCATCGTATAGTGTCAATGTCGGAAATGTCACTCTCCTCGAGGACCCTTCAATCCAGGCGAGCAAGACAGAAAATGACCAAAAGAGATATCTAATCTTCCCACGGCCAGTACGAGCGCCGGAACAGTTTACTCAGACTCTTCTGGAAGTCACAGAACATAATCAGAGCACTTCCAAAGAACCCTTGTGGACAGAGACAAATCTCTTCCACGAGCGATGGTGGATAAAGCTAAGATATGTACCAGCCAATGTTCCAGTAGGAACATCTGTGGTGATTAGGTTTCTAAGAAAGGGAGAATCGATAAAGACAGGCGATGTATGGTATCCAAAACCTGGACTCGCGCTCTTGCCACCAGCAAAACTTCGTCACACAATCCCTGTGATTGTAGAGACACACGAAGTCAAGGATCAAGCTGGAGCCTTGAGTAAAGAAGAGACAATTCTGGCTTTTCCCAGCATTGGGCTGACACGTCCTGCTTGCTCATTGTTCGAAGGTCGCAGAACTATTAGCAACCCATGGGAGTACACCTGCGTTTACAAGGATATCGACTTCATCGCAAGCGGAAACCATACTGTCAAGACTGCAGCGCGGAAGAAGACCAATCTGCCTTTTGCAAAATTCGATGCTCGAAGGAAACATTCAGACGCCAAGGAGAAGATGTCGAGCTTGGAGCATTCGTCTGAGGCACTTCGCCAGCCAGAACGTACCGAACAGAAATAGGAGGATACATCTTTTCAGGAACGGAGACGTTTTCATCGGCCCCAGGTACATGAGTTACAGCACTTGTTGTGGTGTAGCCGGCGAAGATCTCTTCCACATCCTCTGCTTGAGCGAGACAGCGCAAGCCACTCTACGAACCGTTTGATCACAGTCAATAGAGAGGGTGTAGGATTACTCTTGCTCGAGCCGAGATCAGGGATTCATGCGCTACATGCACGAACAAGCATGTGCTTCGCGATTTGCAGCAAACCTCTGCTGGTGATCCGTCGATCCTGCTAACCCACATAGCGCAAGTAAGCAGAAATCTCCGAGGACGGGTGATTGGTCTGCTGGGGGAATCCTGCTCGCTATATGGTTATATTTGGACTCGAGTGAAGAGGCATCAGAGAGTGACATGGGAACAAGATACACGGTACTTGTGTCGAGAGAGAAGCTTTATTGGAAGTTGCACGACAACAACCAGCTTTGTGTAGGAGGCTTGTGATTGCGTGCCGTGCCTCAGATGCCTCCCTGACGGCTCGTCTTGCCGCTGTGGACCTGGCTTGCAAGTTCGGGATAAGTCAGCAAGATAACCAGACATCCTTGATCAAGGCGCGCCTCGAACTGTCGAGCAGGGTGAGATCCATGCGCCTTGAAGATGTGAACCTGATGAACAACGTTCAGGCTTGCATACATAGTGTTTCTCGCATGAGCCTGAGACTTGGGCCATGGGTTGAAGCGTGGCAGTATTTTGTGCAACATTGGGAGTTAAAAATAAGAAGATTAAGGTAGAAGGTTCCCGAGCCCCAGTCAAGCGGCGGGGTGGAACCAAGCTTCAGTGTTGACAGCGGGGTTCTGAAGGGTGTTTACCCATACAAAATCAACACGAACTCATGCAACCATGCAACATCAAGGAAGAATACTTGCAATGGGTATTCACCGAGAGCGAATTGACATGAGATACATCTGGTGTGTATCTCATGACAGACACGATCGCCATTCTCTAATTGCATCGAGCGTTGAAATGTGTGCATGAGCGTCATCATTGTTCGGACATTTCAGAGAGTTTCCCCATGCAAGCCGCAAGCCATGCAGCCTCATGCAGCCCAGACCAAGACTCGCTTTGCTGACTACCAAGAAGCTTCCTTCACTCCAACACGAGACGCATCGCATTCTCGAAGGAAGATCGAATCACAGTGTTGTGAGGAGACGAGCCTTGCACGCCGAGACAATAGATCATCAGCCAAAGCAGCCAGCAGCAGACAGCCTCGAGTCTGAAGTCCGAAGAGGCGACCTTTGGGTAGGGCTTGCAGACCCCATCAACCATCCTTGCTGCCATGCACGATTGCTGATCTTCTACAAGGAGAATATCAAGGATAATCGGCAGCAAAGCTTGACCGGCCGACTGGTCCTGACTGATCCCTGCAACTGCTGCTGCCCTGCCGCTTTTTCGTGCGCGCGGTGCGTGCTTGGGAGCGACGACACGCTGCATGCTCCACATTCCGACTCACACTTGCTTCAGTTACATGCGCTTGTTTGGTCAACGCAAACCTTCCTGACCCTGCCCAGCTATGGGATGCACGCCCCGTGACAGTCGGGATGAGCTGTTGCGGCATACCCAGGGCAGAAGAACCATGATACCTACCCACACTATCCATCCTTCTGTATCCGGATACGGAATGAGGTTAGTAGTCATCCAATTTAGCCTCGCAGCAAACCTGCGGTAAGCGGAGAGAAGAGTGACCTCTGTCATATTTGTAGATGATTGTGAGTGTATATAAAGGTAGGTGATCCTCGTCCAGGTCTGTACTTGTCAACACTGAGCTTCTATCATCTATTGTTGTCTTGCATAGTTTTGCGTGCTTGAGTATACTACGGTGTACTGTGTCGTAGTCTGTCTTCTCTCGTTCTTGCAGACTCTTCGCTTCCTCTTCTACAATGCACACTCGCTCTTCGTTGCTGTTGCCGTTGGCATGGTCAGCGTCGTTCCTATCGGGAGTCAACGCAGACTGTGAATCCTTCGGTATCGATTTTGTCAACAATGGAAACGTAAGTTGCTGTCAAGGAGCATACGTTCAAAACCATGCTGACTTTATACCAAGNTACTTTATCAACTCAGCCTCCAATCAATCTTTTACCTCAGTCACAGAGTTTACAGGTAAATATCAAATCCTGACGATTTGGCATTCTGTATGCTGACCATAAACNACAGGATGCGCCAATGATGTTGCCAATGTCGAATTAGTGAACTGGGACACTGGCGATGAATATCTATGCTCAGATATCCCTCTACTACCTGATGGAACTCCGGAAACATCCACCTGTGATATCGAAAAGGATCAGATGGTCTCGGGCACTTGGGGCCTGATTCTGATTTCCAACAACGGCGATGATCCGGACTCACCACCCTTCGCAAACCAAAGAACTTTCTCATTGGATGTTGGCACACAAGCGACTTCTACCGTAAGCTTTCCGTTGCAAAATTTGCTGGAGACGAAACTGACGAAAACAGGTTACACCAACCATGACCTTCAACATGACCACGACTCCAACCGTTACTTCACAGACGACATCTTGGGTCGTGAACACTACAACAGTCAACAACTCTGTGACCGTCACACAGCCTGCAGTACGTGTCAAAAGTTGACTCCTATCAAGCAGCATCAAACTGACAAACCCTAGGCCACACACTGGGTGACAATCACCCCCAACCCCGTCGTAGTGACCAAAACCTTCAACCTCGTCCGCACACTAAAGACCTGGTCTCGCACAGCAGTAGTCTACACTAGCACTGCAACAGCCAGCTGCACAGTTCCTCCCCGTCCCCAACAACCTGACCCGCCATGCCGCAGATGGCCGCGTCTCCTCACAGTGCCTGCAGGCATCAAGATTGGCAGAGATGTGCCTGAAGACTATGCCAGTATCAAGAAGAGATTGGCAGATATTAGAGCTAGAAGGGCTGCAGAGATTGATGCGAGGGATTTGGCAAAGAGGACTGCTGATGCGCCTACGATTACTGTTACTGGAAGTGTTACTGCGAATTGGACTGTAAGCATCCCTCAAACCTCGTTCGATGGAAGAACCGAAAAGCTGACAAAGNNAGACCAGAATACCTTCACCGCCGCCCCCACAACGGTAATCAACATAATCCTAAGCAGCTCAACCGTAACCACGTAAGCCACCCTCTGCTTCCTCACCCACATCTTTGCATCCTTACTGACAAATTCTTGTAGAACCCTCCCACCAGCTACCATCAAGACCGGCTACGCGAGTGCTTTCCTCACTCTCCCTCCCGTCACAAAGACTCGCTTTACCGTCAACACAGCCTACACATGGCAAACCAAGACCATGACGGCTACATTCGTAAAGAAAACCACCGTAACGCCAACAAGTGTCATGACTGCGTGCAAGAGCAGAGGTGGTCACTTTGGAAATGGGTGGTAAAACGAAGATGGATCTTGGTAATTTGTGGTTTTGTATATTTTCATGGCTGGGTTGGGTATAATTATGAATGTTTTGTATATGAAGGGAGGCTTTTTGTGAAGGAGTATAATACCATTTCCTCTACCTATACTTTGCCATCTGCGACGATATGGATCTTCATTGTTCCAATGCACTGGAATCTTGCATTCAATAGTTATCACAGAAGGCAGTCGGTCCCCTTCACATCTCTGCACAAATTCTTGTGCAAATCCTGCATAACCAACCACACCCTGTAAGCAGCCCGCTATCTTTGTACCTAAGCACTACCTAGTTACATGCACACTCCTTCCGGCACTCCACTCAATTCTCCGTAGCTTACAGAAAAATATCTCTCGCATACATACGAGCCGCAAGTTTAGCAAAACACGAGAGAAGGCGTTTTTGATCTTGTGATTATTTGTCTGCTTCATGTTTTTCTTGTTTCTTGTGAATGGAAGCGTGAAAGATGTGGAAGGAAGAACGAAGCGAAGGAGCCTCAAAAGAGTGGCAGATGTAGGGCTTTGAAGCCAAGGTGGTTGACGTCGTGTGCTACTGTTGCTCGCATTGTTGTTGCCATTTTCTTCTCGACCTCTGTTATGGATCGCAACTTGTTCCCGGCTTGTGTCATTGCGAGAATAGGCAATAGCGCCCGTAGACGGGCTTCTTTCTACAAACCATCCATCAAATGCGGTCGTGACTTCCATGGAGTTATCTCAAGGTCTGACGCTCTTCTTATGACCATCGTTGTTGCCCTTTTCTCCTCAACATCTGTCACGGGTTGCAACTTCTTCATAGAGAGTATTTGGTTATAAACAAGGTAATAGCGACCCTTGTAAATAGTCAATTATAGCTTTCGGACGTGGTCGTGACTTCCTCCAGATCATCTCCAAGTCAAATTCTCATCTCGTGGTAACACGTAGTCATTGATTTTTGAACCATGGAAACCCACGATTGTTCCAAGGTGAAAGGCATATCCGCAGAGAGCTTTCTAGGTATCCTCTTTCGCTAGAAAATAATCTTGTGTCTGAAAGTAGTGTATGTATTCATGATACCATAACTACATGCGTGCCAGGCTTTTGCACACAAGGACGACTTGAGGCCTTGCCTACTAGATGTACCCCAGAACCTGATTGTCAAGCACATGGTAGAGAGAAAGTGGCATCTATAAAAGCTACCAAGGTGATTCATCAGACGTATCCTATGCCGGTGCTCCTGGTCTTGGCTATAGGCAGTCTGTGACTACACACCAATTCTCTGGCTCGGATTCAAGGGTGACTTGCGTCAAATGACGGAAATGGATAGTCGTCTTATACCTGTTCTGTAGAGATGGCTTTTCTCTCAACTCCAGCGCCGCGGCCTTGACGGCATGACCCTGTGGCTATCCAGGAAGGGGTTGTGTGTGGGAGAGTAAAGCTTTTCCCCTACTGCAGGACTCGTTTCATACTTATAGGAACCTGAGTTAACCAAAATCTTCCTTGCTTGGAAGTCCGATCATTCTTCTCCTTACACCATACTTTGGCTTTGGTCATCCCATGGTGCTCAGAATCCAGGCATACCATTAGCATCAACATCCTGATCAAACCCACTCCACATATTCTCAAACGGCAACCCCAATCCCTCAAACGAAAATCCCAAATCCGTTGTCGTTGTGCCAAACCCAGCGAGATCAAAAGCAAAGTCTTGTTGCAATGGCTGCAACACCACATCTTCAACATTGATGGCAGGAATAAACTGGTCTTGGGTATGTGGCTGATGATGAGGAGAAGCAGCGGCAGCGGCAGTGGTGGGAGGAGCAGTGGAAAGTTTGTTGATGACGCGAGAGATGGGTTCGTCGCATTGATTGAGGAAGATATCGGCAAGATCCCAGTTGTCGTCGTCACGAGCAGAGCGCAAGCGTTTGCGGAGGGCCTCGAGACTGCGTTTGCAGGTCTCGCGGGCGAGGGGATCGGTGGTTTCGATAGTGCAGCGGAGAAGTATCATGGCTGAGGAGGCTAGAAGATGGGCTGTGTCTGTGAGAGAAAGTCAGTTGTTCGTCGAGATGACTTCCAAGGGCAATGCAAGAGCTTACANTGGTAGCCACCACTCAGCTAGATGTTGGCTCGTCAGAGCACAAACAAAGTCTGCTATCTCGCGTGCCGAGCTACGCAGTACAGAGAGACGATACCGTAGATGTTCGCTACTGTTGTCTGGTTTCTGGCCATCAGAGTTGGNCAATCTGAAAGTGTTAGCTAAATCACATCAAACAAGTCACGTCTGACATACCTTGAGTGCCGTTCGAGCAAGCATGAGTTTAGTTGACAGGAAGCAAAAGTGCAAATTACATGCTCCAGGTCCCTTTCCTTCCTCAAGTGGTCGGGTGAGATATGGTGGCAGGTCGGCCTCCCATTGATCTAGATCACATTCGAGTCGTCGAAGTTCTCGAGGCACTTTTGCATCGGAAGGCCGACGAAGGTCAGCGGCAATGTGTGAAGTTTCGCCTAGTATCTCGCATAACTTGCATAGCTGAATGAAGTGCTCTGCACCCTGCTCACGATAGACATTGTCTTTACCAGGCGTCAAGAGCATCGCATGCGTGGGTAGAGGCACGTCGTACTGGCCCTTGGTCAACGTAACCGGTGTTCCGTGAGCTAGACACGANNCCTCCGAGAAGTCAGCTTGGTCGGAGAGGATTTTCTGCAAGACTTACATTCTGTTACTGATCAAAACTGCCCACCATGTTCGTATCCTCAGCCGCTTCTCATGATCTGAACAACCCCAGTTGCTCGGATTTCGATTCATACCAAACGTGTGAGCAAGAGCCAGCGTTCGGCCCTCGTTAATGATGTTTCCCACAATAGAGTTGACTGGTCGACCAATCATATCAAGCACACTGCTCAATATGGTCGAGACACTAGACTCATTGAAGTCTTCTTGCAAGGCGGCCACAGCAACATTACAAGCGTAGATGGGATCAGGTCGGGGATGACTCCTCAACTTTGGTGATCGGTCCCAAGAAGACAATGCATTGGTGATGATGTAAGACCACAGAGTGGAAGAGATTCCTATCGCTCCATGTTTCTTGATAGCCAGCTCATCTAGAATAGGAAAGCAAGGATGAGCGTTTTCGAAGTATCTATACAATATCAGCTGCTGAGGTCGGTTGGAGCAGTCACCAAATACTTACAAATCGACAAGCTCATCGGCAAACGGTCCTACAAGGTGTTGTAAGATGAGCTTTTGATTAGATCCAGGATCCTTGGCCGGCTGAAGACCTCTCCGGCGACGAGGAACCGAGAGATATAAAAGTGGATTGCGACTCGGTCCAGCTGTAGCAGTTTGCCGTTCTTTGGATGATTGTCTTGCTTCATCTCCTCTTGAGAGATATGGCCCTAAAATCTGGATATCTTCCTGGAAAACAGGTCCTACAATCACAGTCGACTCGGTACTCGGATGATCCAAAGGTTGTGCAATCTCAGCAGAGGCCTCAGCAGGAGTACCTATGGTAGAGCCTTGACGAGAAGGTCGTCCAGTTGGAACTTGTGGAGAACCATCACCTCCAGGACCTACAATCTGAGCCGTACGCTTCGCAGACCTTTCCCCTGGACCCGACGTAGAAGACCGATCGCGTTTTTGAGCATTCGGGGCCGGAGAAGCAACAACACACTGCCAACCCTTTTCCCGACAAAGAGTGCAAATGGCTGCTTGTTGGTCAAAGTGGCAGCGTATCTTTCGCTGACGACAAGCGGTGCAGGCGGGAAACTTGTGTGAGCGATACGGCCGTGTGCTGGTGGGAGGGTCCATAGTGTTAGCCCCGGCTGGGCCATCTCTGACATATCTGAATAATAATGCAATGGCGAAGAGAGGAAGGAAGGCAAGGCCGAGTTCCCCGAGTCAAGGTTTCCCGACATGGTTGTTCCCCGTGACTTTGCCGAGGTCTTTGCCTGTCCATGAAACTTGCAATAGATTCGCACAAGCAGAATAAGAACAGGCCAAACAATGATTTGAGGCATTAAGCATTGTGTAAAGAGAATCAGATCATCAGATGTAGAGGCCTAGGGCTAGAAGAGACCTTTACGAGGAAAATGTGAGTCAATTGTAGAAGTCAGTTGCACTTGCTTCTCTTGGATCATTATTAAGCCATCAATTCATGGACGCTATGAGATTCAAGGCAATCTCGTCAAATCGATTTGTGTCGAGGAATTAGACGTGCAAATGACCAGGGGACATGGTCGTAAGAGTACAGCTCACTGTATTATGACAGCGAGTAGGCAATGAATGCCCAAAGTTTATGATCAGATATAGTACAGTGCGATCCCATATGCATAATTGCCCGCCTCCTCGTCGCAACGCCTCAAAACTCCAACCCAAGAATGCTCATGAACAAGATGCTTATTTCTTTGGTGCAGCAAAGCCCAACTCCTCGGCGGGCTTCCACTGTTCCTTTCTCTCCAACAGCGCCCTAGCCTGCTCTCTCATGCTCTTTCTCTCGTCCTTATCCACAAACGTATCTGCCAGTCTACCTCTTTGCTCGGAGTACTTGTCGTTGTCCTTCTGGGCCTGGGCGTGTGTGTCCTTGCTCCAGTTCTCGTTCAACTCGTCCTTGGTCGGCATTTCTGGCCACACGAAAGGACTCTCCAGTTCGACCGTCATCTTCTTGATAGCGCGCGGGCGGAACCAGCGCTTGATCTGCATCTTGGGGGCGTTGGGTTTGCCTTGTGTGACTTTTTGTTGGTCGATGTAGGAGCGAACGCTGACGACGCGGACATTGTAGGCGTGAAACAGGTAGTCGCGAAGGTCGAGTTTGTTCATGTTGAGAGGCACGATGAATTTGGCGAAGCTGGCGGGCATGCGCGGTGTGCGGATGAGAGTTACTGTGAAGTTGGGNNTCTGTTTCATGCTCGTCAGCACTTTTTCGTTCGTCGCAAGGTCCTAGTATTGCGGTGCGCAGATGGCAGGGACGTACAGGAAGACCTCCTTGGTTCCTAGGCGGAATGGTGCCTTCATCGCTGCTTGGGCCGACATGGTTGNTGATGTGTAATGTGTGACTGGCCGTGATCTCTCGGTCGTGCTCGCCGCATACCANNAAAGTCCATAACTGCTCTGCGTCGGCAGGACCCGACCACCTTTTGCGACAGCCTTGGCATTATATCGCGACATTCGGAATGCTGTACAACAGGGATTGATGAACACCTTGTGTTGACCAGCGGAATCCGCATTTTCTCCATCTATCTCATAGAAGTTATATGTTATCATATCGATGGCTACCTTGACCCAAGAACGTATCGAGCCCTACGAGATCGTGTCGTGTGTGCCTCATCCGAAGCCTGTTCTAGTAAACCAGTATGTGAACACAATGCCACAAACCATTTTGCCGGAGCATTTTAATAACAAGACCATAGANCGACCAATATATGAACGCCATGCGTTCGCCGAGCGTCCTCTGCTGGCCGCCCTCCTCTTTGACAACGTCGACTCTGACGCTCGTGACCATTGTGCGAATGAGAGAAGTATGTACATTCTCGTCTTGAATGCCCAAATCGTGGACCATAGTATCAGAGATTCTGATTATGTTCGGTACGAATCTAGCNNATTCCTTTCGTGGCTACGACTAGCTATATACATGGCTGTCGTCAGTGTAGCCATTCTCATCTCGTTCCATCTCAAAAGTCAGCCTTCGCCGCTCGAACGACGGATAGCACTGCCCTTTGGCATAATATTTTGGTTTCTTGCTCTCGCTTGCCTGGCCAGTGGGACGGCGAACTACATCAAGACGGTAGAGAAGTATTCGAAGCGACAGGCATTAGTACAGACTGGCTGGAAGACGCAGGTGGTAAGTGTTAGAACGGCATGGTCTGTGGCGTGCTTCTGACTCCAGATCCAGGTCTTTACAGTTGTCGCAACTTCGATCGTGGCTGCTTGCGTGCTCTTCCTGTCGACAAACGCTGGAGCGAAGGAGAGGACGCGCTGAAATGATCTGATGAAATGGTTGATGGTTGATGATTCATGATTTTTTACACGCCGCGCTGCCGTAAACGTACACATAATGTTGGTATCTTCTAATCGTTTCCGCAAAGCAAACTCCTTCTCTACCTCTTGAGCAACGATTTGCCAATTTACATCTCGAGCAAACACCAAGTCTGGTCGTCGACTGTAGGGTAAATCTTGCCCATGGACTGAAGCTCGTCTGCTCCCTTGAGCACGTCAGCAACATCCATGCCAGTTCTGCTGGCAATGTCCTGCATGTGGAGACCTTCGTTGATCTGAGGAGTGTTTTGCATGCACTGGAAGACCTTTCTTGCGTGAGTCGAGACGCCGGCAGGCAGAGTGCCGCCGCCACCGGATTGACCGCCGTTGGTTGCTCCTTGACCTTGTTGGCCTTGTTGTTGTGCTCCGATGGGGCCGCGTGTGAAGAAGAGGTGGACGTAGGTGGCTTCCAACATGTGGTAGTTGACCTCATTCAAGTCGGTAAGAGGACGGATTTGTTGAGCGACAACGTGACGCTTGCCGAAAGTCTTCAGCTTGCCCCAAACACGAGCGTATGCGTTCTCGACCAGGCCGCCCTTGGCTCCGTTGTCCTCGTCACTTTGAGCAGTCTCCATGTCGATCCAGACCTTGACCTCGATAGTGCCAGTGCCATCGTCCAGCTTGTAGGTGATGTTTGTGGTTTGCTTGCTGATGTTGCGAACCTGGCCAACAAACGAGATTGTGGTCAGTTCTGAGCCGTCGATGGCAAAGTTTTCGCTGTCGGGTTGTTCGGCCTCGAGCAGTTGCTTGATTGTGACGGGACGTAGCGTTTCCTTGCCATATGANNCTGGCCGGGTCAGATGTGAACAAAATGCTTCAGGTTCATGAGAACTTACTCTCTTTGCGCTGGGACTGTCCTGGCTACCGGCCATAAAGCCACCATCCTCGTTACCACCCTGTGCACCATACGACGTTGTTGAGTATCCGTAATCTGCTATGATCAGAATTGCCTCTCGCATGCCAATTCAAGGTGGGGAGCCTCACCCATTGTGTTTTGGTTTCTCAACGTTAGAAACAGAAGATATTAGTCCGAGAAGCTTGGATCCGTCTTTTCTGTGGCAGCGGTGATATGTGGATAGATGCTGAGCGTGGGTATAACTTGATCAGTGTTTGATGAATGTGATCAAAAAGTGGCATGCTCGCTGGCAAACGCGACGGCAGCCTCGACCCGCGTCGACGCGTTTGAGTGGTTAGTCACGTGCTGATAAGGCAAGAACCAGAAAGCTTATCAGCAAAAGTTGAGGGTCGCGACTTCCCAAATTTGCGGAGAGGCGCTTTTTCTGCGAAGGCTCATTCACAACCATAATACAAGATGGGTAGACGAGCTGTTTCGCCTACCGCTTCCGAGAATGGTTTCGACATCTCGAATGCCCTGGCTGGAGGGGCTGGCCTAGACTCGGACGACGACAACACCCTCGCCGGTTTTGAACAACCTCAAGCCGTCGCCCTCGATGCGCACGGGGGAGCCGGACTGGACGACGATAGCGATGGCGACGAATTGTACATTGCCGCTCAACAGGCTGCCAACAACAGAAAGACGAAGGATGCGACGGGAAAGACAACCAAGAAGGGAGGAGGCTTCCAGTCTATGGGTCTGAACGGACACCTGCTCAAGGCCATTACTCGTAAGGGTTTCTCTGTACCCACGCCCATTCAGCGCAAGACCATCCCCGTCATTCTGGACGGTCAAGATGTCGTCGGTATGGCCAGAACTGGTTCGGGAAAGACGGCTGCTTTCGTTATTCCCATGATCGAGAAGTTGAAGTCGCACAGCGCAAAGGTCGGCGCAAGAGCCGTCATCTTGTCGCCATCGCGTGAACTCGCTCTGCAGACACTCAAGGTCGTGAAAGAGATGGGCAAGGGAACAGACCTCAGGACAATCCTGTTGGTCGGTGGTGACAGTCTGGAGGAGCAATTCTCGTCCATGGCCTCGAACCCAGATATTATCATCGCCACTCCTGGTCGTTTTGAGCATCTGAAGATTGAGATGAACCTGGACTTGTCCTCAATCAAGTACATCGTTTTCGACGAAGCCGATCGTCTGTTCGAAATGGGTTTTGCTGCACAGCTGGCCGAGATTATGGTCGCTCTGCCTCCTAATAGACAAACTCTCTTGTTCTCTGCTACTTTGCCCAGATCATTGGTTGAATTTGCTCGTGCTGGTCTTCAGGAGCCCAAACTCATTCGTCTGGACGCCGAAACAAAGGTCTCACCTGACCTTGAAACCGCTTACTTCTCCATCAACACTCAGGAAAAGGAGGGCGCCCTTGTACACATTCTAAGAGACGTCATCAAGATGCCCAGCGGTCCTACAGAGAGGTCCAAGCAGGCCAAGGAAGACAGCATGAAGTCCAAGAAGCGCAAGCGTGGTCCCGATGGTCCTGGTGCAAACGAAACCCCGACCGAACATTCTACCATTGTTTTTGCTTCTACGAAGCATCACGTTGAATACCTTTACAATCTTCTCAGCCAACTCGGATACGCCGTATCATATGTCTATGGTGCTCTGGACCAAACCGCCAGAAAGATTCAGATTCAAGAGTTCAGATCTGGCCTTACAAATATTCTGGTTGTCACCGATGTCGCTGCTCGTGGTGTTGATATTCCCATTCTGGCCAACGTCATCAACTATGACTTCCCTTCGCAACCAAAGATCTTTGTTCACCGTGTCGGTCGTACTGCTCGTGCCGGTAAAAAGGGATGGGCCTACAGTCTGGTCACACAGAAGGACTTGCCTTACCTGCTCGACCTTCAGCTTTTCCTTAGTCGTAGATTGGTTCTTGGAAGAGAGCCTACTGATGAAATCAACTATGCCGACCAGGTCGTCCTGGGAACGCTCGTCAGAGCTCCCCTTGAGATCTGCGTTGAGGAAGTCGGAAAACTTGTTGACGAAGATGTCGACTTGTCCGGCATACGCGATGTCTCCGTCAAAGCTGAAAAGCAATACGTGCGTACTCGCACTTCAGCCTCGTCCGAAAGTGCAAAGCGCGCCAAGGTTGTCGGCTCCTCTCCCCATTACTCGGAAATTCACACTCTGTTTGAGGACGATTCAGAGGCTAGACACATGGAGCTGGAAAGAGAGAAAATGCTTGCTCGAGTGAGCGGGTTCCGCCCTCCGGAAACCATTTTTGAGGTCGGCAAACGAGGTACCGCTAACGAGGCTACTGAAATCATGAGAAACAGACGAGCCAAAATCCAGCCTCGTAAGCAGCAGGAGAAGGCTGCGGAGACGGAAGAAATAGACGAAGACACTACAGTCTTTGACAATGATGACGATGACCTACCTACAGGAGATGTTGATGTCGACCTCGATGAAGCCTCGGAAGACGAGCTCGAAATCACTTTCTCACAACCCGAGAAGAAGAAGGCAAAAGCATCAGGTGCAGGTCAGGACTCGGAATTCTTCATGTCTTACACGCCACAAAATATCAATATGGCTGAAGACCGAGGTTACGGTGTTCACTCGGGCACGGATGGAGGCCGCAATACTCATTTCTTGGATGCTGCCCGCGGAGCCACTATGGACTTAGCAAACGATGACACAAAGGCTTTCGGTGCCCCTAGCAAGGCTGGCGGTCTTCGTTGGGACAGCAAGAGCAGAAAATACGTGTCCCGTGCCAACGACGAGGACGGTTCCAAGGGTACGAAGATGATCACGGGTGAGAGCGGTCTCAAAATCGCAGCCTCATTCCGCAGTGGTCGCTTCGACAGATGGAGGAAAGACAATAAACTCGATGTCCTTCCTCGCGTCGGAGAACTCGAACGTCCGGGCAACAGAAATGGCATTGACAACCAACGCTTCAAGCACAAGATGGTTAAAGCACCCAAGGACGCTGACAAATACCGAGACGATTACTACAAACAAAAAGCAAAGGTGGATGCAGCGAAGGAGAAACGTGTCGGCAGGTTCGAAAGTGGACCTGGCAAAAGCGAGCTCAGAGGTGTCGACGATGTGCACAAACTCAGACAAGAAGCGCAGAAACGCCAGGATAAGAATGCCCGACCGCAAGGTTCGAGCAGTCGTGGCCGTGGTGGTGGTGGGCGCGGCGGACGTGGCGGAGCAAGCAGAGGAGGATCTAGCCGAGGTGGGTTCGGAGATCGTGGTTCAAGCAGTCGTGGTCGTGGTGGTGGTGGTGGTGGCCGAGGAGGTGGCCGTGGCGGAGGTAGAGGAAGAGGTGGCAGAAGCTAGTGGAAGCGTTCATTCTCTTTGTCTTTTCACACTAGCATAGCAGCAAAACAAGAGCTCGTGCGAGCATCATTGGGTGGATCTACTCTGCAGATTTGCAAATTGCTCACCTGCCCGTTACATATATCTTGCAGTTCCGTGCTGGGTGCTCATGAATGTTCTCCACATTATGCACCGTTTGGTACATGCTATAGCTACCTGATTAACCTCACCGCAAACCTTGTTGAGCAGTGGAAAGTCTTTCCTGACTTGCTACAACCAAAATGTATGGCATGTCAAATCCCGTTGGCCGTTCGGGCGTACGTCGCTAATAAGGATAGAGAGTTCTTCGGACAAGTGCACACTCTCGCCCTAGCCGTCATCTTATGCAAGGATTGAATTGACTTTGATGCTGACTCGCACGTAAAGGACGGCCCGGTGAGTGAAACGCCGTGACACCGATGATGTTGCTTTTGACTCTTGGTATGATGATGAAACATGGGTCGAGGTGTGTATACAGACAGCCGTTGTAACGGACAAGCAACGGGTCACTGCTTGACTGTGGAATGCAAGAAATGCTTAATGGTGCTTTGATCAAGCCGCTAAGATAGTCGGGCTTGCAGTGGTTCCAAATGACTCCCGCAAGGGACTTGTTAGTTGGTCGGTGTTGGTGCTTCATCACCACAGAAGCCGTTCGCAGCGGTAAAAGTACGGCGCTTGGATCGATCCCAAATCCATGGTTCTTTTGGTCGGGCATATGTCTACGGGTGTTGCTGGAACAAGATCAGTCCATAATAGCTGCACAAGCATTGTACCGCGAAGGGAAAGGACGACGTGAGGTTGTCCTGAGGCTTGGCGCGTCGAAACGTCGGACGTTTTCGCTCGGCCCCCAACTTCTCCATTCCAACCTCACCTCTTGAGCCTTGCCCTTTGGCAAGAAACTCCGTAGCGCCCTCGGGCTTTTCTTTCGACCCTCTGATACCGTCTGCATCATGCGGCTCTTGCATGAGCTGTGCAGTGATTGCGATACTCATTCAGTATGCAGCCTCGAAACCTACGCCGTGTGATGGACTTCAGGCTGGACCACACTCTCTAGGAGCAAGGGAAGAACTACCAGGGCCACGTTTTTTGTCCAAGAACACGTGCTTGGCAAGCTCTGATCAGTGCTGATCACTCACAAATCGCTGCCTGCGACTCTCATGCTCATCACCAACCGGGACTCCGCAGGGCTACGCGATAATTCTCCTTCTTCCGGACTGTGAGATTGCTATGCACCTCCTTCCCACGATGCTGGAACAGGAAAGAGACGTTCCACGATGCTTCTGTGGCTTTCGTTGGTTAATTGACAGTTTTTCCGTCTCTTAATTATTTCCAGGTCTGGTCTTCCGTCTCGTGTTTAGGACTCCCGCAAGTAATCCTTTTCGCTCACATCCCGGACTCTGCCCAGGGCCGATGGTAGGAAAATAGCATCCCATACTCGGGTCCGAAATCCACTCTCGAATGTTCAATAACCTGTTGAAGGATGATGACCGAATTTTTGCAAAGTTACAGAGTTGGGAAATCGATGATCGAGATCAAAAGGGTTCTCACACCTTCAAAACTTGCAACAGCAGGTCCCTTGGTCTAAACCTTTCTCTCTGTGTTCATGAGTGATCATGAGTGTGGTCCAAGCGGCCGATCCGGCCCCACGATCCTGTTAACAACGACAGCCACTCTTTGGAAACAATGACCCGCCGACAGCAAGCAATGGAGCTTAATCAGGGCGTTTCAGGATCTTCTTTCCGGTAGGTACACCTGCGTCCTCCAGTCCAATACCCGCAAGGCTTTTTATTGGCCTAGGTGACCCCTCTGGCCGCGCCAGCTCCTGGCTATGCCCACCCTTATGCGGCAATCGCTGCCTAGAGAGCATTTAAACACGAGTCCAGCACGGTTGGAGCATGCGCCATCCCGCAAACCGCTTTGCATATGGCGCATGTCGGGGATTGTTGTCGCCGATGCATTAGAGGGCGTTCAATGATCTACTGCCCTGCACCATCCATCTGCGTCTTGTTGTAGCGACGTTGTCGAAATGCCAAGAGATGGTGGAACCGACATGCACAGGACCAACTCATGGGTCCTCTTTCATGGGCATGGTGGCCCCGATGCATCGTGTTTTGGGCGGCGCAATGATGGAAGCCCGCCCTGTCAGCACCAGAGGGAGAGAGATGTGCGGTCCATATGACATGTCTGCAATCGTTGTTATGCCATCTCGTGTGCGGCTTCCCCATGATCTAACCTTAGTTCACGCACATTACGCCATGACTGTCTGGGCTGTCCGACGTTTGTTGCTGCTCCCAGTCTTATGTACGAGTCTGTGCAATCCTAACCCAATTCATGGGGCTTAGTGTGTNTCTCTCTCCGTGCATGCTTCTACCCTCTCGTCTCATCTAGGCTGGATTTCCAGCTTCATCAGTGTTTTTGTTNNTTCTGCTTCTATGTTTTGTTGGTTCATGCCAATAGCAACGACAAATAGTTTGNNATCCACTACACTCGCTTCCAACTCTTCGTCATTTCTTCGGATCCATCCTCTCGATCTTACTATTCACCAACTCCGACTTTGAAACGTCTGTACTCCGGCCTCCGCAAATCTGTATAATTGTCCGTAGGCAGAATTTGAGCAATCCGCACAGATACACATGGAGAACGAGTAAATCTTTTGGCAAAAGACTATCCTGCGAATCGCAACTGAACAGGAAATTTGTACAAGCTCGTCCTCAGTTTCTGAAAGCAATTCAGTTCTTTGTGAGCTTCTGTCATTCGCTCCTCCCCACTCGGCAACCCGATTCTCAATCGACTCGTTTTCGGGAAAGTATGACCGGGTCATCACAGCCCAATTACTTCTACTTACCATACGAGTTTCGACCTCAAATCGATCGTTCAGACCTTGCTTTCGCAACAGGCGGGTCTCCGCCGTGGCAACTCATTCCGTCGTACCCTTCACCGCCTATGTCCAGCCCGCCTTCCCCACAGAGGAAGGTATCTGATATACAGCCTCCACCAGCTACAACATTCTCTGAACTTACGCTTTCTGGCACCACTACCTCTACAGATCCATCGGTCACCGGCACAGACTTTACCATACCTCCCGTCTCGGCAGGTGCATCTGCATCTACATTGCAAAGCTTACCTCAATCCTTTGCTCCATCATCATCAGCAGCGTCATCAGGGGTACCCCGCACTTATTCATCGTCTTCGACAGAAAGTCTTGCACCACTTCGTCAGACCAAGTCTGGATCGAGTGCAAGCAATGTGCCAGATACCCTTCCTACTGCTGGACCCAGTGTTGGACAGTCGTCATTATCTAACATAGGTCGAGGTGGGAGAAGAGCTAAAGTCCATGTTGCCAATGCATGTAACAATTGTAAGAGAGCACATCTCAGCTGTGATGTCGAAAGACCTTGTGGCAGATGTGTGGCTACAGGCAAGGCTGTAAGTCTATCTTGGGCAGATATCAATTCTAAGCTGACAACATTTAGNGAGACGTGTCGTGATGTACCTCACAANAAGCGTGGTCGACCACGTTTACGCGATGAGGGCCAGTTTCAGCTACAGCAAGGTGGTTCGGAGGTGGAGTCAGTGGCGAGTCCAGTTGCGGGACCCTCGTCTGCTAGACCAATGGCCCGACCAGGCCATCGAAAAACAGCTTCTCTACGGACGCTAGCTGCTTTTGCTGCAGAACAGAGCCACCAACCTTCAACTAGTCAAGGTGTTCCGGCGCGCGAACGCGCATACTCATTCGGAGCAGCTCCGTCGACAGGACTCCTACCACCATCCAGACACCCACGCTTAGCCCCTTCCCCTGAGATACCAATCGCTTTTCTCGACACCGATTTTGTGGTCTTGAAGGCCAACACGACCTTCCAGCGTCTCTTCTCGTGGCTACAGGAGATCAAGGGAATACGCTTGTCGGACATTGCAAAGCCGTTGGACGGAGACAGCTTCCAGAATGCTCGCAACAGGTTGAGGGAAGAAAGAGAGATACGCGAGCCGGCATACCTACCGCCTATACTACAACCAAGATTGGACCCAGTGTCAGGCATTGGAACAACGGATCATGATGTGGAGGAAGTTACAAGAGGTTTTGCAGACCATCAGTTCGCCTGGACTTTCCGACTCGGAGGTGGTGTTGATCAGACATTACCGGTCCGTATGCGTCTGGCAAAGACGTCTGTTTACTTTGTCACTCTGTTCCTGCCACCGTTACCACCCCAAGTCGCCGAGCAGATCATAGCTCCTCAACCACCACCATTCATGTTTCCCACACGGGTTGCAGCCCCTCCATCCGCGCCATTTCAAGGCAGTCCCCGCATGATGGAACAACAACCGGGCATCTCTGAACCTCCCTCCACATACTACACTTTTACCGACCCCGGATCACAAAACTACACACTCAACCCACGCTACTCATTCGGTGAACACTCATACACGCACAGCACACATTACCAGCCATCCTACCATCAGCCGCAACAACCATCGTCACAACAAATGCTGCCACCACCCCCAACACATTCAGACCAACGTCCCGGCACAGCAGGATCAAGCTCCAGCAGTCACATGACGCAACCTCCTTTCCTTCAGCCTCCCATGCATGCACATCGCAGCCGACCAAGATCCGATACCATGGACTCACTAGGTAGACACATTCAAACCAGACTACGAGCAGACAGCGGGGCTACAGTATCAGTACTCCAAAGCTCGCCCGTGCAACAACGACATGCCGTTGAGCGAGCAAGCAGTGAAGATGACATTGAGACAGGGGAAAGTTCAGGAAGCCCCAGNAAAAGAAGAAGACTCGATATCAATGAGATGTTGCAGCGATGAGAGGGACGTAAGAACTGAGCATAGCGGGTGTGGTACCAAAAATTTCGTCTTCTTCATTGTTCACAAGTTTAGAAGTGTCTTTTTTTTTAGTTGGGAGAAAAACGTCTCAATGACGAGAGTGTAGGTGAAACAAAGATTTCTTTATTGCATTCTTATACATATATAAGGGAGGTCTTTATGATGCTTGTTCTTTCTTGTTCCAGAATAGGCACAGATACTGTATCTACTTGAATGTAATTTGTCGAATTGCTTCTTGCTCCTTTCCAAAAGCTCTCTGGATACCTTCGCTATGGGTACCAATCCCGGTTTCTAAGTCGTGGACCCGTTGAGAGAGCGTCACAACTACTTGTGCGAGATGTACTACTTTGGGCTCCAAAGTGCTCATAAAGGTCTAGATGCTCTGTTGATCAACTCACCGGATGTGCCAGCGCAAACCCGCCACGTCTGGTTGAGCTCTTGCAGCAATAGCTCAACGGACGCGTATACGGTTTCGCATAGCCAAGGCGTCTCTTGCCAGCAAAGCCTGTGTTGCCATTGCTTTGCGTCCCAGTAGCGCAACAGCATTGTGAATCCAACATAGCCACACTCGAACACCTCGAAATAGCATTAAAGACCTAGACCATGGGATTTTCCGCGGTCGATAGATATACTTGCGTGGCCCTTGGTTACTTGTATAAAACAAGACAGTATGTTGTGTTTCTCTGTACCTCGCATAGCCCCCAAGCAGCAAAGAGAGGTATCAGTGACGCGGCGGAATATACTTCTTCACCTGTTGTGAGACTTGCAGCAGAGAGCTCTACTCCGATGATGGCATCCCAACAGTGTGGTTGTAGGAAGATTGCGGTGTTACGACACAGTGGTGGGTTCGGAGATATGTTGTGGAATGTAAGCGTGTTGCTGTACCGAAGAGTTTCGAGTTGCTTGATGCTGTATTTTTGAGATGTATCGTTCTCAGATGACGATCGAGAAGCACAAGTTTCTTGGTAGCCGCGCGGCGAGGCTTGTTTGGTGGTCTTGTGTTGGGATACTGGTGTCAGTCTGGTGGAGAGCATATTCCGATTGTATGTCCGCTTCTCGAGACTGGTAAAGTCACACGTCGAAACACTCTTCAGCCTGATCTTTTACAGGGTAGTGCAAGCGTTCCTGGATTATCTGGTCTATAGTCCCAATCTTGAGGGTTGTCATAGAACCAGCGATCCAGAAAGCGACTTTCCTGAACAGCATGTCAGGAATCCCGGATGTGAGCTTGTGCTGTCCACGAGTCCTGCAACTACCAAAAGTATACTTGAAGGTCAACTATGCCCCTTCACTACCACCATGAAGGTAGACCGAAAGCTTTCTATAATATATCGGACGGGTTATGGTCCTTTCATTGTCAAGATATATTGTTAATGGTGCAACCCTGTCGTTAACTAAGCATCATCTGGTGAACAGCAACGAGGACGACCGCTAGTCTTTCTGCTATGCAAGACCGCAATTAGGAAGAACAGGTATAGTATGGAGTGATCTTCATGTGTCGGCTTGCGGTTGGAAAAGAATAAGAAGAGATGAAAGGATCAATTAGGGTGACTTGGAAGCATCAGTTGCCAAAAACGGTAAAGCGCGATATCGAAGGGTGAGAGTCGCCCAATGTTTGAACGGATGTTCAGCCAAACGTTCCTTTTCGGCGAAATAGGTCTTGGGGGTCGAGGACAATTTTCGCCTATGACTGCAGATGGATAGAATGATAGACTATGTTGCTATTGACTGCTCACGTGTCGTTTGTATACCCTTATCATGAGCACGCCCGTCGTATCTGGTGCGACGCGACGGTCACAGGCTGCTGCGGAGGACAGCTTGGCGTGTAAGGAATGCCGTCGTCGCAAGGCAAACTGCGACCATAAGATACCGGAGTGTTCGACCTGCAAACGTTACAAGCGTCATTGTCTCTATGATAGGCTTGGGAAGACACCACTAACAAGAAGGCATGTGTCCATGAGGTTTCCTTGCAGGCTTCGCGGCTGACTTCCGGCTTCNAGGCATCTTACAGAGGTCGAGCATCGACTATCGCGTGCCGAAGCGATTCTGAAGAGATTGTTTTCTGACCAAGAAGTTTCGTACTTGCTTGATCAAGAGCGCTCAGGCGATGTACCCATATTGCCCTCCGTAAGAAATGCTTCACGGACACAGACGCCACGGACGGCCAGTCCGGCTGGAGAGAGCATTAATTCACCAGCTTCGTTGCATCAGCGGCAATCAGTAACTTCACAACCTCAAGCACCAATCCAAGGAAGTGCCGCTTTCGAGGATCCGGGATCAACATGGAGCTTTCCCACTACCGACGTGGAGCCGGACCCTACAGCGGCCTTGTATCCGGATGGCGATGAGGAATTCGAGTGGGACGAAAGAGAGCAGACTGGACTTTCTGGTGGAGTCGCTATGGCGGAGGATGATGAGGAAGGTGTCAGAAAGGTTATGGATGGCATGGCCACGCTCACGGTCGATGGTGGGAACTATGGTTATCTTGGGATGGCGTCTGGTGCCTCTCATCTACGATCCTTGTGGATGGAATCTGGAAACGGTCTTTCCTGGGACTCTGGTGCCTGGAACGATCGACGACGTGATCTGCAGCACCTTCTTCGTCGGCAGACAGAAGGCTCATCGATAGCCTCTGCAGTGCAAACTCAGACTTTGGTAACACGAGCGATGGTAGACATGTTCGTCGATGCCTTCTTCGTTCGCTATCATCCTGTCTTTCCCATATTGCATGAGCCGACGTTTAGAGCTCAGTACGACAGTAGAATGGCTCGACCTGGACAGAGTATCTGGCTTGTTCTCGTGAATATCGTTGCAGCTTTGGGTGCCTTTGTCACAAACCCGAGCTCATCAGATGAGACGAGCCTGTCGATCTTTCGGACGGCGAAGCGCTATCTTGCAGTCAATGCATTGGAAACAGGCAACTTGACCCTGGTGCAAGCATTTGGTATGTCGGCCATGTTCCTCCAGAAGATCAACAAGCCAAACACTGGCTATAACTATGGTGGAGTAGCCATCAGGATGGCCATCGGGCTTGGCTTGCACAAGGAGTTTGGATCCCAACATATGAGTCCATTCAAACAAGAATTGCGACGAAGGATATGGTGGTCTCTTTGTGTCCTGGACGTGGGTGCAACAATCACCTACAGTCGTCCGTTGATCTGGCCGCAAGTTGGAGTCGATGCAGCTTTGCCGTCCAACATCCGGGAGGAGGATTTAATGATCAATTCACCAGTGACACCAGCCGAAGTCGATGAAGCGACTGTCAACACGTACCTCAGAGTCCAGTCGTCGTATCATCTGCAGACGATGCCGATATACAACCGGCTGATCAGTAATCCACCTCCGCTGCCCGAAGAACTCTTGACTCTCGACTCGACCATCGTAGAGGCCTGGTTGAGCCAGGTGCCGCATTACTTCAACGATAGCATCGGACAACACCTGGAGGATCGGTTTGCGTTGCCACATGGAATTAATTGCTGGAGATATCGAAATCTTCGAATCGTCATATTCCGGCCGTTGCTGGTGAAATGGGCGTTGCAAGATGGACTCGAAGAGACTCTTACTTGGCATGAGCAGGAAGCTACCAATCGATGCTTGCGCGCTGCTCGAGAGAGTATAGCGTCGATACAGAATTTCTGGAAGTCGAGACCGCAGACTAGGTTGACAGCGTTCTATGTTCTGTAAGTATTGTTAGCTGTGAAGTCTTGAAATGTTGACTAATCGTATAGCAGATACTTCCTCTTCCAAGCAGCACTCATCCCGATTCATTGTTTGCGTTGCAAATCCCAGTCAAGGTTGGCACCCGAATGGCGAGATCAAGTCACCGCAACTCTGGAGGTGGTCGAATCGATGATTGGGCTGAATCAAAGCGCATCGAAATGCCGAGATGTCATCATGAGTCTATGTGGCTCGCATCTTCGTAGTCTGGACGATGAATTCGTCAATTATGAACAAGCGTTCAACTTCGAGCCGACGATGGACGCGACTGCGTGGATGGCTGGATGCGCGCCTACCTTGATCAATGAAAATCTTTGGGCTGGTAGTCTGGACAACACCAGTGCGGAGCTCTCTTTCAGTACCTGGGAAGGAGATTGGAATATATGAGACTTGAATGCTGTGCTCGAGCCTGTCCAACGGGTGGGCAGCCATCTGAAACACAAAAGACAAAGAAACAAGATGAGAGCCGATGGAGTGGAAAGACAGCTTGCCGATGGCATCTGTTGACCTATCTCAGCCAAGACCAGGCACCGACCGACTGGGTCAGGGGGAGTGAGTGAGGCGTTCCTTCCGCAACATGTATGCACCTAGCCGCCGCAGGTACTGCCAACGCGTTTGTCCATCACCAACACCACAATCGCCGCTCATGTCAATCCAAACTACAACAACACCAGAATTCAACCCAATATCATCAAACGGCTGTCTTAGTCTAGTGGTTTAAGACGCTGCCCTCCCATCTAGAGGAAACTCTGGTGACCAAGGAAAGGCAGAGGTCATGGGTTCGACTCCCATAGACAGCATTCCTTTTGCACCTACAGCACCTCTCCCTTTGTGCCTTGCTCGTGAGGTCCTTCTCTTTCGTGTGCTGAGTTCTGGACAATTCACAGTCATATACTTGTGGCGAAGCTGAGCGACACCCAAGCTATAGATGCACGATACCTTAGTGAAACAGGGCTCACATACTGAGAGGCCATACCAAATCGGCTCTCTCTGATCATATCCCTATTCCGAATGCATCTGTGCACTTCCATTGGCCTCAACACACGGGGATTTCCTAGTCCAAGCTCCTGCCCTTGCAAGTGCACCGAGGTTGTACACCATACCTCACAGCTCCCCCATCTCTCCAGCTTTCCACACGCCTCACATATTCCTTGACACGCACCAAGGGATCAGGCTCAGATCTGTAGGGCCTACACATACCACACACCTCCCCTCAGTCATATAAACCTCCACCTCTGGCATCTTCCTCCTCCTAATAACCTCCACAACAGCATCCAGCAAAAAGTCCACCGACAGCGAAGTATTCTTACACTGCAACTCAACACACAACCTCACATTCTTAGCCTCAAACCTCATACAGAAGCGCAAGTTCCTCTGCTGCCGATTTTGCCATCTCGATTTTGGAGCCGTAGGGTCCGCAGGAACCGTTGAAAAGACGGAAGATAAATATGCAGTCGAGTATTTCGTAGACTTCGTGGCAGATTTGGAGGGATGTGTGCATTAGCGGTGGGAGGGGCAGGTTTGGTGTTGAGGGGTGGGCGTTCATGTAGTGGGTGTATATCTCTCGGCGAAGCTCGAGGGGGAGGTCCATGAGGCCTGAGCCTGGTTGGAGGGGTCTTGTGGTGTCTGACTGTAGGGTCTCCCTAGAGCCAGACTGTAGGTCTTCCGTGGAGCCTGACTGTGTTGGTTCCAAAGAGTCTGACTGCAGGAGTACCTCGGAGTCCTCATCTTGGATACTGAGTCTTCTTCGTTTGTGGATTTTGAGATCATCTGTTGAAGCAGGAGAGTTCCTCTTCCGTTGAGATCTCTTGCAAGCGGCTTTGAAGTTGGCTTTGAGCCATAACCGGACTCTTCTGAGCCACAGTCGATGGGCGCTGATGGTTGAAGTGTCGTGTAGAGTCGACGTGCTATTTGAACGAAAACTCGGTAAAGGCGCCCTGGTTTTGCTGTTATCCATGTCTAAAGTTCGAGAAGAGGAGATGGAGCGGCAGAAGGTCGTCTATGAAAAGGGTATCTGTTAGGCTGAAGAGCAATCGTCGCGTGCTTAATATCTCCCAAATTCTCATTTTTGGCAAACTTGCTCAAACTTGCTCTCGTCCCCATCATAATTCTGTCCATGTGCGTGGATTTGTATGGTACTCATGAAAGATGACGCGACAACCAAGGCGAAGTCTGGTTTCTATGACCTTGAAGGGGGCTCTTCATGGATACACCCCGAATGTGAAAGCGATTGCACACTCTGATAGCTCATCATAATCACTACACATGTGACGAGATGAGAAAGAAGTCAGATGAGAGAATATGATAGACTTGAGCACAAGAACTCGTGAGGTCTAAATTGTAGATTGGTCAGAAACACAAACAATAGCAAGTTTCTAATGGAACAAATGATACAGCACGCCAATTGCTGGCAAACCCAGAGCGAAAAGCAGCAGTCCTGTCCATCTCAAATAACCTGATTGACGAATTCAAGCCAACTCGGAACTTCTGCCACTCAAAAACGGAAACCCCGAAAGAACAAAGTGAAAACTCCATGGTAGCGCCTTGCGCAATGCATTGATGGACGAAGGATTTTGGAATGTGACAGGTTCCGATCGTAAGAGATAGACTGCAAAGTACAGAGTGCTGACAATGCCATGCTGTGAGGGGAGAGGGTGTGTGGGTATCTCGTTCGTAAAGCAGTCGATATAATGTGTGACTCGCTAATCAGCGAAGGTTCAAGGCTTTCTTGGTGTTTTCGTAAACGACGTAGGTGATGGAGACGGCTGGCACGACCTTGAGCAGATTGGGTGTGAGGCCCTTGAAGAGACCTCTAACACCTTCTCCTGCAAGCGTCTGTCTGGTGACGTCCATGATGCCCGTGTAAGTACGGGNGTGGCTAGCAGTGCCTTGCGACTGCAATCTGGTTCGGAGTAGGTTCAGGGGATAGACGGCGGAAGCGCCAATGGCACCACTGAAGCCGCCTATGAGAGCTGTTGCGAAGCTGCTAGGTGCAGCATCGACCTCGTGTCCTCCGTACTTTTTGACATTGTATGCGGTGATGGTGCGTTTCAGATATTCGAAAGTACCCAGATCGATGGCCGCATAGGGAAACATGCCAACAAGACCCATGGGCAAGCCGCGGTAGAAGGAGAAGATGCCGTTCTTACCCCACATCTTGACGGCAGTTGCGGCGATGAGCTTTGTTCCACGAAGGCCTCCTGGTACAGTTTCGCATTGCATTCGGCTGTCGCATGTCAGCACTCTGCCACAAACGGAAATTCTGGTACCAGCTTACAATTTCAGTGTGTCAAGAGGGTAGACGACAGCTTGTGAAACCATCCCTGCTACACCGCCCGCAATGAATTGCGAGACTGGTGAGATCTTTCGTGTGTTTGTGTGGCCCTCGAATCGTGCGACCATCTTTTTGCGGCCTAGACTGGATGTCAGGATTATTTCTACAGGAAATACGCTAGCACTTACCTCGTACGAGCCGAACTTGACAGCAGATTCGGGCATGACCTTGACGATGTTCAAACCATTGCCTTTGTGAGACAATTAGCAAAGCTCAAACACTGTTCGAGAGAAGAACTCACCAGCAAACAAGCTACGAATACCGCCTGCGGCCCAAAGCTCCTTGCAGGCTCTGACCAAAGTGTTTGCGCTCGACTTTGCTGCTGCTGCGGGTGCACCACTTTTGACGGCTTGCACGGCTTCGTTGGTGCCAGTCTGGGCGATGAGGTAGACTTTGAGACGGTCAAGAGGGGCGGTGGTGGTTCTCGAAGCAACGCCTGATATGCCGCCAGCCAGGAAATAGCCTGGATCAGGGACGAATTCCGTCAGCATGCTCATAAAGGCCCGGGCACGCGATGCATATGATCGGTCGTCATGATCAGAGACAACGGCGGCTTCTGTGTGAAGTGACGGGAGAGGTGGATTGCTTGCGGGCTGCGTAGCTTTAGATGGTGAGGGTGATGGTGCTGGTGCTGGTGAAGCAATTCGGGTGATGGCCCCAAAGAGCGAGTGCTTAAGAAAGGAGGTTGCAGTACCTAGTCCCTGAATTGTCTCATCACTGACCGACACATCGCCCTCTTGGGTCACCTTCATGGCTGACTGATAATATGACATGACGGCCTTGAGTCCAGGCGCGCCGATGGGCATGAACAGGAGGAAGTCNNGCTGCTTGTCGTTAGTCTCAGACCAACTCTTTATGACTTTTGCGACGTACCGCCATTCTCCAAAGTTTATAACACCGTCGTTGTCCGTGTCAACGTCGTCGAAGAAGCTGTCAAGACGCGAGTTGGGCACGGCTAGACCGGCACGCACAAAGGCAGCGCGTAACTCGCTCTTGTCGAGGTTGCCGTCATGGTTGCGGTCTATACTCTGGAAGAGCTGCCAGAGCTCTCGTTCGGTCTGGTCGACGAATTTGCGAAACTCNNTTTGTCGGGTCAGCGGGTGGTTCGTTCGGATGTGGTAGGCTTCATGCTAACCATCGTATTCGATGCGACCGCTGTTGTTGATGTCGGCGGTCTGCAGGACATCTTCTATCAAGCCATCTGCATTCTTCAGAGCNNTGCAATTGACGCGTGTCAGCGCTTTGTCGACATGGCTAGATCGTGATGGATGCTCACGGTGGTCCAGCTTCTTCAGGCCCTTCCTGAAGGCCTTGAAGTCGAGGAAGCCCTCGTTCTGTGTGTCCAGCTTCTTCCACAGGGAGCGAGTCCTGTTCTCCCTCTCGGCGGGTGATTCGGCATCCATGGTCTGCCGTCTGTTGAAGTTCGGGCTATCTCGGTTTCATGGCTCTGATAGACCAGTAAAGGGGGTTCCACGATGCGCCTGGGGGATTTCCAGCAACGAGCGCTCCTTCGACAGCGAGCGCAATATGGTATCAAACGATGGATAGGAGGTGAAAAGCGTGTTATCTTTGTTCTTCGCATTAAGCCTCGAACAACCGAAAAGGCCTCATCCCCGCTGTCCTGACTTATGACGCTTTTCCTTCCTTCCCTTCTTGGCGCTACTGTATCACGTCCAAGCTTGGAATTGCTGACCACACCGGAAATAACACATCCAACATCAAGATCTTGCCGCACATTGATACGTCTCTATATCAAAGACCGAGCATCAGCATTCGCATGTAGGTAGCCTCACCAAATCAAGTGTCGACATGCTCTTAAAACTCACTCCATCGCTCGCTCTTTCCGCAGCTGAGCGTCGCCTTGGCGCTGCCTCCAGCACAAGTCGTGGTAGTCTGACAAGACAGATACACCCTCGAAACAACATTCAGGACATACCTTGAAATTATCAGTTCGCATTCGATCCATCAGTAGACTTACTTCTGTCATCATCAAAACACATAACATCCACCATGGCGGCCAACTACTGGGATTCGACGCAGCGGACATATTGGACTTTCACCAAAGACCAGCTTGATGATATGCGAACTCAGCAGCAGCAAGACAACCAGGAACTACACAGCAGATTTCCTCTACCTGAGCCACGTCTGATGAACATCTATATACAGCAGCGTGAGTTCGATGACATACCGAAACATAGACTCCCCTGACTGATGGGATAACATNNAGAAATCATAAAGCTTGGCCGAAGAATGAATGTCAGGCAACAACCGCTCGCCACGGCTCAAATATACGTCCGAAGATTCTACACAAGAGTAGACATTCGAAGGACGAATCCATATCTTGTCATGACGACAGCTGTCTATGTTGCTTGCAAAGTCGAAGAATGTCCGATACACATCAGGTTGGTGCTGGCCGAGGCTGCGAGGCAATGGCCTGAGCTAGGCATCAACGACATCTCCAAGATTGGCGAATGCGAGTTTCATCTCATCAGTACAATGTCAGCACGCATGATGATCCACCACCCGTACCGGAGTCTCAACGATCTAGCCCCAGGTTTGAACTTGTCTACCGACGAGATGGCTTTATCCCAGAACATCATCAACGATCACTACAACACTGACATGCCTCTGATGTATCCACCACACATCATCGCTGTGACAGCCATCTTTCTGGCTGTGGTCTTGCGTCCAACTCAGTCCAATCTGCAGGCCCACGCTGCCGCCACCAGTGCCACAGCCTTGCAAAGTGCTATGCAAAATCCCAACAAGATCGCAAAGATGACTCAGTGGATGGCAGAGAGCGATATCGACGTGAATGCTTGTATGGCTGCCACCCAGGAGCTCATCAGCCTCTACGAGGTTTGGGAAAACTACCAAGAGAGGGCTTGCAAGGAAGGCATCACGAGATTCATGAAGGATGCTCAACTTGGCAAATAGCATGTGCCAACGCTATCGACCTTGGAATCTTCGTCATCTTCATCATCGTCATCGCCATCGTGCGCACCATCGCCAAAGCTCTCAGCCGCCGACGCCGCCGCCATCGCCGGGGCCAGCAAACCCATAAAGGTTTACTCCATCTTGACTTTCAAGCCACCATAAGCATTTATAGTGCTCAAAGGTGACAGGCTTGTGTTGAACTCCCTTCTTACAATGTATGTAGCAATACTTCCAGCTGTAGAGTTATACATCACTACCCGGGACAACATTCATTACCGACTTGGACAGGTCGTCATTTTCATCTTTCAATTCATCTTTGTCTCTTTTTGGCCATGTCGTGGTGCTGAGAGTACGATCCTGTCACAAATCCATCATGACCCTTGTGCTGATACTTGCACGGTCTGAGTTGGATGCTCCCTGAGATATACCACCTTGTCATTGCAGTGCATTGTATATCGTGTCAAACATATAGCGTGATCCATCCGTAGTTTTGCCCCTGCATTGGTAAAAGTTGAATTTGGGGTGGACACCACTTCAGACATGTCTGAGATACGCATGATGTTATGGACATTATCATGATAACGCTACGGGAAACCAAACAAGGCACAAGTCGACCAAACCAAACCCGTAACCATGACCGCGGCATAATGGCGAAGGAATGTTTATCGTGTATGGGTGAGGTGTTGAGACCCCATACCATCTGGATGCCATAGCACTCTGCCGTTCCCGTTGTTGCAACCGAAACGGCTGACGCGATCACTCAGTCCAAGCTCTTGTTCGAGACGATATGGAATATTAGGTTACGTGCGGAGAAGCGTTCAGCATTGACGATAGCAATGCGAATGTTGAGGTTGTATATTGCAGAAGTGATCTTCTTGAACGATGAACATGTTCAAGCATTGCTGTCGCAATCCGAGAAAGGAGCGAAGAACGACATCTTGCCAGTGCGAGGCCAAGGCCAACAGGAGAAAGCTATTCGATTGAGTACGAGTGCAAGAGATGAAGAGCTCAGCCCCAGGGGTTAAAGCTATTCAGAGCGATGAAGTCGATCAGACAGCGATGCTAAACATCAACGACCAATTAACACCTTGATGAGGCTCAATCTAAGCGCCTACGAGTACATGTACGTGCGTACCACCGCCTGATGCTTTGTCTCTAGAAGCCCAAGGGTTGCCGGCAGCAGAAATAGATGGAATCTGACATTCTCGGCCCCGGATTCAAGATTCAATCGAGGGGCTCATTGTTTCGCAATCAAAACATGCGCTCTGCCACGACGCAGGAGTGCATTTGCATGCGGCTCCTGAATTAGCAATCGAAATGGGCTAGGTGAGAGTAGCTCAAATGAACACATGGCTCTGGCGGTGGCAGGACTGAGGCACCATGCACGCCCAACACCGCACCGCCTCGACCACCTCGATAGCGTTGGCAGTGTCACTGGGGGAGAAGCACGGAGTTGCAACCACAGTCGAAGAAACAGACCAGGGCTCGAGCCCAAAAGCAATTCTGTCACGGATGGCAAGCTTTCCCCAGAACGAGTCGAGGCGGTGAAAGGACGGGCGGGATTGGTGAGGGTCGAAGGAAACTCTGACGGCCTTGCCGCCAAGCGCAGTCGTGTCTCTCCCCTTGTCTCAGCGGACTTGTGGCGTGCATGGAATCAATGCAGCCGGTTGGCGCTCGACCATGATGCAGTGCATGCGTTCACAAAGTGGATCGTCGCCGGCGACACCACTGCTGCTGCGGCTGATCGCGCGACAAGCACTCTCTGCGAACGTCGAAAAAGCAGCGACACTGTAGGCCCCTAGAACCGCAAGCAGAGGGGAATAGGCAAGTAGGGCTCGTCATAGGCAGGTGGGTTGCCGTGGCAGCTCGTGACTTGTAGGCTGCTTTCAGCGTCTTTGTGCGTTGATCGTGCATCGTCCGGGTCTTCAGCCTTACTGCTTCCGGACTGGTGCATGGACGGTGGCGCCTCGACAAGGCCGGGTATCCACTCACCTCCTTCGCCTCCCTCGTTTTCCAATCCCACAACCCTCCATCCTCTTCCATATCTCTCGCATCCCATTTTCACAATCATCGCTTTCCCTGTCGCATTTTCGCAACTACAACCCCCAACGTTTTCAAAACCTACGCCTTTATTCGAGCTCGTCCGACCTCTCTATATCACTCTTACTTGCTCATTGTTGTGATATACCGCTTCCGGCCAACTCCGATCAACCGCAATCTCCCGAGCTTTGGACACGGATTTCTCTCGCACACACCCCTCGATCGATATCAATACCTCAATTGCAACCATGTCAAACTTCCACTACGGCGCTCCTCACTACGCTACTGCTATGCAGTCGCACCCTCACCCTTCTCACAACCACCACGGTCGCTCACGCCGCGGGCCTCGTGTCTCTTCGGCGCAGAATGCCCACCGTCAACAGCAATTCAAGGCCCAGAGAAGCCCCAAGGAACTTCCTGAGACACCTGCCTACAGCGCATACATCAGGGACTTTGAGGCTGCAAAGGGCTTCGAGTTTGAGGATGACGAGGTTTTCTGCCCCTTCCACCTCCTGACCGAGGACGATGTAAGTTCTGACACATGTCTTGTTGTATACAAATCATCAATACTCATGTCATCCACANNGCTCCACTCTATCCATTCTTCCGCTTCTTCCGACAGATCATCCCTGTCGTCTGGTTCTCCTGATGCCTCTCCGCTGCAGCACCAAGCTCAGCCTACTCCCTTCCTGCTCCCCTCTGCCGCTGCCTCCTACAACAACAACTCTTTCCAGCAGAACCAGATGAAGCTTCACCAGCCTATGGCCCAGCGCACTCGCAATGCCATTCCCATTGTCGACCCCAGCACTCGCGTCATCGCAAGCCCTCCNCCAAGTGTCTCGCCGGCCCGTCAGATGCAGGGATACATCAGCCAGCGCCGCTGGTAGAGAAATGACTAATTCCCTTTCATGACTCTATTCGCGGCGCAGTTTCTGTCTAGGGCTGGCGGGGCGCATCCTCCGAAAAACCCGGACGACTATACGGCCACACATTTTTTTAATTCTGCGACTGTACAGATTTACGATGCTTTCACACATATACCACTGGATTGCGGAGCCCTCTGGATCCTAGACGAACGGCGTTTTCGTATCATTGTCATGAAAAGGGCATAATTGGTTTACTTTCTTGTTTGGTCATTTCTCTGCATTTTCGGACTTTTGATAAAGCCTTTGTTGATGTTTCTTCGCAACAAAGCGCGCGGTGTTACACTTGGTAGGGAACGGGATGAACGAAAACCACACGATGCACATTCAGTCGGATTCTTGACTTGTTGGGCGCAGGCATATATTCACGCATGCTTGGGGTTTCTGCTTGCTCTGCTGTTTACAACCCTTNNTCTCTTCTTGTTTACGACTCTCACACAGGGAAAGAAAGGTTTCATGGCCGGTCGGNNGGGCGGAGATTCGGTGTCTTTGTTATTTGAGTTATGGTTTGGCAACAACAAATCGTCGNNTCGTCGTCGAGCGAGCGAGAAAGGAGTACTNTGTCGGTTATACCANAGATTCTGGGGAACTGGGAGTTGTTTTTTTGCTCTTTCGNNCTATTTCGTATCTCTTGTCAACTTTTCTTTTCCTCTTCTCTTACCGATTTTCTCTCGCTATGCTGGTCGTGTTGATCATGCTGGTGTCGAGTTTGGGCAACTGAAAAATACAAGCTCTTTTACTTTTACAATCAATTCTGTGCCTACTACTTGTTTCTAATACTGATGATGTCGGTTTGTCAAGCCCAGCTGATGCACATTGCAATGGGACCTTGCATTGTAGCAAGCATTCGACTCAGCCTCGTTCTCGCCTTGAGTTGAACGGAAGAGAAGCTTGGCTGGCTGGTGACATGCTTGGATGGCGGGTGGACTTCTGTCAGCATAAGTAGTCGAAAGACAACGAGTATAAAGAATTCATCTCAGAGCATAAAATTGTTCGTCTCATGGACCATTTTGATGAAAAACGTGCACAGAAAACAACGATATGGCCGGCAAGTGGATGGAGCTCGTAATCGTGCGATTGGCAATTGGAAGCTACGACCGGTGACGTAGTGGCTGACCCGGATTGGAGGAGAGTCGACAGGTACGATCAGCGAACAACCGAGGGACGGTCATAGTGAAGTCTTTCAGCTCTTTTGTTGCGTTTTCCTTTCTGTTTCTTTTCTTCTTCTCCATCGCATCCACAACTCACTCGCAAAACAACCAATTCTCTCCAGGAAACCCCGCAACCTCGTCTCGGTCAATCAGCTCAGCTCCAGGTTCGAAGCTCCTCCACCTTTCCCGACCTGACGTGTTTACCAAAAATCTCACCAGAAAACACGACACATCAATCATCATCATGCTTTCCAGATCTTTCATCGCCAGAAGAGCCTTTGTCTCTGCTCCCATCCGTTCTTTCCAGACTGCACCCGTTCTGAGAGTCGGCAAGGAGAGCGCTCTCAGTAAGTCACCCTGAGCTTCTGCCACCCATTGTCCATACCAAGTCTTCATTGGCACCGGCATGGCGCAAAACAACGCCTGGCACATTTCGAGCGTACATAGCTAACACTTATGTCANGACCAGGAGGGTCGCGCTGACGAGGCCGAGAGAATCAAGAACGAGCAGATCGAGAAGCAGAAGCAGGGCAAGGGTGAATGGCACGAGGAGATTGCCAGTGACAGCGAGAGCATCGTAAGTCTTCAATGACATGCAGCTGTCTTTACGTACAAAAGCTAACACACTCTACCACAGGTCAAGGCAGACAGAGGTGACATCAAGGCCGACGCCGACACGATAAAGCAACTGCAGAAGGAGACCGAGAAGCTCGCTTCGCAGAAGAAGTAAAGACTTCCACTCCATACAGACTTGCGCGCTTCGAAACACTCAGCAACACGACGAAAGAGAATGATTTATATATTATCAGGAGCATGGTTGGGGTCGTAACGGATTGCCCTTCGCCTTTGTAGCATACTTGAAATTGATTTCACACACTTCAACAACGTCAATCAGTCTTCTGCACCACATATCATGTCCAAGAGTAGGCATGTGTTAGAGTTGTTAGAGCTTTGAGAGTCCGAGAAAGACGACTGGGTCTGGGCTTTTACTTTGAGGGTGACAAGGATGGACACAGCGGGGTGCTGCTCGGTTTCGCATGGCTGCTTACTCTGCCTGTCGGAACCACCGAGAGACATCGAGCGAGAGCACTTGTGGCTTGTCTATAGACTCTACAGGAGCTCCTCTCGTATCTCGCACAGCGCCGCCTCTCAGCTCCCATCAAGCATCGCTCCGCACGCTGCACGTTTGGCTATGCAGGTGACTTGAAAGTGCCGGACTTTTGCACAGTGGTGCTGGCCAGAGCTCCCGTCTTCTGCCTTTCACATGCTTGAACTTGTCTCGACACATTTGCGACTCCAGAACTCAATCCATCGTCCCGTTCCGAGGCCTCCAGATCTACATCCACCAGAGAACTTGACTCGGATGGTGTTTCCAAACTCGATGGTGAGGGCTTGGCGCGACCGAGTACGTAACGCCTCCTCGGCCTTCGAGCGAAGTGGACCTCAAGTCTTTGTCCCAACACTTATTCGTGTCCTTCATCCCTTGAAGACATTGGTCTGAACGCGATTACTGATTAGATGGTCGGTCCATTGTATTCGGTGGCTGTGACGTGAAATTTACGCTGGTAGCAAACGAGAGCTGAAGCGATTTGGCCGCAACTCAGGCATCCGTCAACCAGGATCATGGGCTCTATCAGATTTAAGGTTGGCTACGTCGTGCAGCAAAACCATGCAAGATATACAGCCTTACGGTACCGCAAAGGAGCCTCTCTCCGTTTCGGCTCTTCCGGATGCCTTGAGGAGAAGACCGTTCAGGCATGGCCCTGCCTAAGTGGGACCACTTTGTCGTTACATCAGGATCGAACATGGCAGGGCCCCAAGACAGCCGTCCGCGGCAGCTATGGGATCTTCTACCAAACCTTCGGAACGTCAGCTAGATGTCAAAAACTGTTGGTCCCCTCTTTCAGTGTCTCTTTGTGCCTTTGATGATCTTCTTCCTTCTTTGGGTGTAGTGTACTGAGCTGGCTCTACTACCATAACAATATCAAATGTGTGACCTTGCTCGACGAACGACCTGCCAGTCGCGAAGGTGCAGTGGAGTTGCGCCGACAAGAGGCTCGAACATTGGCGAACATGCAATTCGCCTTGCAATACAGATACAAAGGCAACAACCCCGNGGCACCTCTTCCAAGAAAATACTCCAATTCTTTGGACGCCTAGTAGCGTCCTGTGTCTTCTATGACTGTATTCGGAATCGCAGAGGTGAATGTCTATGACGACAACCAACGACAGGCATGCTAACGGATGCTAGGGAGNNGATCAAGGACGTCTTTGTCGAATATTATCAACCATGTCTAGAACGTATACTGGAAACGTTCTGCAATGACCATCTAACGTGCTCATTTGTCGATCGCTCAAATCGTTCATGCATTGGCACCAGACTATCTCATGGCTCGGGACATCGCACTAAAGACGACAAGGCCATCGGCTCAGGTCATTATAGGGCTAGCATCACTGCGGAGTCGTATCTACCAGATTGGATATCGTGCCTCAAGAAAATACTCGACATGTGCGAACTCGACTATGTCGAATTCTTGGAAGAGGAACCGCGAGAGCATGCCAGAAGTGTTGCGAGCTACTTGCATTTCGAACAGATGAACGCCTTCTTTACGGACATAGGGACAGCTGCGCCTTTCATCAGCCATGCGAGTTGTTTTGGGTGTCTCGTCAATATCCCGCTGCATCCGCTGCCGTGTGGACACGTGCTTTGTGACAGCTGCGTTCGAGATTGCGGGAAGAGAGGCCATGGCAGAACATTACTGGACCACTGCCCGCTACATACATACACCAGATTCGACCCGCCATGCGAAGTCTCCTATCGATCTGATCAGATGGGTATACGAGTATTGTCCCTTGACGGTGGTGGTATGCGAGGCATAATGGAACTTGAAGTTCTACGGGCAATCGAGAAGGTTCTGGGAAGCAATATACGCATTCAGTCCTTTTTCGATCTGATTGTCGGCACAAGCACAGGAGGAATCAACGCTCTGGCCTTGGGAGTCAAGCAATGGTCCGTTCGCTATTGCATCGAGATGTTTGAAACTTTCTGCGACAAAGCGTTCACGGAGCGCGAGTTCGGAGGCTTATGGGGCTTAGAGAAGGCTGCCTTGTTGAATCATGGCAGCAAATACAAAGCAACGCCTTTTCATGATGTTCTGCGAGCGACACTCGGTCCAACCCCTCTNTTTGGCGGCAACAACTCCTTGAGCGCTTTCAAGACCAAAGTTGCTGTTACAACCACTTCTGCAGACGGAAAAGAGGCCATGATCTTAGCCAACTACAATCGTCCGAAGAAGCCAGGGGATCGCCGAACGTTCGTCAGACCAGAGGACCCGGCAGACGAGCTTGAAGTTTGGGAGGCAGCAGCAGCTAGTTCTGCTGCACCATTGTACTTCAAGCCATACGCCCACAAAAAGACTGGAGCGAGCTATATCGATGGAGGGCTTTACCACAACAATCCCGTTCATGTTGCGAACAGAGAACGAAAACTTCTCTGGCCAGAAATTGCGAATAAGCATCCTGACATGCTGCTGTCTATCGGCACCGGCAAAAGCCTGTCTGAGTCAAGACCGGAGGCATCAACAAGACGCTCATCAAGTCCCAAGGAAGATCATACAGCATCGAAATCAGGAGGCATTTTCCAAACCTTAGGAGCATTGTATCAGCGTTTCGATAATATACTGGACGCCGAAAACGCTTGGACTGATTTCAAAGCCGACATCAACGATCGAAACGATGACTTTCCAAGCCCTTATATACGCTTCAATCTGGATCTCAAGAGCAAACCACCTCCTTTCGACGCCAAAGACAAGTATCACGAGTTCCGAGCTGATGTGAGACGGCGACTCAAAGATCCTGATGTTGTGGATATGACGACAAATATTGCTTGCTCTCTTGTGGCAAGCTCGTTCTANCTCAACCTAGTGGACACAGTGCCACAATGTGGTGGAAGCTTCAAGTGTAGGGGCTACATCTGCTGCAAGTTTGAGGAAGGCTCATCCAACCTGAAAGCACTAGGCGAGTTTCTCTCGAGGCAGTGCACCTCAAGATTCCGGCCGGAGTTTATCATTCAGGACACGTCGAGATGCGCACCGAGCAGAGATGTCAAGGTCAAGCTTACAGATAAGATGATCTCGAGATTGATCGTTTATGGTATGTTGAGGATATCTCACATCGATATTCAAGTTCCAAACTCGATGGCTTCCGCCACGATAGCGCTTGTTCTGCAAGCAGGTTGTCAGGGTGAAAGTCAAAACTATCTCCTTAGTGGCTTCCCAAGGACGCTCGTGCAAGAGGCAGCTTGCATATCATCGGGCTCGACCCACAACAGCCGATCTGCCTCGAACCCGGCAAACACAAACCGTCAGTCCTGTCGTCAACCTCGGACGGAGGAAGCAGAACAACAGCGGATGCACGATAACTCTCGTCAGAATCCAGCCCTACCACCCCGGTCATCTCAGGCCAGGCCACCTCTTCCTGGAAAGCCTACATCCCTTAATCAACCATACCAGTATTCGATGCGTTCTCGTATGGATTCTGCGGTCGAACTTCCGCATCATGCTCATATCTCCACACCACCACAACAATCTGCATCGTCAGAAGAGCATCTGAGACGTCGGAGCGTACCCGTATACCAAGCGTTTTCGTATGAAAAAGCATCGCCCAGAAATGATATGCCTGCACATCTGGTAGAGCGCGCTGCAAGGAAGGTTCGATTTGAGGATGAGAGGGTGTCGAGAAAAAGTGATGGTGAAGATGCGCATACTCGGTCGAATAGACTGGTAAAGAACAAGGGGACGGGGAAGATGTCTGTGAACTTTGGTTGAGAAGAGCCAACGTAAAATCAAGACAAAACAGTTTCCATTCGGTTTTGCGTTCGAAGGAAAGTGAGTCCGTCTCTGACTTAATTTGGCGTATGTATTGAGTGACGTGTGCGAGTAGCTGCTGCCGTAAACGCGCCTTTCGTCCAGCAGCATAGTTCGCACCTTCACTTCATCAACTCAATCTGCTGCCTGTAACTCCCACACCCGCACCCCCTCATCGCAATATAATCCGACGACTCCTCTCTGGCCGGCGCGCCGTCTCCGTCGTCGAAGATGTTGCCCGACTATCTTCAAGGAACCTATACGACTTACAAGAGAGACACAGACGCTATCGCCAATTGGCTCGCAACGACAGCCAAGCGATGTGGCTTCTCCCCCGAAGTGCTCAAAGACGGCGATAATCCATCAGATGAATCACCATCTGATGCTCAATCGACAAGACTGGAGGGAAGAGCCCGCAAACTTGCTAGAGATACAGCCGCCGCCACTGCCGCCGCAAAATTTGGCCCCAAACCGACGCCGTCACGTACCTATACCATACCGATCAAGTCCTTCATTCGACTCGCATCTCAGATTGTCTCGTCATCCGCACCAGCCATCAAAGTTCCTGCCGTCCTGGGCGCCGTCCTCGATCGAGCTATTTCCTTTCGTAAAGATCACAGCACCTGGTTCAACACATCTGAAGAGGGTGACAGTCATGCTCACTTTGTGTCTGTCCTCGAGCGTGTACGTGACATCCTTCGACCTCTGATGACGGACCTGACCAGAGCTAGATCTGGAAGAACGTCCCAACCTGAGCAAAACATCCAAGACAAGTCACGCAACCTCAATGCCTTCGAAGCGCTGGAAATCCAGGAATTGTCTGATGCCTTTCTCAATGCCTCATTATCGGAGAACGTTCCCATGACCCAGCCCAAGACTGCCGAGAACATTCGGTATCAAGCCGAGCGTATGTCAAAGGCCAAGGAGCACTTCGTTGCTAGCTTTTGTCTTCTGGAGAACATCTGCGGGATACGCGAACACATTAAGAGCCTGTGGAAAGCTTACCTCAATAATGACATCGATCTGCATGCAGCTGCCATCGCTACCAACACCGCGGTCGAGATTGTTCGGCGTCTGCAAGAAAGTTATGATAGTTCATTCCCCGATCACGATGAAGGCGACGCTCGACCAAACGGTCGCGCTGCACGAAGGACTCCCGACACATTCTAGTGCCTTCTGTGCTGTCTTGCGCGATCACATGCGCACAACAAGCGAGCTCATCAAATCTATGTTGATTGAGGATGGTGTTGATTCCAGAATCAACGGGTCCCAAACTAAGAGGAGACCATCCTTCAACTTCTTCCAAAACAATCCTGTCATTTGCGGACTATATCTCTTTGCTGCGAGGTACACGATGCAGCGATCCAACTTGTTCGTTGTCAAAACATGGTGCGCTATTATCTTTTGTGCACATTTGTACAATGCGTTGAAGGTCCAGCAACTTACTGGACGCTGGGAAGACATGGAAGTGCTCTTCAAACTTCAGGGTGGTGACAGAGTCTTCATGGGATCCGCTCCACGATCTATCACTGATTGTGTCAAAAGTTTCGGCCTCTGCAGAGGTATGTCAGTCACAAATAGAGCAAGCGATCGGAGCGAAGACAGGAAGGTGAAAATGAATCCAAAAAACCGTCGAAACGTCAAGGATCACATCCCTTTGCCAGCATCATCGCCGGGCGCTACATGTAGTATGACAATTGCTCCTTGTCTACTGACTTGGCAGCTGTCGAACGCAAGATTAGAGCTATGCGTGTTGAACAGACGTCGAAGATTTCATCCATATCCCCGACCGATACTGAACCCAAGAAAGCAGCAAGCGGTAAACTGGTTGAGACTGCAAAGTACGACAGCAATTTGTCGCTCACAACCACTGATCTACTTGATAGCATGGCGGCAGCACTCCAAAGTGAAGGCATGCATCTAACCTTCGACTATCTTCGCCTTCATCGAACTTGCTGCACCATCCTGACCAATCTTGAAGCGAGAGTCAGTCACAAATTCGATAACACATACCCTTTCAATACGCCGAGCCGTCTCCATTGTCTACCTATGCCAGATATGGTCCTTGCTATTCTGAGGTCCGCAGCGGCAATGGAAGGAGGATGGCAAGAGATCTTTCGCGACGATGCAAAATACACGGGTGAAACGCTGAGAGATGTCGCGAAAGTCATGAACAAGATGATAGAAAGCAAAGCTGGCAGTATTGGTGTCGACATCATCAAAAAGACTTTTGGCCACGACTCAGACATAGCTGAAGCTCCTATGGAAGACTGGTAGGGGCAATGGACATGCCTTTTCGGAGAAGATCCCGACGACATTGAAACCTGACGACGATAGGACTAACGATGGAATCGCACGGAAAAACATAGCTTAATACGTATGGGTTCCCTCGACAAAGAATTACATGTAGCATTATCAAACAGAGTATATTCCACTGCCAGCAGCGACATACACGCTAGATCATCATTCTCCTCGGACATGGGTTGCGGGACCAGATGACGTTTATGATATTATATGGCAGCAGAAGAAGAGTAAGCTCGTGAGGACAAGTTGAAAATATATCGTTCTTCATTCATCATCAAATCTAGTCTCTAAGCTCATCTATAAATGATACCATGATTTTCCCACCGCCCGGGTATGTCCTTCCAAGAAAATTATGAACAAGAAAGATGCAAGAGAGAATGCAACAAAACATTAAACAAGAAAACAGAAATGCAACCCATCCTAACCCATCCAAGCCCAGAACTTTTGCCAAGCACCAACCGGCTCAACCTCTTCAAAGTGCATCTCCTCAATCTCTTTGCGACCGGTATCGAGATCAGCCTCGATTGGCTTGACAAAAGGTTGACGGTACACGAGTTTGTGGCCACCATACAGCACAGCAAACAAGATCAGCGAGATATATGCGACGAAGAAATCGCTGGTGTTCCAGGGCATAAACGACGTGAATCCTTGCGTGAGGATAATCAAGACGTTGAAAAAGACGCCGTACCAGGAGAAGAAAGGCTGCCACATGGCCTTGTAGGGCAGGGTGTCGCGGGAAACATTGCGGGCGGCGAGCGCGCGCATGAATGCGATGTGAGAGATGTTGATGCAGGTCCAGGTGATGAAGCCAGCGACACCGGTGATGTTGACGAGCCAGTTAAAGACTTGGCCGCCTGAGTTGGATTCGTTCATGAAGCCGAGGAGACCAAAGGCGGCGGTGAAAGCGACGGCGAAGTAAGGGACGCCGCGGGCGGTGGTGCGGCCCATCCACTTGGGTGCGGAGCCCTGCTCGGCCAAACCGACGAGGATACGGGAGCCAGAGTAGACGTTTGAGTTTGCGGCGCTGAGGACGACGCAGAGGAGGACGGCGTTGATGATGCTAGGGAGCACCTTTACACCAGCGAGGTTTGCAGCGATAACGAAAGGCGAGGCGGATGCATCGGTGTGGTCGGAAACGAGATCCGGGTTGTCGTGGGGCACAAGAAGGCCAATGAAGAAAATGGTCAGGACGAAGAAGAAGACGATACGGTAGAAAGTCTTCTTAATGGCGGCAGGGACAGTCTTGCGAGGGTTGCTGGTCTCACCAGCCGCGATACCGACAAGCTCGGTTCCTTGGTAGGAGAAACCGGCCTGGATCAAAACAGCCCAGAAACCGACAAACTTGGCGACGGCCTCGTTATCCTTGACAATGTAGGAAGCAAAGGCGCCAGGGTTCTTCCATGTGTCGAAGCCCAAGTATCCGTGTTGGCCAGCTCCTGCATCAATGCAAATAGCAAAGATCATGAACCCAATTACCGTCAGGACCTTAATGGACGCNNTAGAAGAGTGTCAGTAGTGTTCCAGCAACCTCAAAACTCAAGGAAACGGACCGAAGTAAAATTCCACCTCGCCGTAAAAGGACACTGGAAGGAAGTTGACGAGCGAAATGACAGCCCAGAATGTACCAATGAAGATACCGATGTTGAGGTCGGCGTCCCAGTATTGGATGATCAAACCGCTAGCAGTCAACTCGAGCGCATACGTTATGGCCCATGAGAACCAGTAGATCCAGCCCATGGCAAAACCAAGACTAGGGTCGACGAAGCGGGATGCGTATGCTGTGAAGGCGCCGGAAACGGGGAGGAAAGTGGCCATTTCGCCCAGGGCGACCATGACGCTGTACACGAGTGTACCGACAAAGGCGTATGCGATCAATGCGCCGGCAGGTCCAGCATTTGCGAGTGCGCCTCCAGAACCGATGAAGAGACCTGTACCGATTGTTCCACCNNTAGAAGAAGTGATATGTCAGAAGTGTGTTCCATGACAAGGCAGGAACGCGATTCCCGTACCAATAGCAATCATCTGCAGATGACGCGACTGCAGTCTACGCTTGAGCTGCACTGTCGTTCCCGGAACTGGCGAACCCTCGACATCCTCGTGGGAAATTGAGCTGGGGCTCGATGAGTGGTATGGTCCATCTTGCACGGATTTTGCGCCAATGCTAGCCTCCTTCTTCTCCGAAGAGAACATGACGGCGGTATGTGAAATGAGAGGTGATTCAAGAGATGGCAATAGGTAGTGGCGCACGTGTTCAACAACCTAATCGAACCCTTTGAAGCAACAGGCGGGGTATGAAATGGTAAAAGACAAGAGGTCGAAGGTCGGACTTGAGCTGCCCTGTGGGTTGGATATATGTACGTAAGAAAGTGGTCGTAGTCATCCGTCGTTGACGCGCTAGAGCAAAAATTTGGTTATGAAAAATCAAAAAGCCCGTTCGCGCCCTGTATAGCGGGTCCGGGCTCGCTGTCGCCAGTGAACCGGTCCTGTCCGCCCCATACCCGGCAAGTGTCTGCTAGTAAATGACGTCCAGGTGCTCGGCGCTCAACTTCCCTTGTTCATGTTCAAGCGCTGATGGTGGTCAGCATCTTTTTACAGCTCACTCGTCGTGTTCTTCGCTGTTGCGACCCTGATGGACGTCAAAGAAAGAGCTGCCAAGCCTCAAGCCTCTGCCGGGAAACTTTTCCCTTGCATCCTTCCGGGCGGCCACTGCCGAAAGTGTTTCCTGCATTTCTCGTCTCAACCCTTCTTTTTCTCGCCACATTCGTAGGGCGTAGCAAGCCTCGACTGGATCTTCGTACGCATCTGGCATCCTTCGAGAAGATAGCTGAGCAAAATAAAACCTCTTGTAAATCTTTGATGTCATCCAATTGCCTTTTGGACGTCGGCAGCACCTACCTTCTGGCCGTTTGCTTCTTCATTGGGAAAACCGCTCTCGTGCGACATAATAATGACTCGTCCTCGTGCTGCATGCTCCCCAGATCTTCTGCATGATCTTGCAGCATTCGTGCAGCTCTCGAGGACGAGACCACGGCTGTCGAGTCATCCTTCGAGCCCCTACACGAAAGCAAGAGTCATCTGATGTCAGCCCGGGGTGCAACCACATCAGAAGATCCGCACGATTGGCAATTGAATCGTCAAACCGCTTTCGTCGTTATCAGTGACATTCTCTCCACACAACAACACTTGCTATGGTGGAGGGAATAAAAGCCATACACGAAATTATTCCCATCTTTCAAGCAAATATAGTGGAATCAAGGTTGTTGATTCTCGTTGACGGAACGCCTTCCGTTTAGCGTCTAATGCAGCTGAACTCACCGGAAAATTTCGACAGGAAGGAGCAAGTAGGCACGCGACATTGTTCCTTCCACGAGAAATGCATCCTCCTTTGAATCGTCAATGGTGGACAGAGTCATATTTCGTCGATATGATGCTTTACAATCCACATTCGAGGACGACCTTGTCAAATCAAGCTGGCAGTTAAGTTGCCATTGTTGCTCGAGAATATGTTTGCAGATGGATCGTATCAGCGAACGCAATGCGACTGATCTGAAACGATCAAACTATAGGTAGAGACTGAATTTGTACGTCACCTCTGAAGCAATCAAGGTGTTATAACTGTAGCTGCAGAAGCGGTGCAGCAACTTCATGGTTGCATCCAAGGAGGTAACATGCAAAACACTCTCAAAGCCAAGCTATGAGTGAGCATGCCTCTGTCTGAGGGTTTAGAGAGAGCTTCATACACTACTTCGCGCCTGCCGCCTGAAAGAAATTGTAGCTCCCTCCAAACCAATGGTACCTGTTTTGCTCGAAGAGGATCAACTGCTTTCCGGCATTGATTTGGACCGCGATTGTATCCTTAGCATGGAGCCATCGCAGTGTCGAAAACCTTCTAAGCAAAGGAAAAGCATATACAGATATTTTGCTCATTTGACGGACAGACTTTAGAGCTTCTCCACGACATTGATACCTGCGGCCGACCACCGAGCACACTTTCGCAGGCCAGCATCTGAAGGCTATAAAGCGACCCAGCTTTCGCTTGACTACTGGTCATCTCGGTACACCACCCCCAATCGAAACCGCCAAAGATGTACATGAACCAATCCAAATTCATCGATGTCCCCAATCTCCGGATCCCGGTCTCTACGAAGATCGCNAAAAACTTAAAGTCGAACCCAAAGCCTGAAAAGAAACGACTATTCTCTACCATCACAACCACTGCGACCAAAGTTGGAGACGAAATCCCGCCACCGCTAGAAAACACCCGTTGCACTCCCATCAAAGACCGCGGTACCATTAGCACAAGCTGGCTCTGTCTTTCGTCTGCTCTGTTGGTTGCTCTATGCATTCTCGCAGGCTTCCAAGCATACTTCTTGTCAAAAGTTGCTGGAATTGATGAGAACCCCTTGAGAGTCACCGAGACAGAAACATCAACAGTGACGAAGACGGAATGGTTAGCTACGAAAGCGGAGACGACCACAAAGGCCGCCTCTGTTGTTGCCTCCGCGACTGTGAATGTTGTGGTGGATGAGTCGAGTATCGCATTCCAGCCTGTTCAAGCTAGACAGGTGGAGAGTTCTGCGAAGCTACAGAGGAGGAGCGGAGAGGGTGTTGCGATGTCGACTCCATTCACAGCTTGATTCTCTTTGACTTTGGTCAGGCAACCTTGTTTCGAGAGAATTTGCTCGGGGTCAACAAGAGCCAAGGCTTGGAAGAACCTCGTATGACAACCAACAAACCTTCGAATATGTTTGATATAACGACCTGACCTGCAGATTTCCTTATCTTTACTCCTCTAATGCATGTCTCGTTGGCTTCTCTTCCAATCCTGCTCAAGAAAGCGACACTGATTCCTATCCATCCTACCATGCATCCAACACCAAACAAACCAGTACACCCAAAAGACCTCGAACTAGGTTCATCCCATATCGAAGCGATTGATCCAACCCACATACCGTCACCAAAGAGAGCCCACCTCCAACCTCACGTCTTCCAAGATTTTGCGAGCCATACCGATCAATTCGACTCTTCTGTTCCGGCTGCAATTTCCAGACACCCGCCAGAACGTCGTGTTCGCAATACTATAGCTGCAGCTCTTGTTGCTATTGCACTGTTGTTGGGTCTTTGGCTGATGTATTGGAGGCTTTGGATTGCTGATGTTGAGAAAGGAAAACGGTGATGGAAGTTATCGTACATGTGGTGTTTCGTACGAGGAGAGTGGAAGGCAAGGATAGATGAAGAGATCTTGATGGTGTCTCTGTATATCTGGGGTTGTGGACCTTGTGGTTGCGTATCTGGAAGGAAAGCTTGTTGAGAAACCTTGCTCAAACCTCCAATATCACGCGATGTCAAGCCCAACAACTTAATATCCATGTCATCCAATTTAATAGCTTACAATCCTCAACTTCTCCTCGAGCCTGTCCTCCCTTTCCAATTCCCCAGTCCCGACAATCAGACCTGCTCACCAGCACATCTCAGCGACAATGGGCAACCAAGCAACCCACGCAACCCACGCAACCGCCAAACCTCCCTCGAAAATTCACGAGAGCCAACAAGCAAGACAAGAAACACGCCTCGCAAGACAATCTCTGCAACGACATGAGGAAGCAAGAGCACACATCCAACCATACCGCCCACTGGTCACCGAGCAATTCTTCTGGACCCATTGCGACCAAGAAAACAGACATGTGGACACAGAAGCTCAAAGGAAGAGGGATGGTCAAGTGTATTTGGAGTGGCTCAAGAATCAGGTTCGAGAACGTGAACAGATGAGACTTGATGAGGTCTAGCTGTGAGGACAGGGGACTGTATTGGGATTTTCCAGTGGCAGAGGAATAGCTCATTGAACGCCAACAAAGACAAAATGTATCCATTTATGTGGATATGTGCAATCATAAAACAAGCATGAAAATTCTAGTCCGCATATATACAAAAGGCGACAGATCTAACAGTCTAGCGAAAAGCAAGTGTAGTGAAAAATCTAACAGGGCGCTTCCATCCAAAGACACCCAAAGCCATCAAAAGGTATAATTTTCCCAACCATTCAAACATTAAAAAGAGAAGTGCTAAAAGAGGACAATACGAAAAGCGGCATAGTCAACAGAGGGCAAAGGCGTTTACACACCAGAGTCATCGACATAGATACCCTTCTCTTGAGCCCAAGGACGCCAGTTATTGCAGACGTCGTTGACCAGACAGGTATCAGTGACAGTGTCCTTGATCTGCTCCTTTCCTTCGATGAACTGCAAGGCAAAGCCCATGGCTACGTGCCATCCAATGTGACAGTGCATGAGCCAGACACCAGGGTTGTCGGTGAAGAAGGCGATAACGAGATGACCGCCTTGACCGGTAGGGCCATCGCCAGGCATGAAGGCCACATCACGACGAGGAGGGTTATCGAGGTTGAGGGCGGTACCACTGCCGTAGTTACCATAACCTGCTGCGAGAACATAGAAGTCATGACCGTGCAAATGGATGGGGTGACCAAGCGGTACGGGAGACTCAATGATCACATAGACCCACTCTCCGAGGGAAGTGGAGATGGCAAGATCGCCAGAGTAGTCAGGTATGGAGTCGTTGTTGAGGATGCTGTAGAGGGTTGCATCACCCCAGTTGGACTGGAAAGTAGTACCGTCAAGGTACCAGCGGTAGAGGTTGATGCCGTTGGAGTTGGAAACAGCGACGTCGTGCTGGACAGTCTGGTGGGGAGAGCTGACAGAATGCTTGACGATGGGAATCAAGCTGGCAAGAGGCTCATCTTCGCAGGTACCGAGGATACCGCCAACACCGTTATCCTTGCGAGGGTAGGTGTGGGCAGTCGAAGTGGGTGTGCCGCCGGAGCTGCCTGCGTAGTGGATGATACCTCTGATATCATCAGAGTTGGTGGTGGTAGCACAGGCGTTCTGGTTGTCAAATCGGAGGAAGTAGTCGCCGACGTCTTGGTCAGCCTCGACAATGATCTCGTAGCGTTGGCCGATGTTGATGGACAAGACTGTGGTCTCATAAGGCACGATAGGAACAAAGTCAGCAGCGATGACAGTGAACTTGTGGCCGTCAATGTAGAACTTATAAGTTGACTGGATGGCACTGTTGAGAAGCTGGAACAAGTACTTCTTGCCAGGAACGAACTCAGTAGGGACAGTGTAACGCTGACCGGCAGGCGCGCCGTCCTTGGCAAGAGGGTTAATGTTCATACCGTTAATCAATCCAGTATCCATTGTTCTGACACCAGCGACCTGTGCATCGTTGTACATGTCATCGACGGGAATGTGGGACCAATCGTTTATGATGAGGTGACCAGCATCCACATCGTAGTCAGCGGACTTGGGACCGTGAATATACATGGGACCGAAAAGACCCTCGTATGCTTGAAGAGTCAAATGACTGTGGTACCATGAGAAACCGTAACTCTCTGCTGTCCATCTGTAAGTCATACTCTGACCAGGACGAAGGGCGCACTGGGTCAAGCCAACGACACCATCCATCTCGTTTGTGTGGTTCTGTCTGATACCGTGCCAATGGATGGAAGTTCCGTTGCGAGTCATGGAGTTGGTGACGTGGATGACAACCTCATCGCCCCAAGAAGCCTCTAAAAGTGGGGCTTGTCCAGGAGCTTGGCCGTTGACACAAAGAGCCTTGCGCGAGATACCATCGGGGCTGACCTCACACTCCGTCAAGTCGAGACTGAATGTGACTGTGTTGCAAGTCTTGGGAACAACCTTGTAAGAGTCATCGTTGATTGTAAGACCGCAGTACTGGTCAGTTCCAGGCTGACCCTCACAACGAACACATGTAGCAGTGGAAGTAGGCTTCACCGAGCAGGCGGTGGTGTTAGTGGCAACAGGATGTCCAGATGTGATACCTCCCCAGTTGTTGAAAGCCCAGGTGGGTGCAGCAGAGCTTGTGGTCAAGGCTGAACTCGTGGTGTTCGTGTATCGTCCAGACGAGGTGGAGATACTAGTTGAGGGGCCGGTAACGATAGGGGCAGTTGTCAAAGGTGCGCTGACAGTGGAGTTGGACGAAAGGGTGATGACTGTCGAGGCAATGCTTGAGGTGAGGTTGTAGCTGGTGGTAAGGGACACTGTCACGTTCACGGCAGAGCTAGTGATGACCGAGCTAGACACACCTGTACCAGTGGGCCCGACAGGCAAAGCACTTGTAGTGCTGTTTCCATAGGAGTGCGCCGCTGGCTGTGCTTGATGAGATACCGCTTGAAGCGCCAGTGCCGATGGGGCTGACAACGACGGTTTCGCTAGTGATGGTTGAGGTCGAGACACCGCTGCCAGTAGGTCCTACAGGCAGTCTGCTGGTTGTTCCATTGCCGTAGGGGGCACCACTGGTAGTAGACGAAGAGATGCCGCTCGAGGCGCCAGTGCCAACAATGACAGACGAGGACGAGACATCGCTGCTAGTGCTGTTCACCGAAACGACTGAGCCAGATGTGATGCCCGTGCCGATAGGAGCAGTAGGTCCGACGGATAAAGTGTTGCTAGTTGAGTTGCCATACGGAGCTCCGCTGGCAGTGCTGAAGGAAACAATACTCGAGGACCCGACGTTGATAGGGGCAGTGGGTCCGACCGTCAATGTGCTGCCGGATCCGATCGTGCTGGTGGTGTTGACAAAGACAGTCGAAGTAGACGAGATTGTGCTGTTTAAAGATACAACCGAGCTGGAAGTCGAGCTGGAAGTGGTGAGAGGAACAGTAGGGCCGGCGGGAGCAGTGCTGCTTGTTCCGTTGCCATAAGGTGCTCCACTTGTAGCGCTCGATGACAGACCGCTCGAGGGTCCAGCAGTGCTGTTCAGAGTCGAGACTCCGGTAGTCAAGATCACAGATGACGAAACTGTGGACGATGAGGCGGTGCTGTTTGTGGTGACCACCTCTGCGCCTGCAGAAGATGCGGAATATACTGTCGAGGCAGTTGAGGACAGAGTGCTCGAACTGCTTGAAGTGCTTGAAGTGGTCGAAACTCCACCGCTCGAAGTGCTCGAGACATCACTGGAAATGGTCGAAGGAGCAACACTGCTGCTGCTCGAGCTCTTAGGTGCATCCTTGATCTTGCGTGCACCTCTAACACCCTTGTTAACGGAAGGCTTGCCCAGCCTTTGCTTCATGTAACAGGCAGTACCAGACATGCTAATGTCGATACATCCCTCGGTGGCGTCACAAGCATTGACACAGTCGGCGATTCTGTTGCTTCCAATGTTGACCGCCTTCAAGTCGCCACCAGCGTAGTCGACGAAACACTCGATGAGGAAAGTAGCGCCACTGTCAGCGATGAAGACAGTGTTGTTTGCGGCGGGGCAGGTAGGGCTAGTCGAGGTAGGAAGGGCAGACGATGAGGAGCTTGTTGAAGACGAGTTCGAGTACGAGACAGTCGAAGTGCTGCTCAAAGATGCAGAAGATGAGAGTGAGATGGATGCTGAGATTGATGATGATGAGGAGGATGATCCCGATGTGGCAGATGCGGTGGATGAGATGCTGGAAGAAGAGCTCTCAGCCTTGCCGATCCAGATGGCACCTCTGACGTTAGAGCTCTTGACTGGGTTTCCAATCTTGCTCTTCATGTAACAAGCAGTACCAGACATTGCAATGGCTTTGCATCCTTCAGTTGTAGAACACTCGGCAAGGCAGTCTGCAATCTTGTTCGAGCTGATCCAGACCATTTTCAGGTCACCACCGGCATGGTCGAGACTGCAAGTGATCTTGTACTGGTCTCCGCTCTCTGTTGTGTAGATAGTGTCGTTGGACTTGGGGCAGGTCGGGTTGGGGTCAGCTCTGGAGACCAGGTTGCTCCAAGGCCATCCGCCATTGCAAGAGCCGTTGTCTTGCTGGCAGCCTGTTCCACAGGACTTTGCGTCACCACCACTGTGTAGTGTCAGTGAGTACCTTTTGGAGGATTAAGTTGTGCTATACATACCACCAGTTGTCCTTTCCACAGCAATCACCGAACTTTGAGCCCTTGCAGGTCACATCATGACCGCACATACCATTCTGGCTAACAAGCTTGCCCTTATAGGTAGGGATGCAAGCACCAAACTGCTTCTGACAGCCTAGACCACAGAAAAAGGCACCTTCACCGCAGGTGCCGGCTTTTGAGCAACAGTCGCCGAGATATGAGTTCAAGCATGTCTGGCCTGTGGAATCACCACACTTTCCGTCTTCACTGACAGCGAGACCATTGACTTCTTGAGATGGGCTGGGAGCAGCAAGTACTCCGACTGCACAAAGCAGTGCGGAGATTGTGGAGAAAACGCATCGATGGAGGAGTTGAGCAGAGGAACGAAAGTAGAGATAAAACAACGAGGATATTGAAAACGAGAGGTAGCTAGGCGTGATAAGGCCAAACGATTGAAGCCTTGATTCTGTTGCCTGCTGGAGTATGGTGAAGATGCTGGATACGAGAGCAGTGGAGGAGACTGATAGAGTACTTATATGACCTTGCCTGAGCATATTCTCCGAGTGGATTCCTACCTGATCTCTATTTGGGATGCATAGCCCTAGCATTTCAGGCCGCATCCCGGGCATGCTGGACAGATTGGGTCGTGGGAAACATGGCATCCACCATGGTGTACCAAAAAGAGCATGCTCGCAAGTAGAATGTTGCAGGAAGCCGGAACCAAGCACTCGGCGTAGGTGAGGCATAGGTAGATGGCGTGCGGGAGTGCACTCGAAGTCCGAGAAGCTACAGACTGTCCGGCCGACGGCTTAGGCGCAGAGCACCTGCATGTTGACCTTTGTACAACTATGTCGGACTTTTTGAACCAATGATCAATGCAGGAGGATAAAGCAAGTACAGTAGGATACAAACTCAATCTCAACTCAATACTTCTGAGAGCAGAGAGCTTCCCTTGCCTTTGCCATCACAATAGCATTGTATTGCTGGGTTCGCTCTGAAAGCTTCAAATTCTCTTACACAAGCAGTGGCAACGCAGAGGCAAGAAGTACGGCTCTCCGCTCGGGAAGCCGCAGGAATAGTATCTCTTGGAGGCTACAAGCTGCAGCGTGTCCAAGAAAAATCCAAGATGAAGTGGAAACTGGCGTGGAGTGCTAGCTTGAGCTTGATACGAAGCTGTCCATTTACGGTATAGCGTGGCCGTTTTGGAGATGCATGGCGTGACTCGGCACAACGCGCATCTTTGTTTCCTCGCGTGATGCGCTTGTTCTTGAAAACTCACCTTTCAGGCACAAGATTTGGAGGCTGGGAAAGTGCGATGGTAAAGTTGCGGAAGGATGGCTTTCCGTAGAAGGCGCCTGAAAGTCTGATAGATCGATTTCTTCTCTTTGGTTGCGGGAAAGGAAGCACCAGCATGCAACGCGCATCAAGACATCAACCAGCAATCGCGATGGAGATCTCATCAGCGTCAATTGCTTGACTTGCGTCTGTCGGTCACTTCTCTCAATCTTTCTTTCCAGTTCAAGAGATCGATATGAGAATACGACACCTTCAAGTTTTGCTGTGCATACCGAAAGACTCCATGTCTTCACAGGGCTGTATTTGCGGGACGATGCAAAGGCAATACGCGGGTCGTCTCCTTCGCCCAATACATCAGTCACCGATTGGACACTCCAGTCATCGCTGTCGCATCTGCCCACACATGGTCAAGTTGTTTGGACCATCGCTGTCCACACCAAAAGCAGTCAACACTCATGATGGTATCGAAGCAAAGAAAGTTCAACCGACAAGAGCCCCACATCTCATCGCTTTTGCAGATATTCTCCGCGACCAATCAACACGACTTCTATCGCAAGTCTAGCATGCAAGTATTCGCTAGAAGCAAGAGCTTGCCCGCAGATATGGATCCCGGTCAAGAATAGCACTTCGGAGGTTTTTTCTGCCTACTTGCTCTGGTCTGCAGTTTCTTGAAAGTTGACACCTGAGTGCTGCGGCTGCACGCTGCTTTTGCTGACTGCAGAGGCGGATCTGGCCCTGTCGCTCTCGCTGCTACTGAAGGATCGTAAATTGCACTATTGAAACATGTGTCAGAACGCGGCTCCCGTCAAGCGAGCCTGACTTATTTACCTTGTTGATATCCCTGCCGTTGCGGCTCTGCGCTTGCCCGTTGAGCTTCAGTTGAGCTCTGGAGATGTGTGCGACCTTGAAACATGAGGTGATGCTTCAACAGCACGTTCAATCTTCTGCGACCACCATGTGTTGACTATTTCGCTTCGAGTGCAAAAGCAGATGGCCATCACTTACCAATCTGGCCTTATCAGAAGGTCTATTGATCGGCTTCCGAATCTGGAGGATGTGCGATCAACCAGAGTTCATGGTTGGGATCCACTTTCACCATCGTTCTCCGGCGTAGCATCCACTTCCATCCACGACGCACATATCTTCTCTTCTAGTTGTGTCTCTGAAGTCGATGGCAGAAGATTGAACAGACCTGTGCTTGCTGGCTCTACTTTTCTCTGTCCCAAGTGACAATGTACGATCATCTGCATCATGGCCACTTCAGCTTTTCTTTGGGAGTATCCCATGTATGTTGAAGAGGCAATGTTGAAGCCGAGACGGTCTCTTATCCTCATCACCGAACCCTCCAAGCCTGCGCAGTCCGAACCTCTTGGCCTTCTGGGCTTCGGCAATGCCTCTATCATGTTGAATCGATCTTTGAAGACTATTGGTGTGAGCCACTGGTTGTTGTCGAAACTTTCCTCCCACTGCTACCTTTCTCGAAAGCCAGCCGTTGGAGTTCGCTTGCTCGCACTCGGCGTTTTCGAATGGAGTGGGCGCTGTGACTTCCAGGACTATGTGGAGCGACATGTTTTTCCACGACGCTGACCTACTGGCTATTCAACGAGCACGAGGGTATACTGTCATTCATGATAGTCGTTCGCAGAGAATCATTGTCCCCATTGCCAGTCCCTCACGGCAATCTATCCCACACTATGTCTTATGGTCTTGGGTTTCTGGATGGTAAGTCTAAAAGTAAAGCCGCATTCGATTGTTCTTTCGTCTCTCCCTGTACAAGTATCTATTTTGGAGCTTTACTGCGCGTGCGAACAATGGAAGAGTGATATAAATTCGGTAAAGGGACAGAGGTCACAACATTATTTGGTTCATGATCTATCATAGCTCAAACAGGAGGTCTCGCTCAAACACTACGTAAGCTTGTCTGAGCGGTAATCCCTCATGCTTTCTGCCAGTTCCCAACCTCTGAGCTCCGCTACGAAGAATGGCAGAAACACGCTCCACATCACAAAGGATAGCGCTGGAGGGACATGAGGCGAGTATAGCACAAACACAACCAAACACACAAGCGGCCAGCGCAGTTGGAAAAAGGTCTGTGGAGATTAATCGAGCTGGTAATGGCCGAGCTTCCACGGCCAGCATGTTCGTCAGGAAGACAGATATGAATTTGTTGATGAGACCATGCTTGGTGTTGCCAATGTCCTTGTGACCTGAGTGTATAGCCGAGCGTTCTGTTTCTATCTCCAGCTTCTTTTCAGGGGTCTTGATCTTGGTCAGATATCTAGGCGCCTCAGTTGCTGTCCTATGAGACTCTTGCTTGCCAGATTCATGCCGAGATTCTGGTGTACTAGTAGACTTCGTGCCAACATAGGCTTCGGGATGTGGAGATGGTCCCACATGGCTCTTCTTCGTTGTTGTACAGGGCGATGACCGAGGTGTAGATATAAAGCCTGTGCCGAACAGACTTTTCGTCGCAGGTCGGGCGGCACCAAAATCTTCGTTGCTGGCGGCTTTTACAGATCCGAATAAGGATGTGGATGGCGGTTGGGAGGTATCTTCACTGAGAAGACTCGATTTAGTACTCTTATCTGAGGACTGTTGGGAGGTACCCCAGTTGAAGAGACTCGGTTTAGTGGCTTCATTGGAGAGCCCTGGTTTGGCATCGAAGATGCTTCTTTGCGGCTCTGATTTCTTAACGTCCTCGACATTCAAGATGCTGTGCCACCGCTGAATCCTCATATCATGATGTCCATGTTCCTCGAATTTGGATGGACGCCACAAGTCGGTAGACATCAACGAGACGAGCAAGTCCGATTTGAGCTTCATTGCAATGTTCGATCCAAGTCTCGGAGCCTTGTCTGGGTGTCTTTCCCAAGGATCTTGCTTGACAAAGTTGGCCCAGAACTCGATGGTGCGCTTGGCTACCTCGTCGCTGATGTCAAAGTAATCTTGGTGCCTGGTGTATCCTTTCAAAGAGGAAGTGCGACAATCGCATCCAAACAACCATCGGTGTGGAGCAAGATCTTGTTGTATGAGCTTTTCCAATCGTCTGTAGGCCAGTACCCTTCCACTGTGGGCAACAAACGTCAAGCCACCAGTGATCTTGCAGCTCTGCACCAGCTGCTTCCTTCTCTTGTCGATGTCGAATGCAAAGCCAATCTTGACGAGGTTCAAATCTTCGTCGCGAAATGCATAGATGGAGGCTACTTTCTCAAAGTCCTTGTCGCGAGTGGGAGCGAGAGGCTCGATGAGGAGGCTTTCGCACAGCCTCTGCGTTATCCGCTACTTCGGCATTGTAACTCTTGTCTGCTTGTAGAGTTTTGGAAATCATCGGAACGCGTCCGCCTCGCATCTGATTCAGTGTTTCTTGCTGACGGCTTCCAAGAGCGATTGTCGTACCGCCGGTAGCGTCCGATAGGGCATCGAGTTTTTGTCAGGGTTAGATGGGGCTGCCTCTAAACCATGACATGTGAGATCCACAAGAGCACGATCGCCATTCCAGTAGATTTCATAGAACTGGATTTTGCTCTCTGAAACGCCATCCTTGCCTATCACAACTTCGCCATCTGCCTTCTCATCCTCGAGCACCTCGTGACCTCCAGACTCTTCCGATCGGAGACTTCTTCGATCTGTGTCAGGGTCGTGGCGAGGCGTACTAGGGTTTGGAGTACAAGGTTTCGCGGGACAAGCTCTCATTGCAGGGGTTGTTGACATCTTGAGGGACAAGGCAAAGTCTGAGAAAGTCTACTTTTTGGAGTTAATAAATTGATAAAGGTTGAGGGAGTGCTGGTGTTTGTTAGAGCAAGGACGAAACAATCTCTTATATGTTCGTAATGGCCAGTCGAGAGTGGGTGGTCTGATCTTGTCCATCAAGTTCGCTTGTAGCGCAGCGTCAATCAAACACAAGCTCGCTGAAATGGCTGTCAATACCAACGCCACTGATATCTGCAGCGGTGGCATATGCGATACGCAAGAGATATACGTAGGGCATCCTACATCATCTCCAACAGCTGCCGCTCACAAGCGAGATTGAGGTTGATTGCCTGGTATGCACAACGCTGTATCTGTGGCCAGCATCTATCAATCAAGGCCTGTCGAAAATATTGTGGCAGCAAGGATAAAGCTCCCAGCATTCTGCCTGGAGGCCTGAACTGCTGCGTGCATGTATCTGTGACGAACCGGCGTCTTTGGGAGACCAAGGGCCATGTCCATGAGCCAACCCGCGTCCCCTGGCGGCTGATAGTAAGTTCAAACGTATGCGTAACGAGGGCCTGTTCCGCGAAGCGCGTTCAGCTTGATATGAGGCACAGCACTCGTATTGCTGCAAGTCTTGTTGCGGCCATATCACACGAGAATTCTCTGCATGTGCTGGGTGATCGCGACCTACTGCACGCTTCTGCACATCAGTTTCAGCCTGGCTCACCACACTAAAACCTGTGTGTGTCAAGTGCATTTGTTCGAGGCTCATCAAAACCGTTGTGGATTCAGAACGATAATGTCTCAATATTCCTGAGTTGTGAAAGTCAAGTCGCTCTGAGGTCTAATTCGCTTAGCAATGGATAGTTCTCAGCTCTAGGCTGATTTTCGAGTTTTATTATTTTTACAGATTAGAGTTCCAACACATACGGCCACAGTCAGCTGAAAACTGGGCATCCCGTCCGCTCTGCCATACATAAGCAGTTGAACGGCAGATTAGTACTACGGTGGGTGACCACGTGGGAATCCCTGCTGCTGTATGTTTTGTGTTTTTATTTTGCTTGTCGTGTGCAATGAGCAAATACAGAGTGACATGGTCGTCGGAAGATATCATTGCTCTACCGAGGTCTTGAGGTTTAATTGTTGTAGCGACATGAGCGTTACCATGCAATCACAAGACAAGTTGGCTCCAGCACCCTCTTTTCCAAGCAGATAAAACACACTTGAGAGGCTCGGCGGATAATTGAAATGACTTTTGTTCATTCTATACAAGACCAAAGTGTCTTTCTTACACAGCCTTGCTACCAAATACCTTGATCCTCGAGATACCGCCATCGGGGATCATCACCAANNCTCTAACAAAGCCATACGCCTTGTCCTTGACCCCCTTCAACACATCCCCCTCATAAACATGCTCGAAATCCGGACCCGTCTTCTGCGGGCTCAAGATCTCCACCCACTTGCCACTATCGTGTGCAGGCGCCTCAGAACCCTCGGCAGCAAACACCTGCACTTTTTGCGGAAAGTTGCCGCGGAAGTGTGCAGTGTCAATCAGGAGTTTGGAGATGTAACCAGAAGTGCCTAGACGGATTATACACCAATCAATGTGTTCACCGCGCGTGCGCTTGGTTTCCCAACCATCGCCCATATCTTTGCCGCGGCCGGGGAGGAGAAGGTTGTCTTTTGTGCCAAAGTGCTGATCGCTGCAAGCAATGGCAACACCGCCATTGACTGTAGCTGCCAGATCAAAGACTTCTGAAGCGTCTGTAGGCAATACAGCTTGCACATCTCCATAAAGGCGGAAACGGGCAATACCGCCATCAGGGAACATTTGCAAGCGGATATGGGTGTAAGGTTTTGTGATGGTGGGGAGAAGCCATGCGTGTCGTTGCGAGGGACCGCATTCGGTGATTGGCAAGATGGTCTCCCATTCTGCAAAGTCCTTGCTTTTTATTTCTTCTTCTCTGCTGTCGTCGGCAAAGATACCTTGCACCTGCACTTCTGGCGCATGATTGCCATTAAAGAATGCGGTATCGATCTCTACACCCTTGACTCTGCCGCTCGCAACACCGAGTCTGAATACCACATAGTCAAAGGGCTCGGGATTATGGCGACGAGTTTCCCAGCCATCGTACCAAGCGCCTGAAAAGACAAAGACGCCGGGTTTGCGGATTGGTGCGGTGGGGGTAGTGAGGTTGTCGGCGGCGGCGAACCATTCGTCGGAGAAGGAGAGAATGCGGGAGCCGAGAGGTTTGCTGATGAGATCGATGCTGGAGGAGCCAAAGGTGGATTGGATGTCCTCTACAGGGATAGCCTTGACTTGGCCATTGTTGATTGTATCGATGGAGTCGGTGTGGATTTCCATTGCTGCTGTAGTGTTGATTTCAATAAGGGAATTAAGAAGACAAGAGGGAGTGATAGATGTAGGGGAGAGAAGGGAAAAAGAAGAGTCAAATCAACGAGAACAACAAAAGATTTTTAGGCAGACACTGGTATAATTGTTACTCGATGGATTGATTTCCTATCGAGTAACACCCCGCCGTATCTCTGGCGGTGGGGCCCGAACTGCCCGCCATGGCCTTGCCGATCCCGCCGACGCCCGCCAAAGAGAACGTGGAGAGCTGTGCGGAGGGCCGATATAGGAAGTCTTATGCGACGAGCTTGAACAAAAGAATACTATATGTTATGCAAGTCTACAGCTGCTGACAGTGACGACGCTGCGCATAGGGAGGATCGAGTCACAGATTCGTCTGTTGACTCATTCACCAACCTCCTTCCTCATCAAGCACATCGGCAGATCGACAGGGACGGCCAACTCGCGGCCAAAGGTATCGAAAGCGGGGTTGTTATATAAAGCAGGATATCCACCTATGTAGATAGCCATCATTCCACCTCACGATCATAAGGGCATCAGAAAATCATGGCAGAAACCAACAATCCAATCAGCGAAATCGTGTCCTCACACCGTCCAGATCTAGAAAAAGAATATGTACCCCTCTACAAACACTTCCATGCCAACCCAGAACTCTCGCACCAAGAAAAGGAAACCGCAGAGAAAATAGCCGCACACCTGAAACAGAAATGTCCAGATGTCGTCCTGCACACCAACATCGGCGGCCACGGTCTAGCAGGCATCCTCGCCAACAACTCTGGCCCCACAATTCTTCTCCGCGCAGACATTGACGGCCTGCCAGTACTGGAGAAATCAGGCCTGGAATGGGCGAGCAAAAAACGCATGGTCGATCTCGAAGGAGTGGAGAAGCCGACTATGCATGCTTGTGGGCATGATATACATATAACTTCTTTGCTGGCTGCTGCANNGGAGCTGCTCTACGAAGCCAGGGATACCTGGTCAGGGACACTGATATTCTGTTTCCAGCCTGCAGAGGAGAAGGGTCAGGGTGCACAGGCTATGGTTGATGATGGATTGTACGACAAAGTGCCTGTTCCTGATGTTGTCTTGGGCGGGCATGTGATGCCCATGCGAGCAGGCACACTGGGTACGAAGCGCGGACTCATGGCATCCTCGGCAGACTCACTGAAAGTGACCCTACACGGAAAAGGCGGACATGCCAGTCAACCGCATAGACTGGTTGATCCGGTCGTGATGGCTGCAAGCACAGTGATGAGGTTGCAGACCATTGTCAGTAGAGAGGTTGATCCTGCTGACAGTGCGGTCGTCACCTGTGCTTGCATAATTGCTGGAGACGCAGAAAATGTGGTTGCCGACGACGCCATTCTGAAATTGGACCTCAGAGCTGTGAACGACGAGACCAGAAGCAAGGTCTTGAGTAGTGTGAAGAGAATCGTCACGGCCGAGTCGATGGCTAGCGGCGCAGTCAAAGATCCTACCTTCGAGACAACGAGAAACTTCCCGCTTACCATCAACGACGAAGAAGTCACGGAGCGTCTGGAGGACAGCTTCAGCAAGCACTTTGGGACTAGTGAACATTCATACACGAGTTCTGCAACAAAGTTGGGTGGTAGCGAAGATTTCGGGATTCTGGGTATGTTCATACTAAAGATCCCTCGTTCAGGAATTTGATAATATATGTCCGTTTGCATGAGCTAATTTTATGATACAGCAACGGCGATCGGAAAACCTTCATCCTTCTGGACTTATGGCGGTACAGATCCTAAGATATGGGATCAAGTGGCAGCAGAAGGGCGTCCTGGGGACGTGCCCATCAACCACAGTGCCTACTTCGCACCAGTAATCATGCCGACGCTGCAAGTGGCCGTCGATGCATATGCTGTTGCAGCACTAACATGGCTGTTGAAGAAACGATGAGCTTGTAGAATTAGTGTAGTCTTAGCTGATAGGGTGTTCCCATGCTAAGCGACCAACAAGAAGATCCTTCTGACCGTAAAACTCGCTGGCCACTGTGACAAGCATGTCAATGGTCACACACGTGTTAGTGTCAGGGAACTCCTCTTGCTTTTGTTCCTCTTCTTTGACTTCAGCTTCGGTCTGTAGTTCACGCTTCTTAGCAGCAATGGCATCCAGAAGTTGGTCTTCACAACCCAGATCCATGGGAGCATCTCCTTGGTCATCCTGTGCTGATGTGATCTCTTCTTTGATCTGTGCTTCTACTGCAGCCTCGACTTTCTCAACAGGTGATGCACCAGCTTCGGTAGCATCTACTTGGTCTGCATCGACAACCTCGCCTTCTTCGTGCTGAACAGCATTCTCGTGTGGGCAGTTGTCGAGGTGTTTGTAGTCAGAATCGTTTGACCTACCGTGCCTGGCTTTGTGATGCATCATACGTACCCAGATGGCCATTTTTGCCAAATCTCGAACTACGCTGACCTCTTTAGTCTGCAACAAGCCAACATCGTCCAGTTTGGCCAACAGTGACCAGGCCCACAAGCCGACGTTGTGCGGAATGTTTGTTTTGCGGCAGTTTTCTAGTTGGCCTTCAACAAGCTTCAGCAAGCGAAGGATAGATGGAGAATCGAGGGAAGCGAGTTGAGCAGGAAGCGGAGTCGTGTTTAAAAGGTGGTACTTCCAATCCTTGTCGGCCATCTTATTACCAAAAGGAAGAGAGATGGGGTGTTGATCATCGAGAGTTTGGACGGCTTGAACAGACGGCGACGCCCTCAGATTGCGACGCAGGATTTCGAAGCGTGTCTTCAGGGAGTCGTAGAAGGCATCCTGGGCCTTCATCCCTGGTTGGATAGGACCTATAACAGGAGCGGCGATCGAAGGAGCCACATAAGCACCGTCTTCGTACCAGCCATCTTGATCTTCGTCTTCCTCTTCGTCTTCCTCTTCGTCTTCCTCTTCATCCTCCTCGTAGTAGCCGTCATAATCGTCAATATGTTCTTCGTAGTCGTCGTCCTCGTAGTCAACAGGCTGGGGCGGTTTGGGAGGCGGAGCGCGAACGATGTGCGGGATACCGCGTGCTTCAGATCTGGTTTGTGTTAGCAGATGTAGAGGTAGCAAAGGAATAGAAGTCACTCACCTGACCATACGTAGATAGTCAAGACCGTCATTCGCAGGACCATAGAAGAGATCCTTGTCGCGTGGGTCCAGTCCTGGGAAGGCGCCTATTTGACCGTAGGTGACGTCTGTCTGCGGTCGCTCACGTTCTTTCAAGGCCTCTTTGGAGACAACCCGATGTCTCTGGTCGGGCACCTGATTCTCATCGTCGTTGGAGTCGCTACCGTACGAGACTTTNNTTTGGCGTGGGATAGGCGGTGCTGCCTCGCCTTCAATGTCATCGTAGGAGATGACCTGTCGTCTTTCGCTCGGTGCTGGCCTTCTGGCATGAGGCGCGTTGTCCTTTCGCTTCTTCTTGTTCTTACCCATTGTTGGTGATGTGTGGGAGAAGTCAAAGACTCCAAATATTTCTTGGGCCACTTTCTCCACACTCACCAGGCCGTCATCATCACATGCAATTTGGCAGCTTCTCCAAACCGAAACCTCGACCATGAGACTCTTTACGGCGTGATCAGGAAGAGCATCTACGAGAAACAAAGACGGCTTGAAAGAGAATTTGTTTTCACAAAAGAAAAAGGATATCACTAAATATTTCTAGAGCTGTTTCTACGAAAATGTCTAGCATAACTTCGTTGCCTGATATCTTCATATTTTCCCGACAACTCCTGATTGCCCTTGCCATTTTAGAGCTCGTCCCTGCCAGTGGCTGTACCAGCATCCGATTCTGGTTCCGCGGATGCTGTGCTTGCCTCGATGCTCTTCTCCTTCTCAACATCGTCGTTGACGTTGACGCTAGCAGGCTGCTCGTTGGCGGCTTCCTGAGCGACTCCACCAGTTTCCTGGTTGGCGCCCTCGGCGATTGTTCCTGCAAAGCTTTCCACTTCTTCTTCCACTCTGCCATCGGAAACCTCGTTACCGTTGGCATCCACCAGTCTGGTACGAGTCTCGTAGCGTGTCGAGAACGAAACCTTGCCTTCAAGCTCCTTGACCTGCTCCTCATTGAGAATGTTGCCGGCTTCGTCACGATATTCGATCTTCTCTTCACCAGACAACACGCGGTTGGTCACCTGAGCCTCGGGAACCTCCTCGTGCGAGAACTGGACGGCAGGGGACACGACTGCTGCTGCTGATGTGGGCTTGGCAGCCGCGAGCGTTCTGTCGTAGGTCTTGTACTCTGAGTANNCTATTGGGCATGTGTCAGCTCGCTGTCTTCTGCTTCAGGCATTGAATAAACTTACGCTGTCGTAGAAGGTGTTGCAGTCCCAATCCCAAGTCTCGAACAGCTTGGCCTTGGCGCAATCTGTCTTGGTCCAGGCATTTCCGTATGCGACAGGAGAGTACATGTAGAAGATGCTGATGCTGAGTGCCAAGAAGATGGCTGCACCAGCGGTTCCAACAACAGGACGCTGACGCAGACCAAGAGCAGGAACGCGAGCAGTGATGAAGTCGTATGTTTGAGAGAGGGCGATGATGGCGAAGTAGAGGGCGGGGAAGTAGTGGTGCAAGAAGAGTTGTCTCTGCATGAGGAAGAAGGGTAGCCAGTGGAGAGCCCAGCCGAGGACGCTGGTGCCAACCTCGTAATCGAATCTCTTGAAAGGGACGTTGTTGTAGTCCTTGTATCCACGCTGCCATCTCAAGACAGCTAGTGCCTTGAAAGCCAGGTACACAAGAACGGAGACAGTCGAAGACCACCAGATAAGAGGGTTGCCGATGAGGTAAATCTGACGGTGGTCCTTGCCCCAGAAGTTGATACCACGGCGAAGGATTGGCCATGACTGAGGGCGAGAGTCCCAGGCGTGAGACTCGACGAGTCCAGCGTTGGTGGTCCACATGACCTTCTGGAGCTCCCAGAACTTGCCGAAGAAACCAGGGTTGCGGTAGTTGACCTTTTCTGAGTCTTCCTTGAGCTGAGGGTGATCGTTGCTCTCAATGTACCAGATGCTGTTGGGCAAAGTGCCACCCTTGGCGCAAGTCACCTCTTGCTGCTCGAAACCCCAGTCGGGAAGCTTGACCTTGTGCGAGAACAAAACGCAACCAGTCATGATGTGGACGAGCTTGAACTTGGTCTCGATGGTACGGACACGGTTCTTTGCGACTTCACCGTCTGACAAGTGCTTGACAATCTCGACCTTGAAAAGATCGTTTGCATCGCCCTCGAAACCCTCGTAGCCGTATGCGGAAACTTCGTTCTGCCAATCAGCGTCAGTGACGGGAGGACGGTGATCGTGGGAGTGGACGCGGCGGTCGGTGATGACGTGGTAAAGCTTGAGAACGGCGCCGTCTTCAATCAAAGTAGGCTCAATGTTGTCCCATGCGAAGGGAGTCTTGATTTCGGTACCATCGAGGTCGACGGGCTGGGTCTGGTTCTCGAGGAGCCAGACATTGTTCTCGTCCTTGTGGGGGTACAGGGTGATCTGCTGCTGCTTGCTGCCAGTAGGGTACATGTGGGTATGTGAGTGCAGGTAGCCTCCTTGAGTGTTGTGGTGACGGATCGAGACACGGCTGCCAAAAGCGACATCAGCGGGCACATCATGCATACCCTTGCTGTTGAGGGTAGACTGGAATTCGGAAGACATGAAACCATCACCGTCGCCAGGGTTGACCAGGCAGAGGAAGTGGATGGCGAACATGCTCATGTAGAAAGAAACAGGGATGACAACCAGGCAGAAGAAACGGGCAAAGAAATGTTTGAACCAAAGACGAGGAGTGACCGTCTTGTTGTCGCCCAGAAGGACCCAGAGTTGGAGAAGGGTAAGACTGCCAATCCAAGCGATGGTGAAGAGTCCAACCCACTTGACACTGACGGTGGCACCGAGAGCGACACCGCTGAAGGCCAACCAGAACCACCAGCTAGGAGTGAAAGCCTTTGAGGGGCCCTGCTCGTGCTGGTTGGTGAAAGAGGTCCAGGCGAAGATGGTCAGAGCGGTAAAGATGACCAAAGGAGAGTCGAGCAGAATGAGTCTGGACTGGGTGACAAGGCCGTTCTCGAAGAGGATCAAGCCGGCGCCCATAGCAGCAGTGACTGTCTTGCATCCCGAAGCCTTGAGGGTCAAGAACATGATGGGGATTGTAGCGACACCCATGAGGGCAGGAAGAAGGCGCATCGAAACGTATGGAACGGCAGGCTCGATGTAGTCCTTGCCGATATCTTTGAAATCAAACTCGCCATCGAAGCCGGCCAGCCAGCCAGCGAGAGTGATGAGAAGCTTGGCCAACGGAGGGTGGACGTCCATGAAGAACTTGCCCTTGATGTACTTGGAAGCGAAACCACCGAANNGCTAGAAGAATGTGGTCAGCTCGTTGTTGCAGACTACGAGATAGCTATAGTTAACATACTGGACTTCGTCAAAGACGACACTGGTGGGCTGGGAGATGCGGAACAGGCGCACGAAGAGGGCGACAACAGTCAGGGCACTGCAGATCAGCCAATCGTTGGACTTGAGTGTCGTGACATCGTAGTTCTCGACACCCTCTGAAGCAAAGCCTGTGGGCTTGGTTGTGGCCTTGGTGTTGGCCTGGCGAGCAGGAGATTTGGCGGCTCGGTTGGCCATGGTGGATGGTTGAAAGCCCAAGATACGATTAGAAGTGGATAATTGTGGAAGGTCTTCTGGCTTCCTTATGGCGTCGCGGGGAACTCGGTGGTTAGACTTCAAGCTCCATGCAAGCGCTGAGAAGGCGCGATTGAAGGGTGAAAAGAGGTGCAGATAGAAGGGAAGAAGGCAAAGAAAGAAGAAGGAGGCAGACGAAGGAAAGGGGTGGGTTCTGCGGATGCAGCTGAGGATTCGATCCAAGGGGAGCAGAAACCAGTAGCTGACGGTTGTCGCCAGATGCCACGTACAGCTCGGAAGCGCGCCTTGGCCGACCAGAATAGGAGCTCTCGAATGGATCTCGCAGATAAGATACGGGAAGATCCTCTGCCAAGGCCGATCACAAAATGTCATAGCGTTCTGACACTCCTCCAATGCGCGTTTCATGCGCCAGCAGTGCCTTGTGAAGATTATCACTCGACTGAACAACTCGACTCGCCTTTTGCTCCTGCCGTCTCTGTACATACTAAGGAATTCAACGGCACTAGTACTTGCCTTTAATCCGAACCATCGCCGTCAGCACGCGAGGCCTCGTCGAATCCTCTTCCACAATGGCGCCCGCGCCTCTACTGGAGCGCAATGACACTCCCGACAACACCGACTTCAAACCTCCGCCAGGTGTCATTCTACCGCCCAAGGAGTTCAGAACACTACTAGAAAAGACGGCTGGCTATATTGTTCGCAACGGTCCCGCTTTCGAAGCACGTATTCGTGACAGCGCAGAAGGCAACCCGAAGCTTCAGTTCGTCCTTCCCGACAACCCATACCACCCCTTCTACCTCTGGCGTCTGGAAGAGATCAAAGATGGCAGGGGAACAGACGTCGCTGCTGGCCGTGAAGGAGATGTCGCTGCCCCAAAGAAGAAGCAAGGTCCTGCACCTCCTCCAGACTTCCACTTCTCGGCGCGCATGCCCAACATCAGCTCTGTCGACCTCGAGGTTATCAAGTTGACTGCCATGTTCGTCGCCAAGAACGGTCGCTCCTGGATGACTACTCTATCACAACGTGAAGCCAGGAATCCCCAATTCGATTTCCTTCGCCCTCAACACAGTTTCCATCAATTCTTTTCGCGCCTCGTAGATCAGTACACCGAGATTCTCAACACCCAAGGGCAGCAGCAACAAGAAGTCGTGGCCGAGCTCGAGAAGAATATCGACAACAAGTATCGCGTCCTAGAAAGTGCAAAGAAGCGCGCCGAGTGGGTCAAGTTCCAGGAAGCACAGAAGGTCAANAAAGAGGAGGAGCAAGAAGCAGAGAAGCTTGCATATGCCCAGATCGACTGGCACGATTTCGTCGTTGTCGAGACCATCCTGTTCACCGAAGCAGACGATCAAACAGAACTTCCTCCGCCCACATCGTTGAACGATATCCAGTCGGCATCGCTCGAGCAGAAGGCACAGATGAGTCTGGCGCCTTCAGGCATGCGTATCGAGGAAGCCATGCCAGGCCAAGAAGCCTACTACCAACCACCACCATCTCAGATGCCTCCCCCCAGCTCATACTCGCCCGCCCCTCCTGCATTTTCTCCCGCTCAGCAAACTGGCTATGCACCACCACCGCGCACAGCACAGGAACAAGAAGAAGATGCTCGTATCGCCGAAAGAGCCGCCGAACGCCAACGTGCCGAGCAAGCTCAAGCCGCTGCAAGAGGCCAAGGTCCTATGCGTATCCGAAACGACTACGTCCCTCGTGCACAAGCTCGCAGACAGAACGCTGCCACTGCTCTCTGTCCTAACTGCAAGCAACAAATTCCATTCAACGAATTGGAGCAGCACATGAAGAGTATGTTTCACTACCCGCCTGTTCGCGTGCTCGTACTGACATTCTATNNAGTTGAAATGCTCGATCCAAGGTGGCGCGAGCAGTCTCGCATTGCTGCTCAGCGCTCAAGTACTACCAACTTGTCTACCGCAGACGTTGCCAACAACCTCAAGCGTCTGGCTTCACAGCGAAGTGATGTCTTTGACCCGGTTACTGGGCAGGCTGTCAGCGACGAGGAAGCTCAGAGACGCAAAAGAATCGAGCTCAGCAGCTACGATGGTGTTAACCCCTCTCAATCTGGTGCCCCGGGCGCTCCAGGAAGCCAGTCTACAGATGTACAGGAGCAAGTGAGTGCACATTTCCCTTGGGAGCTTGGTAGCAATCAGACTGACCCGTACNNACAGATTCGCCAACTGCATCAGAAGTATGGAAACCAATGAGACTGTTCCGTGAATCTATCACGCACGTGGCCAACAAAATTATTCGATCCCATGGCTCTTTAATGCTGTGGTATTAGTAGGAGTGAGTTTGATTGAGCCGCATGCCAAGGCACGTGAGACATATCACGGTACTTTCACTCTCATGCTAAAAAGTTCTTTGCCTGAGGTACTGGGTCTTGACGAGGACTCTAGGCAAACGTTCTGAGCACTGCATGTGCTTCCGCATGATTCAATGAAGAAATCCAACCCCGTATCCATCGACCCCGTGTCACCAAACTTTCCCACTGCGCGCTTGAAACCACATGAAATTCTTACCTTCAACCAACTTCACTCCAGGCGGCCTCCGTGCTATTGTCACGCGCCTTGTATAGAGCGCTATTGTCTGACTCTTATTGTGCCTGGCCAATCCCGAGACAAACTTCCAACACAATCTCACACGTCTTCTTTCCGGTCCCTCCGTTCCCGATCAGAGCGCCTACAAGACCATGGACGAAGCAACCAGGCGTGCGTTTACACAAGCGCTCTACAATAACAGATCCATGTCGCAGAACACTCGTAATGATGGCCAGCCAGGAGCGGGACCAGCACAATCGGCAGGACAGCACGAGAATCGCAGCTTCCCTTCGAACCAGTACACTTCAAACATGCACAACCACGTACAGCCTGGAGCAGTAGCATCACAAACTCTGAGACAACCAGAACATCGCATATCCCATCCTGACCAACGTTCATCGAACACGCGCACATTCTATCCAGCATCATCGTTATCAAACGTCCAATCACAAATGCCGACATCTGCACCCATTCAGTTTACGTCTCAGAGACCTACGGTCTTCCTTCCGAGCGGAGCTATTCCTAACACCGCAACTCCAACATTGCAACTGGAAATGCCGACATTGCAGCGTGTATATCAGCCCGTGCAACAACAGTCTGGCTCAAGCCCAAGCCCCTCGTACTTTCTCAACAACAATGCCAACCAACGCACGTATCAGCCGTCTAGATTGCTCCAGAGTTCGCCTCATGGTCAATCTGGTCGTGGTCGGTTCCAGCCTCGCCATCATCCTTACGAGGCACCACAGTACCGTCCTTCTCATGGTCCATCACACGACAATGCACAAAACACCTCACAGACTCCGTCTCCCGTTGACCTGAATTTCTCACCAATCGATCTGACTTCCTCGCCCAATCGTTCTGATACCCCAGCACAACATCTTGGTCCCACTGTGTCGCAGGTCCAAATCCCTCTCGACCCAAGGTTCTTACTTTTTCTTCAAGAGTACAATCAGTCTCAGGCATCCCGTAACATACCGCAAACTCAGCAACAGCTTCCCTCGCAGACGCCTTTCCCTGGTGGTATAACTTACGATCCGAGTTCAGCACAGGCTCATCAAGTTCGTCGCCCATCACTGAGCTCGCCGACCGGTAATTCGCCATCGTCACCTTCTCAAGGCCAGGGTTCGTTGCAGTCATGGGGAAGAATATGGCCGCCTGACCAGCGTAAACCGCGTCCCCCTCCACCACCGCAATCCCCTAAATCACCACCCCAGCCTCTTGCTCCTCCTCGCGTATGGTGTCCTAAGCTACACACCACTACATACTTCGATCTTACACTTCAAGCGCAGTTCGACGAAGAGGTCAACCACCCTGGCTACGAGACACTGCTTGGCAAAACACAAGAGCGCTCACTGCGAAAGCTCCGTCCTCATGAGTTCATCGACCACCTCACTATGGATCACAATGCATGTTTCAAGCCCAAAGTGGCAAGAGTGTACGATCTGCTCTTCATGCAAGCGCTGCTCTTCTTCAAGGATCGCGTTCTCCTTGTCAGTCCCAAAGCATTGCAAAAACCATGTTGGGGCCCACCACAGAGCGTTTGGTATGGCTATGATCTGGGCAAAGCATCAGTCCACGCACCTATCGATTCTCATGTGTTCAAAGCTCTCAATGTCGTCTCAGACCTCCAGTTCGAAGAGGTCATTCCTTGCGAAAACTACAAACGCCATGATTCTGCAGTCGACCTTGTCAAGACTGATGGCGAATTGACCCGTGGATGGTCGATTGCTGTTTCTTTCCAGTTCAGAGATGATGTCCATGCTTCGAAATTCAGAAATCTGCGTCCGGATTTGATCGCTGACTTTGTCAGCGAAGACAGGATCAAGTTTCTTAACATGGATCCTGTTTGGAAGGCGAAGATGCTTGAGATCTTCAAGTTGAGAAGGGAAGCTAAGAATGCTCAGTCCGAGGTTGGCAAGATTATGCGACTTTCTGGAACGAGTGGCTCAGACCCCATCACGATTGCCTGAGAGACTCAAGACGCTACACCAGGCAGCTATAATGGAGCTATGGGAACTACAGGGTAGTCACGCAGTAGCCACAATGCAGTCACAAGGGTTGGAAATTGGCAATTATCTTGATGCAGGGCTTTCGCAGATTAAGATACCCTAAGTAGACTACACTTTCTCAGACTCAATGACTTTATTTTTTGCCATCTTTGTCGTTTGCTGTTCGTGTTTTTGCTTCTTTGCTCGTCGCCATCGTACCCCTGAATTCATTGTCAGCAACAGTGCTGGCGAATATGCTATCAATAAGAAAGCGAGTAGTGTGTATGCCCATCCATTGCCCATTGCTTTTGCCATGGGTACAATGGCAGCTGAGGTTGCTGCTCCCATCTCACAGCGCACAATGTTGTTTGCTGCTGACGCTGTGGCCGGCTTGCCCGGATAAATGTCCACGATCAAGATATTGTAGACTTGAAAGGCTGCCGTGAGTGCATATCCCATAATAAACAGCAGTATAATTGGGCCAGCCAAAGAGACATGTTTATCCATTACCCAGCCATAGCCGAGTATCGTCAATGCACCTAGATAGAACAAAGGCAATGCAACCTCCAGTCTGGCTTTCTCCAAAGGGAATTCTGTCATATCTTGTTGCTTGTTCTTGATGAATGGGAAACCATTGAGTTTGGCGTGCCGGCGATAGTTCCAATCTACGGCTTTTCCGGTCGTAAAGGCTGAGATGATGCCGCCGACGCCAAAAGGGATGAACATTAGGGCGACTTGCATGTCGTCAAAGCCGTAGACACTGCGGAAGGCTGTAGAGGCGCCGGTGCTGACGGCGTAGAAGCAAGACAAGGTTAACCCAGAAGCGATCAATATTAGAGCTGACTCCAAGTCTGTGAGAACGACAAGCGTAGACAGTGGATTAGGAAATCTGAGACGGTATTTCTCACGCAGATCCTCTTGTTTCTGTTCGTCAACGTGGAGGCCTGCTTTTGCTCGATTCTCGTGTCGGATCTTGTCGGTGAGATTCCAGTTGAGTTTTGGTGCTGGGATGGAGCCATCGCCAACCACATCTCTGCAAGTCTCTGGAAAGAACAGGAATAGTGGAACAAAAAAGACTCCACCAAAAGCCAGCAGGAACCAGAATATACCGTGCCAGTCCCAATACTGGCTGAGCAAGCCTCCTAGGATGGGCGACAGAGTTGGCCCCAGGATTGAGCTTACTGAGGCAAATGCAACATAACTACCTCGCTCGGCTGATGTAACTATATCGCCGACAACACCATTTGCTAAAGCGATGGTACCACTGCTACCACCGCTCTGCAGACACCGAAGCACTAGCAATGCGGCGTAGTTGTTTTGTAGAGCCAGTCCAAAGTTTGCGGCCAGATAGATGACGAAGCAAGCGATATAGGCTGGTCGTCTGCCGGCTCCATCGCTGAAGCCTGCTGTCAACATGGGAGCCAGGCCTTGCACAATCATATATGTCGTGACTGTAAGGTTCACCTTTGTTGCTGTAATACCCAAGTCTTCTGCTATGGTGTTCAAAGCCGGGTAGTAGATTGATCCGCTTAGTGGAGAGAAGAAGCCAGCTAGTGATGCCGTAAATACGATCAACTTCTTTTGAGTGGGTGTGAAGACAGAGTAGACGCCATCATCGTTGAGAGGTTGTTCGGTTGTTGAGACAGCGTTTTGGTTGTCCTTTTCATCGGATCCGAGAGGTTGTATTAGTGCAGCATCTGGGACTGATGATATTTTGATATCATCTTCTAAAACCTCTTGGTCGCGTTGATGTTGCGTCGCGGTCATCTCGAGGGTGCATCTAATCCAGGTCGTCCATGTAAACTTCGTAGATGATGACAGGAGCGACAATGGCCTCCTCTATCCAGATGCGCCACTAAGAAGAAGTAATATGGAAAGAGGCGAAATCAGTAACAAGAAAAAGAAAGTCCTAGGTAGGTATGCTTGCTGATTCCAGTTGTGTAGTATATTATTGGAGGTCGGCCATCCGAGGGCCGCTCGGGGAACAATCGAACCAGATTTGGAAGGTGGACGTCCTGACGTAAAAGTAGGGCAATAGGCATGTCACAAGAAGCATTTCAGCATTTTAGCGTTCTAGCGAAGTAGCATAATCAAATCACTATAAGTACGATGCCCTTCGATAGATACCACTGCGAGGGGAAGAACGCAGTTCCATGCGACTCTCTGCATTCAAAGTTGTGAGATCGACACCAAGGCTTTTACCGCTTTGCAGTCCAGTCCCCAAGCATGATTCTTCTCTACGGAAGAAAGGATATATCCACCAAGATGAGGACCCGAACCCGAGATTCGGCAACGCGCTGTTGCATTGAGCGTTTTCTTCAGCTCGTGCGTTTTGGCCCAGAACACATGACTGTTCGACTCAAGATGATACGACGACGTCTGGTTCTATCTGGGGATGTTGTTTTCTGGACCCGACTTACTGGAATTCCATGCTAACGGTCAAACGACTGTCTACTGCCGCCACATACGTATTTACTGTTTCTGGCGAAATTAGGAATACGGTATCTCCGTCAAGAGTTCCAGATACATACAATGTCTTTTGGTATGCTGGAGTTGGTACAGCATAGCGATAGAATGCTACGATACTCCTGAGAAAGTGAGCAGCTTCCATTGAGACTTTTTCAAACTTGACCATGCGTTCTGATATCTTGTGTAACTTTACGTCGCCGCAAGAGGAGGAACTAGGGATCACGGGCCTTGGAACATAGAGAGACTGAAAGCGAAGTACGATTTTGAAGTTTGTCAAGAACCTCAAAAGTCGGCATGAAGTGAGGTAAGTTCGATTGTTTGTGACACTCGGACAGGGTCACTCTTTCCCTATGGCAAACCATAAATACACACGTCGTCACGCGTAAGCAAGTGGAGAACCTCAGCTTACAACCGAGGGAACAAGTATATTAACTATTTCATCTACTCCAATAACCACGTATCTTTCGTTCTTAGATGACGTGTATCACCTCAATTCCAACCACTGTCCTCTCTACAAACTGCGTTACCTTCAACTGTACCTTTGCCCCAGGTACAACCAATTCTTACAACCTGATGATTCCAAGCGACAAGTACAAGATCCTTTCGGGCTCTCTGAGAACGTTTACAAGAGAGGGAGACAGCGGCAAGAATGTCACATACAACTACTGCCAGAACTGTCCTACCGTTCTTTTCGTAAAAGCTGAGGCTTTGGACGGTGTCAACATCGTCAAGATGGGCACTCTCGATGATGAGAATGTTTACGACAACTTGGGAAAGCCTGGTCTCGAGATCTATACCAAGAACCGTCCTCAGTGGTGCGATGCTATCCCCGGTGCTCAGCAGAAAGAGAGTGGTTCTTAGCTTTTGGGGTGCTTATGTCGGACAGAGTGATGATTTGCTGTAGTGTCGCTCGAACTTGGAACAGATTTTGAATCGTGAGTAGCTTTGGAGCTGGCCATTATTGACTGAATGAAATCAACTTTTCCATATATCTTTGCACCCTATTGATGCTGTGTGGTAGAGTCGATTCAGGAACGAACGTCCAAGTCGTTTAGGTTAGCCTAAGCAAATAGGAGACGCCTGTGCAGAATACGTATCCTTGTACAAGTACAAAAACCCTGTGAATAAAGATTACGAGATCTAGAACCACACACTCAACATCCGGTCTATCTGAGGTGGGTGTCCACTGTTCAAGCAGCACATGTCCTACGGCATCTGCTATATATGTTATCGGTGAGATACCAGTCAAGTTTGGACCGGACCCGAGAGGTAGATGTTCGAGGTTTGATTCGTTGTCGAGAACGCGAACGGAGAGCAGTTTGGCGTCAGCCGCTTTGGTAGCGAGCGACAAGGTTGAACGACATCGCGTAGAACAGAAAGATAAAGAGACGGGCGGCTCTCTCTTCTGAGTTCTAACAATAATGTCATGCATAGCCGGAGCTCTATTGTGACGCCTTTTCCGAGGACCTTTCAATGTAGCAGTTGTACATGTGCTCTGTCACTCGATTGGCGTAAGAGAAAGCCATCTGATGGACTGGGCTTCCTGCATGACAGTTATTTACGCGTGCCGCAGTCGCGTGGGATAAGTCACCATTAAGACTCGAGCGCCGAGCGGAGCGAGCTTTCGAGTCGACCGACAAGGGCTTGTCGCAGAAGTGCCGTCCGGAGCTTGTTTCTCCTAAACGAAAGGAGTCTCGCAGCTCTGCAGAAGCTCATGCCGCGAAGTTGCCAGCGCAGACCTTCACAAGCGTTGACGCCCACGCCGCCATGTGAGACCAGCGCAGTGTTGAATTGCGATGTTCAGCCCATGGTGCCATGACCAAAGTTCTGAGATAGACCTTGGGGAAATGGGGATGCTCCCAGCAGCTCGGTCGAACGCAACGTGCTGTCTTGGACGTCTCCTGGTTACAAAATTGCTATCTACACTGATGATCGTTGCCAGCCGCGTGCACTTTACGTGCGGCAATGTTTCCTTCTTCGATGGTCGCGTGGAAGAAAAGAAGGCGGCTAGCCGTTTGTCCAAACATTTTGTCCACGTCTCATGGCCTGCGGGGCAAGCCTCGAGGACTCAAGGTTGGTGCCATCCATTTCGTTTTATCGATTTTTCGCTCGCGAGTCCTCGCGAGAGCCCAGCTGGGCCGCGGCTTTTGGCTGTTCCGGACCTGCAGACACGGACGGAACTTTGCATCTGCTGGGGATGTGATGTGTTTAAGCTTCACCAAGCTGAGACGCTGCCATGTCAAGGATCCTCGCTGCAACGTGACAGGACTCGAGTATTGGATAAGTTGAACTTGAGCAGCTCGGTGCTACGGCTCGTTGCTTGGAAGAGACTCCTCAACCGAGAGATTGGTACAAGGCAATGCAGGGCAGTTGATGCCCCTATCGGGCGGGATTTTTCGCGGCGATGCCTTGGTGCGCGAGTCTCCGCTAACAGCGGGCCGCTATGCGCCGTCTCGAGTGGGAAGCTGGCTTGCTGTGTGGCACCACTGTGGTCGATCTAGACGCACAGCACGCTGCGTGGCCGCGATATATAGTTTGGACCAAGTCCGCCGATCCGTAACTCTGGTGACGCACGTTTTTGTCTGTAACTTATTATCGGCCTTGTGCTCCTGTCCAACCCCGTCCTTTCCACCTCCTGTTCATTCATACTCCTTGCGTCCACAACTACAACAAGCCGTTCATAAGGCCAATTGCACCGCCACCGCTTCTCTGTTCTAACGCCTAATTGAAGCCTTCCCCGCGACCGATCTCTTTAGAACCGAATCCTTCAACCCGTGCCTCACAATTTATAGCGGTCTTGGATCGCCGAGCCTCAAATATGCCTACAATGCCAACCATCGAAATACCAGACAACGACCACGACGTGTCTCCTGTCTCGTCGCCGTCTCTTTCGCGTGTCAACAGTCGACACAGCGCTGTTTCNATCTCTGGACATTTCTCCCGTTTCTTCTCCCGTTTTCTCCCCACCCAATTGTCGAGCTCTGGCCATGGAGCTGCGACTTCAGATACGGCAACAACCAACTCCTACGACCATTCTTTCACCGATGCGGATGACTGGTTTGGCCGTTTCCGTGATGATCTAGACATCTCTGATGAATGTCCTGATCGCGGACAACTCGCTGTCGCTGGACAGGTTCCTGTGTACGATGCCAACGGAAACTCGCGACTTTTCAGCACCTTCTTCACAGGTCTGGACGCTATTGGCGACAGACAATTCATCATCTTTGTGCGACACTTTTATTGCGGCGTAAGTGTATCTTCAGCAAAGCTACAGATAAACGGCATGTACTAATCTTCTGTTCCTGCANNGGCCTGTCAAGCTTACATGAAAGCCATTGCCGAAGCTATCACCATGCAGGCTTACTACACCATGGCCGTTCCCACAAACATCATCGTCGTTGGCTGCGGCTCACCATCCATGATCCCATTCTACAAACAAGCCACTGGCTGCCCTTTCCCCATCTTTGCCGAACCTTCGCGCAAGCTCTACAAGGCATTGGGCATGACACTCACCCTGAACCTCGCCGGACCTAAGAGACCGAAGTACATGAAAGACGTCCCTTTCCACAAATGGCAGCTCGAGCAATGGACAACAATGGCAAAGCCACCGAAAGGCAACTCGCGCTTCAAGGGCGGCAACTTGCTCCAGATTGGCGGTGAATTCTTGTTCCAAGATGGCCAGGTCGTCTGGTGTCACCGTATGAAGAACATGCGCGGCCATGCCGAAGTCGATGTTGTCAAGCGCGTCCTGGAGTTGGAGGACTAAAGCTGAGCACGCTCTCGCTTCAATGACACAAATCATCAGCACTCTCGTCGACTCTCAATCGAAACCAGCAACACATCCATCAAGGCACAAACCGGCAAACCAACACACCCGAGAACCCCAGAATGCCGCAACCCTCACACGGATCCCCCAGACTTACGTTCCATTTGTTCTTGTGGGGGAACAATATACCACCACATCTTACGAGAAAAACGCCATTTTCTTTTGTCATCTATTCTTCAAGCAGCGCATGCTCGGTCTAGGCCGAGCTTGTTTTCTTGCACAGTTCTTCTTTGTCGATATATCCTGTTTTTCTCAAGAGATACCATAGCTTTTTTTTCTCCCCCCTTTTTTTGTTTCTGACTATATTTGGATCTACAATTTCGCTTCTTTATATATATTATTCTCTCTCTATCTCCTTGTCTCACTTTATAGACTATATGTCATGGCTACTATTGCTTATGAAGTAGAGCATGACAATTTCGCTTGCTATACATATTGCTGTAAGAACTCTATCTCCGAAGGAGTTAGGTTCTGGGACTTGATTGACCGAGACCGAACTTCTCCGTATACAATTTCTATTGTTTTGCTATTGCTTCTTCTGTCCATAGAGGGCATGACATCTTTGCCATATTGCTTGTTTGCATGTCTTGTCTCAGCCAAGTCATCTCGGTTTGAAAGTACTCTATCGTGTTTCAGGGTTAACAGGCAAGAATCACGATGCACGATAGATCCGATAGCATCTATCATCAACGCAAACAAGATTCACTGTGACTCAGGAGCGAAGTGCTGGCAGAGTGTGTGATCAGGGTATCATGCACTTTGGCAGGCTTCTTCAAAGTATTATGCCTCCTCTAAGCTTCATTTGCTTGTACAGATAGAGGTCTGTCTCATACTTTCATCACAAGTCGTCACTGTCTCTTCGCTTCTTTCCTCTGCCGCTGCCGGCTGCTGCGCCAGCCTTTCTTCCTCTGCCTGCGCCTTTCTTGGGAGCGCTTTCCTCGTCTTCAGAGTCGTCGCCGTTGGCGCCCTTGGCTGGGGCGTCTGGCACTCTGCCGACAATGTCGCGGAGGTTGTCGAATTGTTCGTCTTGCATGACGGCGGACTTCATGTGTTGCGAGAGGACACGCTTGGAGCCGCGCTGTTTGGCGACGCCGGAGCTGGCGGAGATGAGGCGGATCATGAAGAGTTCGAGTGCTTTGGNCTGTGAAATGTGTTAGTGAGTGGAGAAATCAGGGAGAGGGAAATATGGAGACGTACCCATTACGACTGGGGTGACTTGAGCCACTTTGCCTACATCCTCGTCGGCCTGCATGATGCGCTTTATCCTTGCGGTCGGGAACTTTGTCTTGACCTCTACACCGCCGGTATCCATCTTCTTCATTGGAGTTGGAGGGGCGGCACCATTGGCAGTCTCGCTTTTCGGCTTTCTGCCGCGGCGAGCGGGTGTTTGTGCGATGGGTTGTGGGTGTTGTTCCCAAGCGGGCTCCTCCTCCTTGACATTGCCATTGTCGTAGTTGTAGCTTCCGACCTCGGCGGGCGTGCGCACACCCCTGTTACGGGTCTGGACAGGCATTTCGGGGTAGGGAGGGTACTGCTGTTGGTAGGCGGCTTGCTGACCGAAGCCGAGTTGTTGTTGTTGTTGTTGGTAGGGGTCAGATGAGAATGATTGCGAGGGCTGTTGCAGAGAGTGGTGGGCGAGTGTGTAACCTGGTTGTTGAAGAGGATATGTTTGAGGAATGTGCTGCCGTAGCGGTTGCTGCTGATGCTGATCCAAGCCAAAGCCGGAAGGAATAGATGTTTGCTGTGCGTAGGGGTGCTGAGGCTGCTGCAAACCAGGAAGATCGGGCGATTGAGGAGCGTACAGGTCCTGGGCCTGAGGAGAGACCGGTCGGTAGGCGGTCAAGTCTGGAGAACGAGGCGCGTATCCGGACAATTCGGGGGACCGGGGAGCGTATGACTGGTCCATGTGAAGGCTTCGGAGTTGTGAATCAGGCGACAAGCAGCAGCTCGGTGTGATACGGAGCCCTGGCCACAAGGGCTCACGAGCGACAGCAATTGGTTTGGCAAACAGGAAGTGACGACCAGGATTTGTTCACAGCTCCAATGCGCTGCTTGCTTGATTGGGCAGAAAGAGGTACGGATAGCAATCGATAGGCGGGCAGATCGTCTTGGCGACGGGGTGAATGCTGTTGGTGTGCGTAGTTTGTAGACTTTGCGAATAATGAGAACCGGGTTGAGAATTGCGGAAGCCGAGCTCGAGAGGAAGGTGCGACAAGGGGACCTTTAAGCAGCGACTGCGGTCCAAGGTCCTTTCAGATCGGCGCTAGTTTTCTGAAGTCATAGCGCTCCTTCTTCCCATTGAGGTCTGTCACACTTTAGGTAGCTATAAAAATGCACAATACTTTCGCACAATGTAGGAACGTCCACAGAGAGAGATTGCCTCAGCGGGTTTCTGTGGGCACACTTCTACTTTCAACAATATTGTGCATTTCGATGGCTTGAAAACTTGTTGTGTGTCGCTGTGAGAGGAAGGCCAAACGTAAGAATGTGACAGACTTTGGCCCGGGGTTCCACACGCGTTCGCTCGACGCGTCTATCTTGCTTTTTTATATTTGCTCGCAGTCATTGTCAAAGCGAACGTGTCTTCTGTATGTTATCGTGATTGTATTCGTCCGACGCAAGTCTGATTCGTGGCCAGAAAATAATCCAACATGTAGAACAATTGTGGCATGCCAGTATCACGTCTAGTTTTGTTGTATATCATCTCTTCTACGTGTCCCTCGTGTAAGATCCGTCAGCCATCTTGCCTTCGCCAGTACCCTCCATGGCCCATGTCTCGATCAAACCGCATTTGGGATCTTCATCAGGCCAGCCCCTGCTTCTGCGCACAGCTAGCACTGCGTCTCTGACGCGCATCGTACACTCCTCGCGCAAACGCACAGCTTCAGCTCCATGCATCAACTGCTCATCGCGAATGACACCAAGCTCGTTGCTCTCTGCTCCTCGTTGTATTGCCTGTTGTTTCAAGGTTGCCCATCTGTCCCTCAGGTCGCGGAACGCGTCTCCTGTGTCGATCTTGTCACCAAATGTGACGCAGACGTCTTTTCCTCCTCGTGGGATGGGTCGTGGGAATCCGCGACTCTCGTGCATGATTGAATCAAAGCCTTCAATAAACAAGGGCACGAGGTCTGGTGCAGGTTCTGCTTCCAGGATCAAGCGTGAGACACCCCACTTGAAATAGCGCATAGTCTTGTCCTCTTTCTGGTGAACCCTGCCTTCAGGGAAGATGTGGACCCAGGCGTGTCTCCTCGAGGCATAAGCCGAAGGGGCAGGGAAAGTGTCGTGACCATCAGTGCTGTACGTCAGGTGTGCGCCAGAGAAGGGATCGGTAATATCGGGGCTCTTCAATGACTTGGATGCGGGAGTAGCGGTAGGAGCGTTGAACGGACCATGGGAGAGGAGACGAACGGCTTGGGTCATGGTGGGCTGGAATAGACCGCCGTGAGGAGAGTGTGCCAGTCGGTGGCATGGAAGAGTGTTGCCGAGACTGAAGAACAACGAGGTGAACCTGAGCGAGACTGTCAGATGCTGCCTATCTAGGCAATGCGATATGTGGACGTACTTGTTCTGGAAGGCCAGGTCGTGGCTGGCAAGACTCCAACGAACATTGTTCGGGTTCCAATGGTAGCTGTATGGCAGGACGCCCCATAGGATAGGGTCATCCATNNACTGTGAGCTAGAGTCAGCACTCGAGCTGTGTCTAGTCCTATGCATGTCTGTACGTACGTACACGCTAGTATGGTTTGAAACNNTGGCAGCAGTCAGTATAGAGCCCGTCGCAAAGCAGATGGAAGAGTACATACCGGTGATCAGGCCCTTGGTCCTGCCATTCACGTCCGCGCGCTCATCGAGGAGGCGCAGAAACTTGTCGTAGCCCTTTACCTCGAGCCTGTTCAAGCCAACGAGGAAGGTACGGCAGAGGAAACCTGTGGCACCTGTGATGAACGAAGAACCCGTTCGCCAGAGGAGCGACGGTTGGTCGGGAGCGTGTGGAGCAGCCATTGCTAGTCGACAAGACTCAGAGCATGACAGTGCGAGGGCAAAGGAGTAACTGGCAAGGGAAGAAACATTATTTAGCATTCCAAACTTAGACCAACCTTTGACCCACGTGGCGCCCGTCTTGCTCCACACCCTATGACCGCATTCTTTTCGCGTTCGCAATCAATTCAACTTCCTCCTCTTCACACTCTATCATCATGTCGCACAGTACGTCGACTTCTTGTTCTTCTGTAGTATCCAGCTGATTTTGACAAGGTAAGCATAATACGTCGCTCGCCTTCTTCACAGCCCACGAGCGTGAGGAGCTGAAGTCGGTATGGGGCTCGCGGAGCACCCGCCTATCGCGCGACAGTTTTCTCCCCTTCGGCTCTTGTCGCCTCTGTTTGCTACCCGCTCGCGATCCCGTATCTTGTCCCTCTCACGGCCATCTGTTCTGCCGAGAATGTGCCCTTTCCAACCTCCTCGCCCAGAAGAAAGAGATCAAGCGCCTGGACAAGGAATACATCCAAAAGAAGCAAGAGGAGGTTGAAGCTGAGGACATCAAGAGAGAACAAGAGCAGGAGCGTGCCGTCCAAGATTTCGAGCTCGTTCAACAGGGCCTGAACAGCAAACTCGGCCCCGGCAATGCTGCTGCTAGACACATCATCGGACGAGAAGCTGGCAAGGTCATTGTCGAAGAACAGAACCCTGACAAGCAAGGCACCAAGCGCAAACTGGAGATTGACGAAGAAGAACTCAAACGTCTCGGTGGTCAGAACACCAAGTTGAAGAAGGACGATCAGAATCCAATCGACCAGAAGGCTGCTACATCNTTTTGGATTCCTTCCTTGACACCCTCAAGTTCTACTACTGCGACAAAGCCTACAAAGTCGACTCCACAATGTCCGGCATCGACTTCTGACAAGCCTCATGACTTCTCTTTGAAATTGCTGGTTTCTGTTCAGTTCACAGAAGAGAAGACCGAGGGCTCTAACGAGCCTGTCCGCTCGTGCCCTTCATGCAAAAAGGCACTAACCAACTCGACGAAAGCAATGCTGGCCAAGCCTTGTGGACATGTGCTATGCAAACCTTGTGCTACCAAATTCATGAAACCTTCGGAAAAGGACGCTCACGATGCATCAGCAGAAGTTGGCGTAGTAAGATGTTACGTCTGCCAGACTAATGTAACCGACAAGAAGCGCGAAAAGAAAGAGGGCAAGGAGGAGAAAGAGAAGGTCAGACCGGGTGTAGTAGAGATCAGCTCAGAAGGCACCGGCTTTGCTGGAGGAGGCAACAACATGGTCAAGAAGAAGGGCGTAGCGTTCCAGGTCTAGGGTAGTTTCCTACTCGCCTCGATGCGCTCACATCCATGAGTCCGCAACCCGGCCGTTCTGACAACGAAAAAAGTCGCAATGCCAAGTCGCTTCAGAACATGCTTGACTCGTCAAGAAGCAACCTTGCTCGACTGCAACCAGGCTGATTCTTCTACAACCAGCTGTGAACAGCGTGTGTCTCGATCCTTCTAAAAGTACAGTAAAACGAAGGACCAGTCACCAAATCTTATCATCACAAACGAATACAAATACGACTTTTCAGAAGAAACCTGAGCAACTATTTCGAGGTCCGGGCTGTCCTCCGACAAATGTTCAAATACAAAAACGTCATACCCGGCAAATAATTTGACCCACCTCTCTATGCAACTTTCAACATTGGGAGAACAACTTGTTACCTCATCACCTGACGGCGGTTCTCATGCAATGAAGCCCGCGGGGACGGCGACATCATAATCTTTCAGGCACGGCCAAATAGACATGTTTTTGTTGTAGGTATCGCCGAAGGGGGCTCCTGAGGCTTCAGTAAACAATTCCTGTCTCTTCTCTTTTAGGTTCCGGACTTTTTGACTTTGAACTCGCATACCGATCATCATTGTGCAGCAGCATTCACTATAACCTCAGTACTCCATAGGACTCGTAAAGCCTCACATCAATCACACAAGGAGAGACATCACCACATTCCTGGTCTAGATGGAATTTCGAAGACGAGAGAACCAAGCGGGAAGCAATGCAGCCAGCGAACTAAGCCATGGATCAACAACTACGAATGGCTCCAGTGGGGACCTGGAGAGCAGAATGAAGGATCTGGAGAAGCAAATCGCACACCGGAAATCACATCACCATAGGCGTATCTCAGACGTGAAGCTGGAAGGCACGGACAAAGAAATCACGCTCAAACAGCGACTGAGGCAGTAAGTGCTGAGAGAACTCTTCTGGCTTTTCAAGTTCTTGCTGACCGAATTCAAGNNTTTCACATGGGCTTGGTTTACGTTGACAATGAGTACGGGTGGCTTTGCAACCTTGCTCTCTGTCCAACCACACAAGTTTACAGGACTCATGACTATCGGGACCATAGTCTACGTCTTCGACCTTGTACTGTTCGTTATTCTTTGCGCGACCATTACAGCTCGCTTTATCATGTATCCTGGATCTTTCCACAAGTCTCTCAAGCATCCTTCGGAAGCCCTCTTNTTCCCAACATTCTGGCTATCCTTACCCACTATCATCGGCGGCATGAACAACTATGGTGTGGGCAATGTTGGCGAATGGCTAATTGTAGTGCTTCGAGTCCTCTTCTGGCTCTATTTTTCGTGTACGCTCCTTGTCGCCATCTTCCAGTATTGGTATCTTTTCATGGCAAAGCAGTTACTGGTCAAATCCATGGCACCCTCATGGATTCTTCCCATTTTCCCCGTCATGTTGTCTGGAACACTGGCAAACATCATCGCTAGCAACCAACCGCCAGAGCAAAGATTACCCATCATTGTGGCAGGCGTGGCAAGCCAAGGATTAGGCTGGACAGTCGCAGTAATGCTCTACGCCGTCATGCTAGTCAGACTAATGGAATACGGACTCCCACCACCCAACGCACGACCCGGCATGTTCATCTGCGTGGGCCCTCCTGGCTTCACCATCTTGGCTTTAATCGGCATGTCCAAAGCTTTACCCGAAAGCTACGGCTACTTTGCCACCAACCCCACCGCACTGCCCGCTCTACAGGCCATGGCCCTCTTCGTCAGCATCTTCATCTGGATGATTGGCTTCTGGTGGTTTTGCATTGCTGTGGTCTCGGTGCTTTACGGTATCAAGAAGATGTCGTTTTCGCTGGTCAATTGGGCGCTGGTGTTTCCCAATGTTGGGTTTACGATTTCGACGATCAATATTGGGCAGACGTTGGAGAGTCAGGGGATTCAGTGGGTGGGGAGTGTGATGAGTGTTCTTGTGTTTGGTATTTGGCTGTTTAATCTTGTTGCGCATGCTAGGGCGGTGTTGACGAAGCGGATGATGATGCCTGGTCAGGATGAGGACCAGGGTGAGGAGGATGAGACTTGATGCTTTCTTTCGATTTCTGCATGTTAGCGATTGGATTCTTTGCATGGCGAGGGTTTATATAATTACACAATGTAATAGACATACACAATGATAGATTAATTGATACACAGAGTTAATGCTAAGTAACTTCCTCTTTGCATCATTCGTTGAAACAAGTAAGGCTTGTGGCATGAGGCTCGTGCAATAACGTCGTTGGAGACTTCGTGAAAAAATGTCTAACACAAAAACGTCATCAGATATAACATAAACAACACGATATCAACTTCAAACTAAGCCATAGGGATCTCATGTAATCCAATACGTTCTTCAGCTATGTATGTACTGGCTAGCATTGATATTGAGGTCGTGACCATGTTCTTAGGACAGTGCCAGGGTGGTATCTACAGCATTAAAAAAGAAAAAGGAAAAAAAGTAGAAAAAGAATGGGAAGGTTATTGTTATCTGAAATGATCTTCCATTTGTGCTAACCCAGGCTCTATATAGTAGCAGTATCGCTTTACTGTCTACGTTTCTGTTCTGGCAAGTTTGCCGACGAGGAAGGCACACTCCTCTTCAGATCAGGCTTTGGTTTCCTCGGCTCTCTTGGTTCTTCATCCTCATACACTTCGCAAACATCAACCATAGGAAACTCTCTTCTGAGCTCAGAAGCAATAAACCTGATACCCCACTCCTCACAGCTGCGATGACCAACACAGAAAACCTTCATTTTCTTTTCTTGTGCCGCAAGAAGTCCTGGCTCTCTTGCTTGGCCGGTGAGATAGACTATGCTATCCCCTTGATTGATATCAGAGATCCAGCCTTTAGAGAGCGCGGCTTCTGAGACTCGTTGCACTTCTTCGGGGTGGAAGGCATTCATAATGGCAACGACTGTGACGGGTTGTGCCATTTCGGCCTCGCTTTCGACATCGGCACCGTAGACAGCGTCCCATTGCCCAAATTCGCGTTTGATACGATCAGAGACTTGACCAAGATTTGTAGGTGTACGGAATGTAGCGACGAGGCCTATACGGCGGTCTGGATCGCCTTTGTACCCCTGTATGCATACGGCGTCCTCGCCTGTATATAAGCCTAGTCGCTCGGCCAAGGCCTCATTCCAGCCAGTTGTCAAGACTTCGTCAAAGCCAACATGGGAGCTCAAGACATTTGCGCCTCGAGGCACGCGTTTCCGATCCAACGTAAAAGGTCGGTGAAGGAAGATGAGCGGTGGTGGTGTGCGTGCTGCATACATTGCAGTATAGACTCCAGCAGTCGGCGTGATGCTGCATACTATCCGAGCTACCGGAGCAACAGCCGGTGAGTAGCGAGCATTCCTAGGCTCATGATAGAGCCATGGGACATCTCGAGCTCGTTTTGGGAAGAAAGAGGTAAGAAATTGGCTTGTTTGAAGCACGGAAGGCAGTATTAACGGTGGTCCGGGTTGGCTGATCAAGGCAGGGAGGTTAAGAGTGACCATTGAAGGGGTACTCGGGGTCGATTCCGAGTGTAGCGACATGTTTGATCGTATTGTGTCAAGCAGAAGACGACACCTGAATTCATGTGAAAAGGTGGAAGAACGAAAAGTGGTGACGTCGGCGCAGGAACGATTCAGACACAACTCGATTCTGGTCGAAATTGTGTTTGTAGTATCTGCGCCTTGTTACAGAAATCAGTAGAATTAATATAGCACTAGAGGAATGCCGTTAAACACCGACTACGTGCATCGACAGTGATCAAGGCCCGTTCATGGTGCCCCTCGAAGCGAAGCCTTAACACAGGCTGCTTGCGATACTGGACAGCCGTGAGCATCACCCTCGATCACATGAGCTGTGATTGTATAGCTGCTGTACCAGTATAAGTTCTCAGAGATTTCTGAAATTGCCGAGGAAACGTGTAGATTTGCTACTCGTAGAGACTTGATTGGCAAGAAGAGTTGATGGATTGCAACAAGCTCAAGCGACAGGATCGGTCTGGACCCTGAAATTTGTGCGACTTCTCTGGTAAAGATTTCGGAGCGCGAACGGAAACAATCCTTGCTGGTCTTTCTTTCCTCTTTCGTTGCCTGTACAATGCTCAGTGAGCATTTCGCAGCATCCGTGTCAGCGGCGGCGGTCGCGCCCAAAGCTGCATCCAACAGCGTCAAGGATGTAGGCATTTCCGTCTTCGAGAGCCAACCGCATTCGGGCCAAAGAGCGAGCTTCAAGAAGAGCAATACCACAGCCAACTGTCTGGCCGTCAGTCCGTCGCACATCTTCGCCGCCCAAGCCGACAAGGCCGTCGTAAACGTCTACAACCGCGAAAAGGGAAATCAAGAGGCAACCGTGCCCTTTCAAGAGAGGATAACATGTCTGGCCCTGGCCTGTGAGGATACCATCCTGGTCCTGGGTTCGCAGACGGGTCGCATCTTTATTTGGGAAACACATACTGGTCGCGTCGTCATCACATCGCAGGCCCATCTGCAACAAGTCACTGCCCTGGTCGTCGACCCAACATCCAACTTTGTCTTGTCTGCCTCGGCCGATGCTTCGATCCACGTCTGGTCGCTTCCTGCCTTGCTCTCTTTCTCCAATGCCGCCCTACAAGGCCAGCACTCCCCGCTACACACCCTCTCAGGTCACCGTGCCGCCATCACATCCCTAGTCGTCGGCCACAGTGCTGGTTTCTGTAACATTGCCGTTTCCGCGAGCGCCGATCGATCATGTATAGTCTGGGACTACCACGAGAACCAGCTTTTGCGCACCGTCCTACTACCCGAAGTCCCTCGATGCCTGGCTCTTGATCCCGCCGACCGCGCCTTCTACACCACCTACGACGATGGCAGCGTCCAGATGATTGACTTCTACAGCGACGCTTTCTCCGCTGCAAACCCCGACTCGGTCCAGCACCCGCTATACGATCCCGCCCAAGCTGCCATGCCCGTTCAACCNCCTCCGCAAACTCGTTGGACCCCGCCTTCAGCCGACCAAGGAGCTGCCTTGAGTGCTATGCTCAGCTATGACGGTAGCATGCTCATGACTGGTCATGCCAACGGAAACATTCTCATGTGGGATGTTCCNCTTGGCCGCTACTCTTCCACCTTCACATCGGCACCCATGATGGGTCCAGTTACAAATCTTGTTTCCTTGCCTGTACAAGGCTTNCCCGATGCTCGCCCTGCTCGTCTCAGCCAAGTCACCATCGTCAAGCCCAAACATGCCGCTTTTGACAAAGCCGACCTTGACGGTGCTGTTCCAGGAAACTACAACTTGAGTTTGCAGTTCTCGCGCCAACTGCCCATGCCTCACATCTCCGCTTCCAAGAAACAGCCCGCTGCCATCGAGTCGGATTTTCTTACTGCTCTCACACATCCAGTATTCCCCGAGTCATTACTCGCCGACTCTCTTGCTGAGCTCGCTAGCTGGAACGGATCCGCAAAGCCTCAACCTCTGGCTCCTGCCCCCGCCACTGCTGCAGCTCCTGTTGCTGTTGATGCTCCCATCGCTGAGCAACAAACCTCGGATTCGGCCGACTTCATGTCTCTCGACGCTCCCGCATCTACCTCGGGACCATCTGTCGAGCAACAAAACGAGGCCCTCAGGGCTGAACTTGCCGCTTTGAAGCGTGTTCAAAGAGCTAGTCTGGTACAGATGGAGGCGTTACGGAAAGAGAAGGTCGAATTGCTGGCCAAGATCAGGCAGGATCTCGATGAGAATATGGACGATGAGATGCGCGAGGATGAAAAGAGCGAGAGAGCGTGNGGAAGATTGGCCTCGACAGGCGAGTATGTCGAGAGCGACGAAGAGTCGGAGTAGCATGCACAATATTTGTCAATACCCTTGTCTATCAACACCATATACGGCGTTCAATGGCGTCTCGAGGCATCAAAGAAAGGAAAGGTTGGTTGTTCTATCGTAGAAAAGCGTATACCATTACCATACATCGTATTTTCTTCCTTCTTGCTCTCTCGTGCTGTTTGTCTATTTGATGATCGTTTCCATGATGTACCTCGTACAATCCTCCGCTTCCCACTCACATCTATCTTGACACTCCGACATACTACCTCATCCCAACTCGCATGTGTCACAAATGACTCTCGCAACGTTCGTCCCTCCATCGAATACTTAACGTACCTTCTTCTCCTCGTTCTCAGCAACATAGGGGTGCTTGATGGTCAAACACCAAATGTCCAAGTAATCGCAAATGGTAACAATAACATCAACGACAAAGCTGCCGTACACACCAATCGCGAGACCCAGACACGAAAACATAAACGCAACCTGGTACTGTCCATCTCCCAAAGCGCTTGGCCATCCAAAGCCAACCAGATCGTGCAGGAAAGGACCAAGACTGTCAATGACGCCAAACACCAGAGGCAAGACCAACACATTGGTCATGGGGAAAGGCGATTTTGTCAGATGTGCGGTGATCATTTGGCCAACTGAGTAGGCATTGACGAGACCGACGTAGAGCACAAAAGGCACGAGGTGTTGGCGCAAAATGACGGGTTGAAGGAAGAGGTAGATGGGAATGACAGTCCAGGTGAGGAAAAAGGGAGCCAAGCCATAGAGAGCAAAGATGGGGTTTTCCTTGCGCAGACGACGGGCTGCCATGACGTTCATGGCGCTCAGAACGGTGTTGAAGATCAGCACCACGCTGCCATAGACCATGTACCAGTCCGTCCAGGGCAGATCATAGACAATGGCGGGGATGAATCCGAGACGTGGCACGCCCAGAGTAGCAAACATGGATTGGTGCCAGAAGCTGCCACCGCCAACGTAGCCAGTGAATGCGTACACGATACAGAGGGTAATAATTCCCTCAACTGGGCCAGAAACGATGCCCAGAGTCAGAGTGTGAGTATGGTATTCATCCCAGGTTTGCACGTAAAAGGTCAAGAGAGAGGCGAAGAGAATCAATACAGTTCTCCAGCCTTGACCAAAGCTCATGGCTGCTGAGAAGATGAGGACCTCGAGAGAAGTGTTCAGGGCGTCGACTCCATGGTCGAAAAGTTCGCCGAGGGGACCGCTTTGTCTGGTTCTTCGTCTACAAGGAAAGATATCAGTATCGCAGGATTCAATGCCTTCAAAAGAGTTTAGGACTTACGCTTGACTACCATCCACGGCATCAAAAGTCTGGTATGTAAAGAGACCAATGGCCCAGGAATAGTAGACCCAAGAAGGGCAATCTTGATCCATGCCAGGAGTATAGTAAAACATCGTCAACAAGTTTGCAATGACAAAGCTGAACCCGCTCAAGGTAATCTGTTATCATAGGTCTCAGCATTCTGTTGTAGATGTATCAAGTTTTCAATGAGCTCGAGTCCAAAGATAGAGCTTACGAGATTGGGCCTACAAGACACATATCAGAACACATTCATCTTCAGAGCCTCAAAAGATATCAATTTACTCNNACGCCATAGACATTGGAAAACAATTGATGACGACGTGCGTGTAGAACGGCTTTAACACATAACGCGACAGCAAGCTGTGGTCGACGCCAGAGTACTTGTACTCCTTGAGCTTGGGAAGCCGGTCTTGTCGAATGTACACCATGATGGACAAATCTTTCACGAATCTATCGTACAATCTCAAGAGAAAGAAATCTAGCAATGAAGGACGGCCAGCGAGGTGTCGAGTCCACGAAAAACGCGCCAAGCACAACAAGGACGTGCACGATCCTGCTTTTGAGGTCAGACCGCCTCGTCATCGGTCAAACACGTGCAAGATGGAAAGTTTGCTGCTGCGTACTTGAGAGTTTTCGAGACACGACCGTTGATGGAGACGAAACTGATGAATTGTGCTGGCTACCTAACAACCGAGCCTGAAAAGTCGTTTGTACAGCGCTCACGGTGACTGACTCCGCCGCTACCTTCGCTGCAAGACAAATGAATGCTATGTGGATGCTATTGATTCCCGACCGATGAATGCTGTACTGAACGATTAATTAATCATGTTCGGTAATTCGTCTGGGTACCTTGTAACGGGCCCCTCTCACGTCGAGGCTAGCTCTCTATGCGACAGGGCTCCACGGCATGGGCACCAAGATTCTGCTCTTCATCGATTGGATTAAGGGGACAGTCTTGTGCACAGTTTCACCCCAGCCAGACACGCTCCAGCTCTGCTCTCTGCGCGAACGTCTTTCCTCGAGGTCGGCGAATTGCCACAGGTGGTGGACAGTATTGAGGTCTCCAATCTGCACGAACCAAGCACCCACACCTTCCATGACCTCTTTTCTAGCACGCAGACCAGTGCGCCAGTGCGTCTCCCACTCCAAGAGGTTGCCAGGGTGCAAGGTGTATGAACGAAGCTCGAAGACACCACCAAGCTTGCGAGGAGCAGTTGTGGGCCAGAATGAGAATTCTTGCATCAAAGATGTCTTTTNTGAGTTGATCAACGACTTGAGCTTGCGGTCGAATTCCGGGAATTCCGGGTGATGCTGGATGGCGTGCAGCGAAGCGTGGTATCCTTCGTAACGTTGGTACTCCCAGATGTGAANCTGTGAATTATCAATCAGCAAGAACTCCAAGACAAGACGAGCATTCAGATAAGACAAACCGAAGGTGTCGCAGTCGCCGACCTCTGTTCGCCAACTTCCCACCAGATGAACCTTATTCTCAGGCATGTTGGCCATACGAGGGTACCAGGTACCGACAAGCTCAACGTACTCGTCGACCTTGTCGGGCTTCACGTCGTGCAAGACAATGCTGTGGACGTACTTTCCTCGAGCGAGGACCTGACTGAAGCTGCGCTCAATCTCCTTGTCCATCTCGCGACCCTCTTGGGTGCCGTAGAGCAGATTGGAGAGACGACCGCCCTTCTTGCCATCTTCTGATTGATCGCGTGCTTTGGATTNCTGTCAACACCATTCGTAATTAGAGTGAAGGATACTCGGGGATGTGTAAATTGACTAACTCTCTTGCTGCTCACGCTTCTTCTGGGCAGCGGCCAGGTCGTCGCGGAACTTTTGTGAGTTCTGATCGAACAGATGACCCTTGTTGGGCTCGACATCGGAGAGCGAGGGTGCTCTCTTCGAGGCAGCGGCGATTGCACTTGTCGACAGAGGGCGGCTCAGATTCGAGGTGCCCAGGGACGACAGGCGCGATGCGAGGCGTCGTGAAAACATGCTGACGCAGGGTGTGAAGGATTGAAATGAGGACGGAAACCCGGATCAAGTTTGTATGAGCAAAGACTGACGGTGTTGCGAGCTAAGGGGTGGGGTTTATTCGACGACAAGACAACAACAGGAAGGAAACGAAGTGGGAGAGAAGGTCGCAAGATCCCTGAGCTGAGGCTTTCCCCGATGATCAACAGACGGATGCGCGGGGTTCAATGTGGAGAAGGCGCTTGTCTCGACGGCGGGACGCCGGGAGCTACAGCAACACTTTTTCGTGCGTCACTTCCATGTCTATTTCTCGTTCACGTTCATGTGAGAGCAAGAAACATATGCCTTTCCACCAACTTCCACTGCGATCCAATACGCTGAATATGGGAGGCCCGTTGTGGCTCAAAGCTATTACCCACAATTGGGGACCAGTCCACACAAAATCGTCATGGCAGCCGCAGCTATTAGCGTATACATGCGTCATGGGGTCCAAGCTCTCAATTCCCAGGCCTCTTCGGTCACTGTTGCAAAACATGTCACACTGCTATAAAATTGCTGGCCCCTCTCGTTCCTCACAATCCTCTTTCCCATCATAATAACCCAAACTCCATTTCCATCATGTACGCCGCTAGACCAATTGCCCGCTCTTCCCTTCCCAAAACTCTTCGCTCAGCGAGAGTTCCNCGCAACACCCAAGCTCGTTTCCAGTCCTCCTCCACTGGTTCATCAACTGGCGGTAACTCTCATGTCGTTACTGGTCTTGCCAGCGGTACTGCCGTCGCCGTTGTCGGTTACACTATCTACGCCTTGAGCCCTGCTGGTCGCATGTCCAGAAAGGTCAACAGCGCCGCCAAGGATGCTGCTTCCTACTACAACGATATGAGCAATAAGATTCAAGCAAACACTCCCGATGCCGACGAGGCCATCAACTACGTCAAGGAGTTCGCATATTCTTACGTTGCCTGGATTCCCGGTGGTCGCAAGTACATCGACACTGCTTTCAAGGACCTCGACACTCTTCGTGAGAACCACAAGGATGATGTTGACCAGATCATCAAGGAGACCTACGGCGAGTTCCAAGAAGTTTCCAAGACTGGCTTGAGCCGCGAGAGCTTGAACAAGGCTATGGAGGCTCTTGGCAGACTTTCTCAGAAGATTGGTGCCCTGGCAGCTGATGCCGCCCAAGATCTCATGGACAACCACCCTCAACTCAAGGAGTCGGTCGGCCCTAGAATCGAGCAGCTCAAGTCTATGGGTGACCAGTACGGTCCTGAGGTCAAGCAAGAGGTTGACAGAACTTGGGATCAGGTCAAGGAGATCATGGCTGGTGGCATCAGCGCTACCAACGTCAACAAGGCCCGCAAGATCGTCGAGGAGAAGGTTGAGCAGGTCAAGAAGCTTGGTGACCAAGCCTGGCAGAAGGGCCTCGAGCAGGCTAAGCCCTACCTTGACAAGAACCCCAAGGTCAAGGAGCTCATCGAGAACAACGCCGACGCTCTCAAGCAAGGCAACGCCAAGGAGCTGTTCGAGAAGGTCAAGAGCAGCATCGACTCCGGCAGCACTGGTGATCTTGAGGGCTACGTCAACTCCGCCGTCGAGAAGGCCAAGTCCAAGAGCTCTCAGATGAGCTCCCAGTGGGGCTTCGGTGGTATGGACCAGTACCTCAAGATGATCCCCAATGGTGGCGAGATCTTGCCCAAGCTCCAACAACTCAAGGAGGTCGCTGAGAAGCACAGAGACGAGGGCGAGAAGCTGTTGAAGGAGACCATGGACGAGCTGAAGAAGGTCCTCGAGAAGCAGTCCAACAAGGCTCAAGATATCGTCGACAAGGCCAAGAAGGATGCCAAGTAAACGGACACCACTCACGAAAGATACCACCTTCACCTGTACTATAGTTTAACGACCTCCTTTTCAAGGCAGTAGCGGCCTTTAATGTTCTTTCTACAAACACTTTCTGATTGCAGAATACAAATTATTCACAAATCATCTTCAATCCTTTTTGGTATAACAGGGTGCTTATGTGTTCTGTACTTTCCGGTTTTGATTACAAACTAGGCTAACACAGATTCAGCTGTTCGCTGTTGAACAAGGCAGGGACGACAGGGAAAAGTGCGTAGTTGCTCTTTCCCGAAGCACAACTTCCAGGTAGGCATCGCTCTTTCCCTCAAAGCCCAACTTCAGGGCAAGAAAACACAAACTCTCAAATCCATCTGCTTCTTCTTTCTACACAACCTTCCAATCAACCAACCAACATCATCATCGAGCCACAACGCATCTATCAGCGACAGTCCAGCCACGCGACATGCTTAACTCTGCTTTCCTCAAGGGGATTGTGAGGCCCGAATCTACCGCTCAGGCATCCCTCTGCTGGAGCTTTCATGCTGATTCAAGTCTGCTTTTGCGCTGTCGACTCGGGTTGCGTGAAGAAGCGGGCTGGCCGATCAAAATATGGCGACTTTCGTTCTAATGATGTTGGTTGGTGGAGGGTTATCGATGTCGAAGTTGTGGATTGGTGAGTTTATCCGTTGATACGTTGTTGCGAGCTGACCTAAGATATAGTCTTCCAGTGTGCCAAAGCACCTCAGTATCCATCACTGTTCCACAACGACACGTATTCTCGTTAGAAGCTATAAAAATGCACAGTCGCTTTCTGACCAGAGGTGTGGCCATAGAGACGCTCAAACGTTGCGCTCCCTCACTGGGTCTCGTTTTGTGACGGAAAGTGTTGTGCATTTCTACCGCTACACTAGGACGGTCTTTAGCACACCGGAAGACTGAAACAATATCTAATTATACAGATGCCCGTTAACCAATGGCGTTACTTCTTTGCTGCTGAAGCACACATGCTCGCATTCGCTCTCGCTATCAAGCTCTTCTGCAATCACAACTCCATACTTCAGTGGCAACAATCTGGCATCTTCGTCCCCAGGACCCGCATGACAGGCAGCAGTAATAGCCAGACTGCAGCTCGAAGCCGACGGCATACCAGGCTCAAGCTTTCTCGCGCCACTCACCAACAATGCTAGGATCATTAAGCCAGAGACGAAAAGCGACAGCACAATAGCCATGGATGAGTAGCCACAACCAGAGACGCTCTTTGTCAATGCATTTCTGTCGTAGTCAAAGACGTTGATCTTGACGTTATCGTTGTTCTCGTGTATTTTGATGGTATGTTTCAGAAGGTATACACCAGTGCACCAAGCAAGTGTGCACAAGACTATAAAAACAGCCCAGCTTAATGTGAAAGAAGCTTGGTACCATCGAGATCTTTTCTTCTTCCCGGTGTTGCAGCTGACTTTTCTACTACATCAGTTCTCGTGAGAGAGCCCCCAGCGCCTGACTTACTGCTGTGGATGTGACTGAACAAGGGCTTCGAATGATCGACGTGGATCTCTTGATAGTTACTGAGGAACTCAGATACCAGCTTCTTCAGCCATACCCAATCTTTTCTACGCACGTCTTTGGCGGCGATGGGACCTTTCCCGAAAGTATAAGGATCAGAATCAATCAAGCACGAGTTGACCAGATCGCCGACTGCGACTCTTCCGATATCAGCCCGGTATGTGGTGTCTCGGTGGACGATGCTGTTGTCTTGGCCGTAGTCGCTAGCACTCAGTATACAGATAGACTGTGCAGAAGAGATACAAAAAGTGGGATACAACCAGCTGCGAACGACCAAAGGAGAAAACATGATGATCGAGGTGCTGCATTGCTTACGATAGAGGCGCATGATATGCATGTGCAAATGAAAGGCTAGCACAGCCTTGTCGGAAGGATTGTTGTGTCACTCCCCATGTGCTAGGCCTTGTCACAGAAATAGCAGTGAAAATACACAATCCTTTCCATCGAGACAGCTATATCCACTGGAAGTGATCGTTTTATCGACAGTCTCTGGACAGAGCTTTGGTCTGGATACGATTGTGTATTGTGATAGCTTACCTATTGCTCTTTGCTGATAGGTATGTGGGCTCAGTACTTGTCAAAAGCACTGTCCGAGTCTTAAGATAGTGCTCGTGGCCTTGTATATCATGAACGAAGACAAAGCATCGTTAGTATAGAGTCAGTCAGGTCGAACAGTCACTGAGACGATATGTGGTTGTAGATCAGGGTCAGGGAGAAGTCAGATGAGAGCGTAAAAAGCCAAGTCCAGCCCGAACCGATGTTGTCTATGCCAGTGAGGTTCCTGATTGAGAGAAGCCTTTTTTTTTTGTGGTTGGCAAAAAGTATTCAAGATAAACATGTTCAAGAGAGTAGAGGTTGCAAACATCACAGGTAGACAATTCACAAGAATAACATAAAGGTCGTAATACTGTGCGCATTGAATGGGGGTATTTTTGCAGAAGAGACTCGTCAAATTGAGATTGAGCTTTTGAAGGGCGCGCTATCATGGCCTGGCATGATTCCCGAATGTACCCGTGACCTGTACCGAATAGCCTTTCAGAACGCCGAGGTGGAGCGATTGATTTACTCCTCCTCCTCCTCCTCGTCACCACCAGCCTCCTTGGACTCGGCGGCCTTGGCCTTCTTTCTGCGAACACGGCCGGGACGACCGCCACCGAAGGGCGAGGTCAGGGCGAAGTCGATGTGCTTCTGGGCGTCGAGACGGACAACGAACGAGGGGACGTTGACGATCTGCTTGCCGACGCGGATGTGACGCTGGCGGATGAGGACACGGGCGTGGTGGATGGACTTGGCGAGACCGAGCTTGTAGACGCAGGTCTGGAGACGGCGCTCCANAAAGTCCTCGACCTTCAGGGCCAAGACGTAATCGAGCTTCATGCGGGACTCGTCAAGGACACCAACACGGACCAGACGGCGAATGAGGGCGTTTCCTTCGAAGAGACGCTTGGGGTCCTTCTCGTCCATGGTGAGGAGCTGACTGCATGGGGCGTTAGTGGCTATGGTATGGTGATGAGAATCGCGCGGTGAATGTAGAGGAGTGGATGAGCGCAGAGCGTAGAGGAGTGATGATGCGCAAAGTTGAAAACAAGTGAAGATTTATCTTGTCGCGTGCAAAATCAGCAAAAACAAGAAGGAAGGAGCGCAAACGTACCGGGCAGCACGACGGATCTTGGACAGAGTGAGCTGGACGCGCCAGATCTCACGCTTGTTACGGAGACCGTACTCGCCGACACTCTTCAACTCAGAGTNCCCTATTCCAGGGTGTTAACCAAAAGTCTCATTGACGTGAACAGAGCAAGCTCTAGCTCAGTGGCCAGTGGACGATACTAACAGACGAGCGGACTCGAAAGGTCTACGGGNGACCTTGTAGGTCTTGGAGTAGGAACGGGGGCCATGGTTGTCGCTGGGTGAAGTCTCTCTCGCAAGCAGAAAGGAAGATCAAGTTGAGAAGTCCTCCCAAGTGAAAAGGGCAGGAGCGACTGTGGGGGTCCGTGCTTCCAAGCGCATCTTGGCGGCCCACGCCGGCGTTCGAATTTTGGACTCACTCGCAGCCAAGCGACTCCCTTCGAAGTTTTCGAGCGCGACGACACTATACACTCGACAATCCCCAGTCTCCGATAACCAACAGTCAAAATGGGTCACGCCGCAGGTCTCAGGTACAATTCGACTCCAGCCATGCGCTCAAACGAGACGCATACGCCCACCCGAACGACTCAGACGCTGATGCGGTGAAAAACAGAGCTGGTACCAGATACGCCTTCTCGCGCGACTTCAAGAAGAAGGCAAGCACACCGATCGATTCTCCGAGCCCCAGCGAGCACGCCAACTAACACCTCTCNAAGGGTTACATTGCCCTCTCGACCTACCTCAAGCAGTACAAGGTCGGAGACATTGTCGATGTCGTCGCCAACGGTGCCGTCCAGAAGGGTCAGTCGCTAGCCTCGCCCACGTCCGCTCGTCGCAAAGAATCGCTCCTCTAACACCCCAACAGTATGCCCTACAAGGTCTACCACGGCAAGACCGGTGTCGTCTACAACGTGACCAAGTCCGCCGTCGGTGTCATCCTCTACCGCCAGGTCGGCAACCGTTACATTGAGAAGCGCATCAACGTCCGCATTGAGCACGTCCGCCACTCCCGCTCGCGCGACGAGTTCTTGACCCGTGTCAAGACCAACGCCGAGAAGAAGCGCCAGGCCAAGACCGACGGTTCCCACGCCTTCCTCAAGCGCCAACCCGCCATGCCCCGCGAGGCCCGCACCATCTCCTACAAGGAGGCCAAGCCCGAGACTCTTGCCCCCATCGCCTACGACACTGCCATCTAAGCGTTGCAACTGCATGACGAGCACCCTGGGGCCTCTTTTTTTTGCTAGCTGTGGGTGGGGAGTTTGTTTTTATGGATTTACCAAAAAATGGCATCGAGTCTTCTGAACACTTCCATACAAATCATCCCGGCAGGAGCAATGGCACAAGCAATGGTCGTGATCCTGACTGCAAAATGAGGCGTCATACTGAAAAGAAAAGTACCTGCCTCGAGCCATGTTGAATCGAGGGCTCTTTTACGAATACCACTCCCCGTTCTAAGCTACGCCATGTTTACTTTCTGTTTTTCCAAATGTGCAGTGCAGTGCAGTGCAGTGCAGTGCAGTGCAGTGCAGAGAAAACGTCATGTCTCGTTGATCTTTATACAGGGTGAACATGTCTATGAGAAGACTGACCAAAGCACATGCTTAAGCGCTGCTCTTGACAACCTCGTCCCACTTCTGGCCAGTCAACATCTCAAAGGCCTCGCGGTACTTCTTGGCCGTCTCCTTGACCACGGCATCGGTCATCTCGACACCGTCCTTGCCCTTCAGACCCTCCTTGGTCAGCCAGTCACGCAGGTATTNGCTGTTCATATAATCAGTGATTTGCTCTTTCCATGCATTGTCTCCAAAACATACCTTGTCGAAGCTGTCCTGTGACTTGCCCAACTCATACTTGTCTGCAGGCCAGAAGCGCGAACTGTCAGGGGTGAGGACCTCATCCACAAGAATAACCTCATCAGTATCGACATCAAGGCCAAACTCGAATTTGGTGTCAGCAATGATGATACCACGCTCGGCAGCATAATCTCTAGNCCTTTGCAAAACAGTTAGCACAATACCATTGTGACTCCCAACAAAAACACTCACGATTTGGTAGACCTTCAAACTCAGCTCTTCAATCTTCTTTGCGTACTTCTCGCCAACAATCTTTGTGGCTTGCTCAGGGCTAATGTTCTCATCCTTGTCACCGACCTCGGCCTTGGTGCTGGGAGTCCAGAGAGGCTTCTCCAACTTCTGACTTTCTCGCAGACCTTCGGGCATGGCGATACCGTGCACAGTGCCAGTCTTCTTGTACTCCGACCAAGCAGAACCAGTAATGTAACCACGAACAATGCTCTCCAAAGGCAAAACCTTGAGACGGCGAACATGCATGGTACGCAGACGCAACTGATCGCAGACTTCGGCAGGAAGAGACGAAGCAACCGAAGCAGGCACAGAAGCACTCAGCAAGTGAGTCTTGAGGTCGGGGATCTTCTNCTTGAACAGATTGAACCAGTGGGCAGTCATCAGAGTAAGAAGGGCACCCTTTTGGGGGACTCCGTTCTTCATGATGACATCGTAGGCTGAGATGCGGTCTGTGGCAACGAAGAGGAGGCTCTGAGGATCAATCTCGTAGATCTCGCGAACCTTGCCGCTGGCAATCTTCTTCAGGCCATGTTGCTCGACNNTGTATGACTAGTCAGATTATCGTCCAGACTTCAGAGTGAAAATACTCATACCCTGCGAGTCAATCTGGGTAACAGTAGGAGGAGTGGACATGTTGTCGAATGTATTTTCCTCTGATTGTTCTGTTAGTATATTGTGCCTCAAGTCGTCAAACGTGATGTGGTTGTAATGTAAAGAGACTTGAATGTGCAATAAGATATCGATCTGTTCTCAACGCCGAAAGCAATTACTGTCCACAGGTCTTGGTAGAATGGCTTGCTATGCTTTCGATGCTACGTAAACAATCCTCGAGATGAATGAATTGTGTGGTCATTGGACTCTTGGAGTTGGTAAAGAGATAAAGATGCTTAAGACGGAGAGAAACCACAACGTGTGCTCGAATCAGATGCTCGACATAACAATCAGACTCACCTAGCAGATAGATCTGTAGAATTCAATAACGATATACAACAAAGACGAATCTGCTAAAGTAAGTATTGCTCATTACTGGAGAAACTTTCTCCTCCGAGAGTCGGAGGGTTCAATGCCAAGCATTCTGTCAACCGCGGGGCAGGGTCGGTCTTTCCAGCTCCAACAGCTTCGAGCAAGGAAATGACATCTCTCGCTGAAGTCCACGCTCTCTTATTCAACCAACTACTCCGAGTAGCTTGCCACTCGATAGCCCGCCCCAGCAGGAGACTACAGGACTATAGCTCTGATTCGTTCATAATACCACGGCTGAATACGATATGCATGTTCCCGCTCTACATCACGATAGACGACCCAACATGAGCTTGTTGCTAAGCACTATGACGCTCAAATGATGAGCTCAAAGGTAGGCAGGATGGAGCAATGCTATCACTATGCAGTACCTCCACTATCTCGCCGGTATTTGAATGAAGAGCTGCTCCTCTCAATTCGTCTCTACTTTCTGTCTCCTCACATACCCATCTATTCTCCATTTCCCCTACCATAACTCTTATAAATACCACCACCATGTCTTCAGACGACAAGATCAACACCGCATACAACATTGACATCAAAGCCCAAGACCANAGCCCCTCCGCCGGTCTCGACAGCAAACTCGACCCACCCGCCAACTGGACCCAACTCGAGTTCTGGGACGACGACGAAAACCCTCACCTGGAAGAATACGAAGGCAGAGGTCTACTCAAAAACAAAACCGTACTCATCACTGGTGGCGACTCTGGCATCGGTCGCTCAGTCGCTATCCTAATGGCCAGAGAAGGCGCAGATATCACCATCTGCTATCTACCTGAAGAGCAGGAAGATGCAGATTGGACGCTCGAGCAGATCAANAAGGCCGGTCGCAAGGGCCATGGTATAGCGCTTAACCTGCGTGACGACGGTAGCTGCAANAAAGCTGTCGAGGAGCACATCCAAGTCCACGGTAAAATCAACGTTCTCGTCAACAATGCAAGTATGCAAGAAGTCTGCGAAGAGCACGCCGACATCGACATGGAAGTCGTGCAAAAGACCTTCCAAACCAACATCATTCAAATGATGGCGATGAGCAAGTATGCCCTCAAACACATGAAGAGAGGCGCATCGATCATCAACTCGTGCTCTGTGGCCGGTTACATGGGCAACCCCTCCATGGTCGATTACTCCTCAACCAAAGGCGCCATTGCCTCTTTCACTCGCTCTCTCGCTCAGCAGCAAGCCCCCAAGGGCATCCGTGTCAATGCCGTCGCTCCTGGTATCATCTGGACTCCGCTCCAGGCAGCCACCAAGGGCAACCCTCCAGAAGCTCTTCGCAGAATTGGTGTCGCCGAGGCGCCTATGCGTCGTCCTGGTATGCCTGTTGAAGTTGCAACAGCCTATGTCTTCCTTGCCAGCCCTTATGGAAGTTACTTTACTGGCGAGGCGCTGCACGGTACCGGGGGCCTGGAGGTCCAGGGGTAAGATGTTGTTGATGATGATGACGATGAACGAAAGAGCTCTTTGCGGGCAGGCTGTAACGATGATGAAAATTTGACGAAATGTTTGTACATCCTAATAAAAGCTTTAACCAATACTATGAAAGCTGCGAGTAACCCTTTCTCAACAAACACAAGAACGCCGTTTCGCAAGTGGTATCATAGTAACAAACCCCTAGAAAGTCCCCGGTCCCAAAGTGCGATCTTAACCCGTAGATCGTTTCCCGCCGTCTAGTCGTGATGTGAGAACGCACCATTTTGTTATCGTGACACAATTATTATTGGTGTCTGTTGGCGCCAGCCCAGTGATCCCACTGATTTGCTGAGGACTCGGCATGGCCATCGACTCCAGCATATGGACCCATCGTCGGCCCCGTCGTGCTGTGGTACTCGATATCGCTATCCCATCTGTTGATGCCAGGCCGCGGTGCGTCAATGCCTCCAAATGCACTTGGCTGAGGCACCTGTGCTCTAGAAGCCCCCATAAGACTCATGTCAGCAGCTGGTGCCTCGAATTCTCCGTGGTCCGATCTATCGTCAAACGAGGTGTTTCTTATCGGCGAATGCGAAGGAGAGTATGGGTAGGGACGAGCTGCCAATCCACTCTGTTGGGTGTTAGACAACAGACCGGCTGTATCTGCATCATCGACTGTATCCGCTCTGGCGCGTCTCTGGTGCTCGAGCTCCGTCGCTGAAGGCAAGGTATGAGATGTGACATTAGGTCCAGGGATCGAGGTTGCTGGCTCGTCGAGATTGACTCCAATCTTTGGTGTTTGGTACGAGACATCGTGATGTCTGTGCTTGCGGCGCACAAAGAGCCATCTGAAGCCTCTGGCCGTGGCCTTGATAAGATCCCACGGGTTGAAGGTGTCTCCATAGGCTTTAACTCCCAACCGTCCGCCATGGTACTTTGGTGCATTGCCGGAGAATCCAGACCCAGGAGCCGTGACGGGGTCAGCGTAAGGAGTCTTTGAAAGGTCGTACTCGCGCCATGGGAAAGCGAAGAGATGCATGACAGCAAATATAGCCATTTCAACACACAGAAGCATTGATGGAATTCCAACCTTAATGTCTGGATATGATATCTTCTTTGTGGGTTGTAAAGGCCCACTAGAAGATGAAAGGAACGAGATAAGAAGCTGAGGTTATTAGTGATCTTGTCAGGGAGTGGATGGTTTGTAGAAGCTTACCGATTGCCAGAAACTGAAGAAAATGACCAGCTTGATGCACAAGACCTTCAAGAAAGGTCGGTGTTCGGCAAGATCGGCTTTGAGTTGTAGGTAGAATTGGACGAGCATGAACATGGCGATGGTGACTGAGGCACTCTCAAAGACCATGACCCAGATGTGCGCAAATGCCGGATGTAGCGAAGCTTCGCAATAGCGATCCATGGCCTGGGTGACAACACTGACTATGGTGAACAGCACGCGGACAAAGGCATACTGAAAAATTGAGAGCCAAACGANCCTGCGATTCACGATCAGTGTTTTGACCTAAAACAGGCATGACGGATTTCGCAGAAAGTATAGGGGTCGTACATTGAACCAAGTCAAGCCACTTCTCGGTATGCGCAAGATGCCCTTGTCTTTTCCACCAGTACATTTCTGCAGGCCAAAGACGCCCCAAAACCAGTTGATAGGGGTGACTTGGCGGAAATAGTCCTTTTGCTCGTGGAGATTCGGAGCGATGTAGTTGCAGAGGAGCGTAAAGAAGGAGGCAATGGCGAAGGCCTCGTAGCAGTCGCGAAGGACTTCAAAGTAGATGGAGTGTTTGTAGTAGAGGTACGAGAGAAAGGAGACGGTCGAGTAGATGGGGATCATCAGGAGAATGCGAATGANTGCTTGATGTTCGTCAGCACAGGTGATCATGGCGGGCTTGTCGCAATGGAGGGGTAGATACTGTTTCTGTTCCCATGGCTTCGAGTAATGCGTCGCGTGCTTGAAAATGAGGAAGAAGGCGACAATGACCGAGATGAGGGCAAAGACGGCGGATATGACCAGGCCGACATGGTGGAAGGTGACGCTGGCGAAAAGAGGATCCTCGACAANCTGCGCATACTGTCAGCAAGTTGAGAAGAAGGACGAGCGCATGGCAATCGTACTTGTCGTCTCTTCGGCCGTCGTGTTGCAAGTCACCATAACGCAGTTTCTGGTGTCGATGTGAAATTGTGTACAGTCGTTCTGCAGCCCGCTTCGGTCGAGAAATCAAGGTGTCGGCGCGGCATGCGCTTGCAAGATTGCTGAATGCTTGGTGTACAACGTCAACAGCCCACGGCTTTGTCACTCTGAGCACAATCCTTTGTCTGACAGTCAGAGCTAGATCCTCTTGCGACACGGGTACGAGTACGAATTGTTTCTACACAAGGAGCAGCGGGCTGTGCAGCAGGAGCACCCACCGCGCTGACGTGGTTACCGAAGCGTTGCGCCCCTCGCGCGCGTCAAGAAGGGGCTCATTCCCCTGCCAAGTCGTTTCACTCAGATCCCCCTGTGTGAGCCCTGTATCAGGCCTTCTGCGACACGCAGTAATTATATAACAGCCAACAAAAGACCGCTCTCTGTCAGCCTTGCCTTGATGACTTCATTGCTCGACTCACGCCTGCTCAACATCTTACTCCACATCTCACATGCACAATTCGACATTTTGATTCAGTTGAAAATGTTCCATTTGGAAAACGCTATCAATATCCCCTTCCCAAGACCAAACGCCTTCCCACACCCAGACAAGAATCAGACACTGCCAAGTTAGTGCGCAATGACAGGCTCGGGGTGCTGGTAAAGAGGCACACCGGGAGCAACGCCGACACGCTCCTTTGCAAGCAAGTCAACAAGCAGAGGGCTGGGGCGGTTGGCCATGTTGGGGTGGAGGGAAGACTGAGTCTTCTTGTACTGCGAGACACTGTTGACGTAGGCATCGAACAGGTAGCTCGAGTCGAGCGGGCCACCCTTAGCCTCGGGGTGGAACTGTGTGCTGAAGATGGGACGGTGCTTGTGAATCATGCCCTCGTTGGAAGAGTCGTTGAGGTTGATGAAGTACTCCTTGAACTCGTTGGGGATGGTGGTAGCATCAACGGCATAACCGTGGTTCTGCGAGGTGATGTGGCACTTTCCGGTCATCAAGTCGAGAGCAGGAATGTTGTGAGCACGGTTTCCGTACTTCATCTTGATGGTCTGGGCACCAATGGCCATGGCCAAAAGCTGGTGACCAAGACAGATACCCATGATGGGGATCTGAGAAGAGTCCATCAGCTTGCGGAGGTTGTCGCTGGTGGTGCGGCAGTGGGTCGGGTCACCGGGTCCGTTGGAGATGAAGACACCGTCAAAGTGGCTGGCAATCTTGTGGACGGGGTAATCGTAAGGCAGGCAAGTGACCGAGACACCGCGGGCGACCAGACTGCGCAGGATGTTCTCCTTGACACCACAGTCGATGAGAGCAACGTGCATGTCACCAACGGGCGAAGCAACGTGCCAGGGAGCCTTTGTGCTGACCTTGGCAACCAAGTTGACGTTGCCAGGGTCCTCGAAAGCCTCGTCCTCATCGGCATCGTATTCTTCACCAACGACAACCTTGCCGAGCGAAGAACCTTGCTCACGCAAGTNGGTGACGATGGCACGAGTGTCAACGCCCGAGATGGCGGGAACACCTTCTCTGGCGCACCACTCGCTCAAACTCTCGACAGCGGTCCAGTGGCTGTACTGAAGAGCAGCATCGGCGACAACGATACCAGCGGCTTGGATGTTGGGCGACTCGAAGTACTTGAGCAGGCCAAACTCGTCTCTGACGGACGAAGGAACACCGTAGTTTCCGATCAGGGGCTGGGTGAAGACCAGAATTTGACCACGGTACGAAGGATCGGTCATGGACTCGGGGTAGCCGACCAGGGAGGTGGTGAAGACGGCCTCACCACTGATGTTGGTCTTGGCACCGAAACTCTTTCCGTGGAAGATAGGACCATCCTGTCATGTCTTGTCAGCCAACGGCTCGTATATGTCTGATAACACAGGTAGGCGTACTCTGATAGTGAAGGTAGCACGCTCGAATGAAGGCGCAGTCGATCTTCTGTTCTGGAGAGGCAATGCACGCTGGCTTGCAGAGACGACCGAGGCGTTGCCTCTGACCTGCATGCCGAGTCTGGCGACTCTGGCTGAGGTGGGTCTCATGGCGGCGGATTTGAAGAGGGTGGGTAGCATCTTGATTGTCGTATGAATGGTTGTAGATGGGTTGATGTGTAGTCGGTAGATTGGTCTTGTATGTGGCAAATTCTTAATTCACGTTGGCCTTCCAGAGATGGTCGCTAATGTAGTCTGGCAGGCTGTTAGTCACTGCTGGAAGGCGTTGAGGACGTGTTTCTCTCGACTTGCCTTGGCTGGTGTAGGTGGTGGGCGCAGTACGCATAAGGACGATATCAGCCCGCTAACAGGCAGTCCGGGTGGATTGATGGGGGTTGGAGGAGTGGTCGATGGGGAGGAGAGAGCACACGTTGGAGGTTGGTAAAAAGCACAAAGCCCGAGCTTCCAGTGCCCCCGATTGTCGGCGCCGTGGAGTCATGCAGCGAAAAAAACGCCCAGCCTTTTCTCCTATTGGTTCACATCCGACCGCCTTATCAGTGATATCGACCATCGTCATTTCAATACATCCTTTGTTTTCCAGCTGCTGTCCAATAGACATTCTGCTCAGCGTTGTGTACTCTTGTAGCTGAGCATATATCGCAGCGTCGCATGTCATAAAGTCACTACTGTACTTGACACCGAGCGCTGCTTTACAGCTTGCTTGCCAAGTGGTCGCCAGCGCGCAATCGGTCCTTCCAAACGATCTTCAACTCCATCATTCGGACGGACGGCTGGCCTGTGATAACGACCTCTTTACGACATGCACTCGTGTTAAGAAGATTGTTCGAGTCTTACTCACGGTATTGACATTTGCTCTCTCACGGCGCTGCATAGTGATAATGTAAGCTGTAGAAAAGCATAATGTTGTAGGTAAAGGACT